ATCTACGACAATTTTTTTCTTTAATTGTGATCCATATCAGAGTCATTTATTTACACTTGACTCGCATCTGTTTAATGGGTTCTTCTTGCACAAATGGACATGTTGGACACTCTGCTGTTGGACACTCTCGTCATTAAACCGCGGAGACGTTGCCTAACTGTGCGTTCACACCAGGCGCAAATGGTGAGTCAAATTCGCACCACGTCTAGTTATTCACTTGAACACTTTGAATCCATTCGCGCATCAAGAGAAAATTTACGCGTGTAAAAATAAAAGTTTGAAGCAAAATTTACGTCAGAATCGAAACCCGTTGGTGGCCATATTTTTTATGTTGATCGAGCATTCATCGAGATAGTCACCTCTCTGTATTTACTCTGGAAAGCACAACACCGGCGTGAGGATCATCGTCGCCGTATTTGTGTACACATACGCCGTATTCGTACCGTATTTGTGGATGGCGGCCGCGGTCAGCGGTAACTTCCGCCTGTCACGCGCCCAGTTTGATGACCTGTTGTCGCGCATTGGAGCGAGGATCACCCTCGCCCTCATCCATCTAATCTGTCATTTATTTTTGTTTTGATGATAAATAGAGCCAGCCTCCAAAAGTTATTAACCTGTCCTGTGATTTTTTTCTCTCTCTCACGTCCAGACATGAACTTATGCACATGTATGTTGGTTGTCTTTACATTATAATAATAATTCATATAATCTAGAGATGGAATAAATAGCATTCAATACAAAATGAACATGTCTCGTATATTAAAATAAAGTTTTAAGTGGTAAAATATTTGCTTTGTTGTGCATTAGAACCACACCAGGCATTTAGTGATATTACAAAATAATTTATTGAAGCATCCAGATACTTCACCACGTGAGCAAGCAGCTAGGCTCCTGATTGGTTGACGCCAAAGTTCAGATTTTTCAACTCGGGCGGCAGGCGTGAATTCGCGTCAAACAAGGCCTGAAAGGCCTGAAACCGATTTCGAAATATCCAAATGCATACGTTTTTTTCCTGTTTACGCTGTCATAGAACACCTCCGATCTGTTTCACATGTGAGCAAAACATTGGATTTGGGTCACATTTCACTGACAGTGTAAACGAGGCCTAATACTCTATTGTTAATTTACTTTTAGTTAGTACATTGTCTAAAGTGGACCAAGTTTAACCAGATATTTATAGAAGCATACTTCTGTCAGGACCGATATTGTTAAATATAATTGGCAATTGCATTCAATTTGGATTGGCGGTAGGATTCTGTTCTGGGCAAGAACTCCCTGCACATCCATGAGGCCTACCATGAATAAGAGCAGGAGAGCAGCGATAACCCCACTAGGGGTTAACAGAACAGAACCAACATGAATGTATTGCAGATATCATTAATTCAAGATTTTAATGTACAACATGATTCCCAACTCAGTTACTGGGATTTTCACAGACAACCATTTCTAGGGTTTACAACAAATGGTGTGAAAAGGGAAAAACATCCAGTATGCGGCAGTCCTGTGGGTGAAAATGCCTTGTTGATGCGAGAGGTCAGAGGAGAATGGGCCGACTGATTCAAGATGATAGAAGAGCAACTTTGACTGAAATAACCACTCGTTACAACCGAGGTATGCAGCAAAACACAACACACACAACCTTGAGGCGGATGGGCTACAACAGCAGAAGACCCCACCGGGTACCACTCATCTCCACTACAAATAGGAAAAAGAGGCGACAATTTGCAAGAGCTCACCAAAATTGGACAGTTGAAGACTGGAAAAATGTTGCCTGGTCTGATGAGTCTCGATTTCTGTTGAGACATTCAGATGGTAGAGTCAGAATTTGGCGTAAACAGAATGAGAACATGGATCCATCATGCCTTGTTCCCACTGTGCAGGCTGGTGGTGGTGGTGTAATGGTGTGGGGATGTTTTCTTGGCACACTTTAGGCCCCTTAGTGCCAATTGGGCATCGTTTAAATGCCACGGCCTACCTGAGCATTGTTTCTGACCATGTCCATCCCTTTATGGCCACCATGTCCCCATCCTCTGATGGCTACTTCCAGCAGGATAATGCACCATGTCACAAAGCTGGAATCATTTCAAATTGGTTTCTTGAACATGACAGTGAGTTGACTGTACTAAAATGGCCCCCACAGTCACCAGATCTCAACCCAATAGAGCATCTTTGGGATGTGGTGGAACGGGAGCTTCATGCCCATCCCACAAATCTCCATCAACTGCAAGATGCTATCCTATCAATATGGGCCAACATTTCTAAAGAATGCTTTCAGCACCTTGTTGAATCGAATTGCTGCTGCTGTTACTGTTATTGCTGCTGCTGTTACTGTTGTTACTGTTGCTGTTACTGTTCTTGCTGCTGCTGTTACTGTTCTTGCTGCTGCTGTTACTGTTCTTGCTCCTGCTGTTACTGTTATTGCTGCTGCTGTTACTGTTCTTGCTGCTGCTGTTACTGTTCTTGCTGCTGCTGTTACTGTTCTTGCTCCTGCTGTTACTGTTATTGCTGCTGCTGTTACTGTTCTTGCTGCTGCTGTTACTGTTCTTGCTCTTGCTGTTACTGTTATTGCTGCTGCTGTTACTGTTATTGCTGCTGCTGTTACTGTTCTTGCTGCTGCTGTTACTGTTATTGCTGCTGCTGTTACTGTTCCTGCTGCTGCTGTTACTGTTTTTGCTGCTGCTGCTTTTGCGGCTGTTACTGCTGCTGCTGTTACTGTTATTGCTGCTGCTGTTACTGTTCCTGCTGCTGCTGTTACTGTTTTTGCTGCTGCTGCTTTTGCGGCTGTTACTGCTGCTGTTGTTTCTGTTATTGCTGCTGCTGTTTCTGTTCTTGCTGCTGCTGTTTCTGTTCTTGCTGCTGCTGTTACTGTTATTGCTGCTGCTGTTACTGTTATTGCTGCTGCTGTTACTGCTGCTGCTGTTACTGTTATTGCTGCTGCTGTTACTGTTATTGCTGCTGCTGTTACTGTTCTTGCTGCTGCTGTTACTGTTTTTGCTGCTGCTGCTTTTGCGGCTGTTACTGCTGCTGCTGTTATTGCTGCTGTTGTTTCTGTTATTGCTGCTGCTGTTTCTGTTATTGCTGCTGCTGTTTCTGTTCTTGCTGCTGCTGTTACTGTTATTGCTGCTGCTGTTACTGTTATTGCTGCTGCTGTTACTGTTCTTGCTGCTGCTGTTACTGTTCTTGCTGCTGCTGTTACTGTTCTTCCTCCTGCTGTTACTGTTCTTGCTGCTGCTGTTACTGCTGCTGCTGTTACTGTTATTGCTGCTGCTGTTACTGTTATTGCTGCTGTTGTTACTGTTCTTGCTGCTGCTGTTTCTGTTCTTGCTGCTGCTGTTACTGTTATTGCTGCTGCTGTTACTGTTCTTGCTGCTGCTCTTACTGTTCTTGCTGCTGCTGTTACTGTTATTGCCGCTGCTGTTTCTGTTCTTGCTGCTGCTGTTACTGTTATTGCTGCTGCTGTTACTGTTCTTGCTGCTGCTCTTACTGTTCTTGCTGCTGCTGTTACTGTTATTGCCGCTGCTGTTTCTGTTCTTGCTGCTGCTGTTACTGTTATTGCTGCTGCTGTTACTGTTATTGCTGCTGCTGTTTCTGTTATTGCTGCTGCTGTTACTGTTATTGCTGCTGCTCTTACTGTTATTGCTGCTGCTGTTACTGTTATTTCTGCTGCTGTTACTGTTCTTGCTGCTGCTCTTACTGTTCTTGCTCCTGCTGTTACTGTTATTGCTGCTGCTGTTTCTGTTATTGCTGCTGCTGTTTCTGTTCTTGCTGCTGCTGTTACTGTGATTGCTGCTGCTGTTACTGTTCCTGCTGCTGCTGCTGTTACTGTTTTTGCTGCTGCTGCTTTTGCTGCTGTTACTGCTGCTGCTGTTATTGCTGCTGTTGTTGTTTATTGCTGCTGCTGCTTCTGTTGGTTATTGCTGCTGCTCTGGGATATTGTTTCTGCTCCTGCTGTTGTTTCTGCTGCTGTTGGTTATTGCTGCTGCTGTTGTTATATCTGCTGCTGCTTCTGTTGGTTGTTGCTGCTGTCTTTGTTTTTGCTGTTGTTGGTTACTGCTACTGCTGCTGTTGTTGTTGGTTATTGCTGCTGCTGGTTATTGCTTCTGTTGTACTAGCATAGGCAGAGGAATGTGGAGGTTTGCTGAAAGCCTGCTGCAAACTGCTACAGCAAACAATAAGAAAGAATGTTAATGTTGAGCAGAGAGCCCATTATCTATCAATACACATCAAACAATCAGCTGTGCTCTATAGAGAATGATGTAATTGCAAGCAGATTGAGGTAAGGACTTATGAGCCTGTACTATCTAGAGTTTCAGGACAGAAATATCTAGATCCTTAATTCACCATCTTTAGAATGAAGTCTCATACTAACCCAACCATCTGGCTGACAACAGCAGGTGCAAAAGCTTGGAATCTAGAGTTATCTTCAAGAAATAATAGGTATATTCAGGAAAGGGGAATTGGTAAATTATCTTTTGGTACCATGCTAATCCTCATGAAGAGACTCTGAAAGACTGACTTTTGTGTTTTTTTAACACTTTTTTTGTTAAAAAAAAGTGTGTGTTTGACTATATTTAAATCAAATTTCATTTAAACTGTTTTTGCATTTCGATTTTTAACACTTTATTCTTATTAAGGAATTCTTATTTTATATCGGTCTACAAAACGTATTTCAAGCGGTTAAACCACGCCGTGTTTTTTAAGATCCTAAGAAACAAATATAACTTTTGACTGGTTCTGTATTATATTACACTATTTAACCAAGTTAAAGATTATTGTTAATATAATCAAAAGACTAAAAAATCAATTCAGACATTCGAGATGTTGAACTCAAAACTGTGCGTAACTAATATTTGTATAAAGAGGTGAATGCATCGTTTCAGTAATGACACACCCCCTCATCCTAGTATAAGCACACGCTCACCAGACCAATCCAGACCAGTTTCCACTAATTAGGAAACCTTCCCTCTGATGTCATCGGGCTGGAGGAGCACATAGCAACAGAGAGAGAGGGAGAGACAGGGGAGGAGGATCATATTGGCACACTTAACTTCATTCACAGCTGTTAACAACTCCAGTCTAATTCATGCTTTCCCACTGTCCAGTGAAGGTAAGCACATTTCCAAATATACCGTATCCAATGTTCTGCAGTGTAGATCTAGTGTTGGATGCAGATGTAGGTGTAGGTGGATCTGGAGATGCTGGTGCGTATTGAAGGTCAACAGGTGTTTTCATGAGTCAAGGCATTGTTCATACTGAGTAACTAACTACAATCCTACATACGACGGATGAATCATATTATAGGATTAAGTGGATGAAGTTGAGAAATATTATTTCTCTTAAGTTTATTTTAGGTTCAGGGTTAGTGCTTAGTTTACCCAGTTATTGTAATTACTATAATAAGTACATAAAGGGATAAAGTTCTGCTGTAAATGTAGGCTGAGATTTCTTGCTTTTTTTCTGAGAATGAGATGAAAACTTATTTTATCTTTCTTAACTTAAAACTTAACTTATCTTTCAATGAGATGAAAGATTATTTTAATTCCTTCTATGTAAAGCACTTTGAATTACCATTGTTTATGAAGTGTGCTATATAAATAAACTTGCCTTGCCTTTACAAGTAAGAAGTACAGGATGTTTATATACTGTATATTCAGCCACACTGAAAAAAAAATCAAAGTTGTAAATCAAAGATTATTGGTTAGTAAGAAAATTCTTAGTAAATCCTATGGCCAATTTTTCATTATGCATTTCTCTGACACTGGTTAAACTTTAAGGTGACGTAGTTACATTAAGTACTGAGTAATATTAACTAACTACAGGTACTTACTATAGAGTTAAAGGTAGGATTTAGTCTAGGGTTAGTTGCTTGTAATTATGCATAATGTACATGTAGTAACGTGTAACTGCGTCACTTTTAACTAAAGTGTTACTGCCACTTATATCCAAAGCAACTTACAAAACAGAGCCCACAATATTGTAAATACACACTGCCAGGTTTATTAGACAACTAACGTTAGATGAGGAGAAAGTAGAGGAGAAATGCAGACAGATGTTTGATGTCTGTGGGATAGAAAGAGAAACTCCTAATTTGGTGGAACCGATGTTTTTCACACAAGACATGGTTTCCAGGGCAGTTTCCTGACGGGGTTGTTCACTGTCTCGCGGGGAACAGAGTAACAAGCGGTGCTTTGCACTTACACCCGGGGGATTCGCCCAGAACAAACAAGTTGTTAATTGTGTGAGGGCAAGCGGCCTCGATGCAAGGGAACGTTTGTGATTGTGAACCCGTGTGTGTTTGGCAGAGACACTGAACCCTGGATTACGATTCCTGTGATGTAACATTGAAGAGATATCACACACGAGATGCTGTGTGTTTCATATTCAAATACTGTATATGCGCTTGTGGAAACTAAATCACTGCGTATCTGTTTCGGCTTAGTCAAACCAAACTGTATTCAGACACCTTCAACGTTTTTCTCATATTATCTCAGTTTATTCGCTATGGTTTAGGAAATGGTGATATTATGAGCAGAACTCAGTGGATATTTGACTGGTTTTGTCCGTCCTTCTGTTCGACTCTCACACATGAGTTCTGTTGAATATCTGTCAGATGTTAAATTTAACTACACAATTAGATAATACCAGTTTAGCTCAACCAGTGACCAAGCAATGCTTCATGTTGGTCAGTGTGTGTGTAAAAAGAGCATTAGCGATTACAGTAAACACACTGAAGAAAACATGATCAGCTCAAAGTGGAGGAATCATTTCTGGTCCCGTATTTGTATAAATGTTACTGGTAGTCACTGTATGAGGAATTATTGTATATAGTATAGTATACACTCTTAGAAGAAATGGTTCTATTTAGAACCAGAAATGGTTCCATCCCCCGCTTCATATATGGAACCCCATGGTTCTATATAGAACCCAGAGGAACCCTTTTTTTAAGAGTGTATGGAACCTTTTAGGGGTTCCAAATACGTAGCGCTGATAGAACCTTTTAAGGTTCTATATAGAACCTTTTCTTCTAAGAGTGTAGTATAATATGCCACAGTTTATTTTGCTCTCCTCACTCACATAAATGAACTATAGTGTCCTTCACACACTTGTGAAAAATATCAAAAATTATATCTGGTGTCTGACTCATTTTTGGTTTGACTGTATAAGAATAAAAGGACATGGTCCATTGCACATCAAAGCAGAAGGTTGTGCGCCGAAGTTAACCATGTTCCACACCGACAATTATCACAGGCCACGTTTGCATAGCTCTCTGTGAAATCTTTCTCGAACGTCACGGATGCAAACCAGGCAAAGGGAATTTTCTGATACTAATACTCGCCATGCTTTTCGTTGGTTGCGGGACTCATTAAACATGTCCAATGAATTTCATTGAATCATCCAAAAAAATCCATAAACATAACAAAGTTCATGACCAAATAACAAACATATTTTCATGCCTTTCAGATGGCGTTGGGGGAAATCGAGAAAAGCAAGAATGTGAAGTCTTCGAAAACAGGTTTGTTATTATACCATTTCATCATGTTATTGTACTGTATGTCAATAGATATTTTATGTGGTTTGATTTGTGGTTAATTAATGGTTTTATTTAACATGCCGCTGGAAATCAGTACTACTCACAACACAATCTTTATGAAGCAGGGAATTTCTGTGTAAATCCTACAAAAAAATGCTTTAATAATTTTATTAGAATTTAATTCTGCTCGTGATTCTAGTGTTCATGTTTTTACAAGTTACATTTAACCACATGCAAATCCAGTCAATTGTCAATAGTTCTGTCCTTCATCTGTTTGTCCAACAGGCTTTCTGTTTTTTCTCTTATTGCAAATGAGTCTGCTCTCAAAAGTGTGGCCAGAAGACCCTCCCCCAATCGTACAAGACCCTACCACAACCGTACAAGACACTTCCACAACCGCACAAGACACTTCCCCAACCGTACAAGACACTTCCCCAACCGTACAAGACACTTCCCCAACCGTACAAGACACTTCCCCAACCGTACAAGACACTTCCCCAACCGTACAAGACACTTCCCCAACCGTACAAGACACTTCCCCAACCGTACAAGACACTTCCCCAACCGTACAAGACACTTCCCCAACCGTACAAGACACTTCCCCAACCGTACAAGACACTTCCACAACCGTACAAGACACTTCCACAACCGCACAACACACTACCACAACCGTACAAGACACTTCCAAAACTCAACCGTCTGGCAGAACCGAAACGACAACTGTAACTCATTCAATGCATCCCGAAAGCTCGAGCTCAACCACTTCAACGGGCCAGATGTCCGCTGTGGCCACAGCAGGCTCTACACTTAGCAACACACAGAGCATGTCTTATGTCAGTAATGCTGTTTCCTCAATGGGCAGTACTAATATGAACAAAGGTATCCTTTATTTCCGTCAAATTTACGTTGTTTTTCATGTTTGGTTGCAATGTTTAACTTGTTTATTTGTCAATGTTTTCAGATAATTCAACATCAGAAACATCAGGAAATTACTCTATGGTGAGTGCTGGGCATAAAATGCCTAAGATACACTTTATAAAAAAGTGCCCATATTATGCTATTTTAAAGGCTTCTAATCTCATATGCATCCAAGGTAAAAAAAAAACATTCTCATAATCTCCACTGCAGCATCAGCTCTTTCTCACAGTGTCTGAAACGCTCCAATAAAGATGCAATCTCTCTAAACCCCGCCTCTCTGAGAGCTGTTCTGCTCTGATTAGTCAGACCAGTTAGTCTGCTGTGATTGGTCAGAAACCAAACGCTCATTATCATATCTGAACCTCAGCTCTTGATACACAGTGATACGAACAGTAACTATGGGGTGGGTTTTACCGTATCAATCTCTCAAAGCAAAAAAAGTGGATTTGCTTTGTCAGCAGAAAACACCGTCTTCTACATTTACATTTTGAGCGACATCCAAAGCGACTTACAATTGCTATTTATGTCAGAGGTCGCACGCCTCTGGAGCAACTAGGGGTTTTGCTCAGGGAGCTGTCTCACAGTGGATTCGAACCCGTGTCTCTCGCACCAAAGGCATGTGTCTTATCCACTGAGCTATCACCACCCCATGTCTTCTAAACATGAACAACAAGAACCAAACTCTCCAGTCTCAAATACACTACAGTGTTTGAGGGCGGAGCTAAGAGATGCTGTTCAGCCAATCAGGACTATATACTGGCATTATGCAAATGTGTTTCAAACCTACGTGTGTTCAGCAGAAGAGAGACTAGATTTATTGGCGACTTCTTTTGGGGGACAAAAACTCCACGTTCGAAACATCTTTGAACAGAGCTTTTACATTCACAAACAGCTGCTCTATTACACTCTACATAAAAGGCAATATCCCAAAAAAACATAATAGGGGCACTTTAAGCTTATTTAACTAATGCATATTAAGATTTGAATTAATCGTTTTATACAGTGCAATTATTGTAAAACACGATTCAGAATTGCACTTTTTTTTAAAATACCTGCCTGTAATTATATCTACAATTAGACTGTTGACCATCCCTTTACCCTTTACCCACCTGACCTGTCCTAGCCTACCTATATCCCACTTCAATAGCAGCTTAAATGCTTAAAATATAAAACTTTAATTGTAACTTTGTTCCCCCTAAAAAGATATCCTGTCCAGTATTTGATTGCACTACAGATTGTTACGCCCAGCTCATGAATGCGACGATGACTTCCTGCCCATCCAGCAATTTCTGTGAGGTCAGTCCGTGCGGCAGAAGTAAAACCTCCAGTGGAAATTAAATAATGATGCGAATCATGTGCTCATGAACTTGAAATGATTTAAAGAGTTACACCTTGCTCTGTTGTGCTTCAGATAATGACTCAGAACACAAGTTACTCTGTCAAGTGCAGTGCCTCATGTGGTGTGTCCTGTGGGAACTCGACTCTCACTAATTGCTCTTGGAAATGTTGCAACACAACCAGTTGCCTCGACGACGCTCTGCTTGGCTTGACCAGTTCACTCAGTACGACAGGTACGACCTCAAACTCTGTCCAATTATCTCAGATATATGGTCGCATTTGAATATTGACTGTTTTATTACATGCCTTCAGTAGCTACAACAACATCCACTACCACTAGAACAACCACAAAGACTATGGCTCCATCCACCCAAGCAAACAATGTAAGACCACACAGCCATTTATCACTGTAGGGTACAAATAAACATTGTCTGCCAGTTTCTGACTTTTGATTTCTTTATTTCCAAAAGGGCAAGAAGTGTCATAGTATCAAGTGTGATGGGGCAGCGTGTTACAAATCCATCACTACCAGCATGCTGTGTCCCGTTGGTCAGGATTACTGCATGGTAAATCTTAATCATCTTTTCTTTTTATTAGATTAGATTTAATGTTTCCCCACCCTCTTGTCTATTAGAGCTAATGGACGATTTTAATAATCATTGAGAATAAACTAAAAAAAAAGTTAAATAACCATGTTTTGTTTAGTTTGGCTAAAAGGAAATAACACTTCACATAGAAAATTGATTATCATTTTTTAGATATATATTAAGTGAAAATTCTACTTTCACACTATAGCTAATTGAGCTTTTCTTAATGTTGAGATTAAAGGCGTTGTTCACTTTAAATAAAAGGCAAAAAGGCAATCATTTGAGCTTATAAAACTTAAACTTTGTTTTGTTTTTTTAAATGAGCGATCGTTTCACTTGATAAGACCCTTATTTATCGTCTGGAATCGTACTGAGAGACTGCACTTTACCCCAACTCTCTCCGGGGGGACTGGTCTGGGGGGTATGGATAGACAATAGAGAAAAGGAGACAGAAATATGAAGAGCGGCAGAGACGAGAGAGTGGAGAGAAAAAATAAAAAAAAATCTTGGTCCGGTTCCCACAATACACTGTTATCTGGTCCTCAACCAGCTGGGTGATCATCTCCGCAGTGCCTGGCAGTGGTGCCGGATAGCCCTTTGTAGATACGGGCAGACGGCAGAAGTCCGACTTCTGGTATCGGCCTGGTTCTTATGCTGTCGGACTCCCCATTGCTGATGGATGTGAGCTGAGTCCCAGACCTTCTCTTTAACCCAGTGGTCAACAGCTGGTACCACCAATGGCTCACCTGACCAGGTGACCATATTAAACTCACTGACACACCTAGAAGTTTGAAGAACGACTTCCACAATCTTGAGATAAACTGGGGACCTTGTTCGGAAATGATATCTTCAGGTAGGCCATAGTTTCTGAAGACTTGGTGGAAAAGGGCCTTGGCTGTTCCAAATGCTGTGGGTAGTCCCCTTATTGGGACAATGTTACAGGCCTTAGAGAATAGATCTACTACCATTAAAATGGGAAGGATCCGGACTGATGGTGATGAAATCTACTCCCAGGTTTAGAAGCTGTCCCTCCAGCAGGTATCTTTGAGTTTTAGAGATGGCACAAATGGGACATCCTTCTACCAAACGACGAACTTCCTGAGACATAAATGGCCACCAGAAGCGATTGCGGATGAGTGAAAAGGTTTTCTTGAATGCCTGAGTGACCAAAGCCCAAGGATGAGTGAATTGAGTCCATGAGGGTTAGGCGGAGAGAGGATGACACATAGAGCTTTTTCTCAGGAACTCACAGTGGAGCAGATTTAGACTGAGGGTCCTTGGCGATTTGTTTCTCAAGGGACCATTGGATCTTGGAGTTGATGATGATTATCGGAGGAGGGACCGTCGGAGAATCTAGAGAATGCCTCCGAAAGAGAGCGTATGTCTTCACAATCTTCGAAAGTTGAATCTGGAGAAGAATAATGGCCAATCCTGACGAGGGTTCAGATGTTGCGCTTCACGTTGTACTCCAGATTGCGGTAATTACATCAAATGGGGTACTTCTCTCCCTCCAACCAATGGCGCCACTCATCTAAGGCTAGTTTGTTGGCCAATAGCTCCTAGTTACCAATGTCATAATTTTGGAGAAGAAGACACATGGATGAAGTTTCACTTAGACAAAACCACACCTACTCCAGAGGCTGATGTGCAACTTCTACGATGAAAGGATGTTCTGGATCAGGGTGAACGACCGTGAGTGTGGTGGTGAATGCTGTTTTCAGCAGTTGGAAGGTGGTTGTGCCTGCTGCTATCCAGAACAGAGGGTTGAGCTTATTGCAGAGTTAAGGCCAATTTATACTTCTGCGTCGAGGGTACGCCGTAGTGTACGGCGTTGGCTTCGCACGTAGGCGACGCCGTTGTGAGCATTTATACTTCTGCGTTCAGGTATTGGTTGCTCTGCAGTACTGCTCCGAAACGCTAGGAGGCGGCGGAGGGTTTTAATGTTCCACTGTGTTTAGATTCCTCGCGGCTAGGTTACTACAAGCAATAGCGACTGAAAGAGAGTGGATCATGTTGGAGTTGGAGCTTATTGGGGTGGAAAAACAGTTCATTTTAGTGAAATTACTAAAACTGAAAGGGAGAAATGAGAGAAGACGTCGGAGGAGATGGTACGTGTGGAAATGCGTGAGAAGGTACGTGAGGAAATGCGTATGAGGAAATACGATGCTACCAAGCCGACCAATCACCGATCTTGCGGTCCGCGTCGTCGCGACGTGTAGTTACATTTTTGAAGAGGTGCGCGTCAGGCAACGCGGAAGGGTACGCGGTATGGGACGCGTCTGTGCGTATGCTACGCCGTACCTACTGCGCGCACCCGACGCAGAAGTATAAATTGGCCTTTAGAGGTTAATGGAGAGGCAATTTGGCTGAAGTTGGATATTCAAGTTGGTGAATCTGAGGAAGCGTTATAGTTCTGCCAGAACGACTCGGGAGGCAAAATTTGGTGTAGGCCCCGTCGGTAGCTCGCAATCCGAGGGTATGGAATCAAGCATTTCCTGCCTGAAGACGAAGGCAGGGGTGCAGTCGACCCCCTGGGAGGTATGGGAAGGAACCATACTGATGATGGTGGGGAGGATGGAGGTGAATGTAGGCATCAGCATCTGCTAACTCAGACATGTGTAAGTACCGATCTTTTATACTACAAGTATTAGAACTCCATTGGATACATGTGAAGGTAATAAGAAAGGTAACAATTGTCATCCCGGCAGAACTTACGTTATTGCTTTAATATCTTTTACTGTGGAAGGATTGGGCCCATTTCTAACCTCCCCTGGTCCATTGGCACTCCGTCTGCACCGATGATAAATACAAGGAACTGAATAGAGGGTCGATGAAATTCAGGCTTCTCAAGTTTGAAGTAGAGGATGTTTTCCCGAAGCTTTAACGTGGAGATGATGGTCAGTCTTGTTCCGGGAGTTGATCAGGATGTCAGTGATGTAGATCATCAGGAAGCAATGGTACTCTTGAAAAACCTCATTCATAAATCCCTGGAATACAGAGAGTTGGCTAGCCTGTACAGCATTACCCTATTACTTGATGTGCCCAGTGGGTTTTATTATCTAAGTGAGGTTGTACGCGCTACACAGGTCCAGCTTGATGAAGATCGTGGACCCCCGAAGACGTTGGAGGGCTGCAGGAACCAGGAACCAGGAGGAACCAGGTATCAGTGGCTGAGTATTCGATAATCAATAAATGGTCGCAAGCCTCTGGAAGTAGCAGGGAGGGTAGAAGGGCAGATATAGCCCTTGCAAAGAGCCTTTTCTACATACTCCCCCATGGCTTCTGTTCTGGAATAGAAAAGTGGATAGATTCTACCTTTGGGCAATGGTGCACCTGGCTGGCAATCGGAGATCAGTCCCCTGATTGATGAGGTGGTAGTTAAGCCTCCTGAAACGTCTGGTACTCGGCTGGAATGACCATCTTACTCTCACTTTAAGGAGTCTCCCCCATGATGGCATTGAGAGGTACAGTGTGCAACCACGCAGGTTTTAGGGACTTTTTGGGAAGCTGAAGACAGTCAAGGAAGACAGTCTCACTCTAGGCCAAAACCTTACCAGTGGTACAAGATATTTAAGGAGATTTAAACTTAAGCTAATTGCGTCCAAGCGAGCCCTCCAGAACCAGCAACGAGATCTCCTCTACATGAGTACAATGTGGAGAGTGAGGTGTGGTGAGGGATGATGCCTTGACCAAAGGGCAGGGGATTTCTGGATGTTGAGTTGATGGAGGAGTTGTTCATAGATGAAGTTTCCTATGGAACCAGAGTCAACAAGGGCATTTTCAGCCGATCAGAATCCACCTGACATTAAAGAGCTTGAACATTTAAAGCTACAGGTGAAAAATAAATCTGTGTGAAGTTGTCTTCCCCTATAAGAGTCTGTCTGTATGAGGAGGTTGATCAGATAAGTGGGGGCTTGCCCGGGATAGCATTGCCAATGTATTCTGAAACGTTTTTGTATGGTGAATGTCATTAAGGTCTTATGCTACGTTCACACCGGACGTGAATCGCGCCTGACGCGTCTAGTTTGACGCTTGACCACTTTGTGTTAATTCGCGTGTCAAGAGCGAAACTGGCGCGCGTAAAAACAAAAGTTTGAAGCGAAATTTACGCGCGTGACGCGCGTCAGAATCGAAATCCGTTGGCGGTCATTGTTTTTATGTCGACCGAGCATTCATCAAGAGAGTTACCGCTCTGTATTTACTCTGGAGAGCAGAACAGCGGCGTGGGGATCATCGTCGCCGTATATTTGTGTCCACCGGACCCTTCAGAGCCGAACCGTTTGGCGAGTTTCACCATTTGCTCGCTCCAGGAGCTGCGCTGGATGACGGCCGCTGTCAGCGGTACTTCCGCCTGTCCCGCGCCCAGTTTGATGACATGTTGTCCCGCATCGGAGCGAGGATCACCCTCGCCCTCATCCATCTAATCTAGTTGTCATTTATTTTTGTTTTGATGATAAATAGAGCCAGCCATCAAAAGTTATTAACCTGTCCTGTGATCAAACGTGTGAATGCACAAATGGCACTAACTGAATCATTCGCGCGTAACGCGCTTAACGCGCCAGACGCTCAATTCGTGCGAACTTGACACGCGAATGAGGCGTATTTGCGTCTTCCGCGCCTCGCTCCACGCCTCATTTGCGCCGCAGGAATTTTTCACGCGCGTAAAGCGTCTTTGCATTGACTTAACATTGAAATCATTCGCGCCTGACGTGCTATTCGCGTCCGGTGTGAACGTAGCATTAAGCATGTTTTAAAGAGCACCCATTATGCTTTTCTCCATGTTCATTGGTCTTTAGTGTGTAATGTTGATGTTTGAGCGTGATAAAGCTCTGCAAAACTCCAGTGTTTCTCAACTCCTGAAACGCCACCATTTTAGTCTTGAGTTTCTTCCTGGAATGAACATTTCACAATATTCCTCATTTAAATAATTAATATGCAAAATAAAGGGGCGGAGACTGGTTGAGTTAGTTAGTTAGTAGTGTGTTGAAAATGGCGGTTATGGTAAGGGGCGGGATATCCCAAAATTTACTCGAAGCGCTTGACCAATCACAACGCACTGATCCAGTCGACCAATCAGATTACAGTGTGCTTTTCAGAAGGAGGGGCTTCATAGAGACATGAACTAAACAGAGCGCCACTGACAGACTGGGAAGAGACGAGCCGCAACAATGGAAATTATGGGGAAAATAATCACCATTCAATCATCTAAACCTTTTGTTGTAGAGCCCAAAACAACATGCAGGCTCTGTAAAAGGCATAATAGGTCCACTTTAATGCCGAGTTCAGACTGCATGATTTATGCATGACTATCTTGGCCAGCATTCAGTCACTGCTGTGTTTACACTGGACGATTGATCGGTGACAGAAGGTTTCACACTGCATGACTTTAGAAAAATCGCCGACAGACTCTGTCTAGCACGCTGCGTGCAAACTACGTTTCACAACAAACACACGTGAGACACGTGCAAGATCGGAGTTCTCACGTGAGACTTTTTTTTTTTCCTACCCGGTTGTGGTACAGCTGGTGAAACGAGTGCTCCTGCCAAATTTCTACTAATATTTTTTCCATTTATTGTATCCAAATAGACCGAGAAGAAGCTTTTTTTTTCGGAAACAATGCCATATCATGTTGATATGTGATCTATAACTCCTCCCCGAACTCCCTGCTGCTCTGTATCTTGCTCTCTCACTGGCTGCCGGTGATCGCCGATGTAGTTTTCAGTCAAAACACTTTTCACACAGCAGGATTTTGAATCGCCGACAGGTCCAGATATTTAGCATGCCAAATATCTCACGGGCGTCGGCGACTCGTCTGTGATTCTCTCAGTTCGCGTCTTTGCTCATTCACACTGTGTGATTGTCATTCGCGTGAACGAGCGCCGATTTGCCTGTGATTTCGGGCATTTGTCGGCGATTTCTCAAAACCTGTCGGCGAGCCAAAATCGTGGCTAAAATCATGCAGTCTGAACTCGGCATAAGACAGTAAATAGGGTCAATTTTAATTTCGTGTTGACTTTAAACCATGTGATATTCAGTTAAAGGATCAGCTCTGATGCTAAATGCATGTTTAATTGAAACATAATCATTGTCTATTTTTTTTTAGCTAAAAAAGACAACATCTGGCAGCGTCGAGAGCTGGCATGCAGGTTGCAGTGAGGATTGCAGAAAGATGACGGTTTGTTCAACCTCCGTTACTACCTGCTACTTGGAATGCTGCAATGCCACTTCGACCGCCTCGTGCCTCAAGCTGACCGGTGATGTGAACATGCCCAGCTCTGCCACCAGGGGTCCTCACTCTCCTGCGCTGCTGATCGCCTCTCTACTGCTCTTCTGGATACTGAGAGTCTTCACTTGAGTGCAACAAAGTCACATTTACAGGCAATCCAAGAAAGCGCAGAAAGTGTATGTTTGTTTTAAAGCAGTTTATACTTCTTTTACTGTCCCTTTTAAATTATTTGTGTTATAAGCATGTGTGTGTGTGTGTGTGTGTCTACAAGATCCGTGTGAAAAGCAGAATGTGTGCATGTGTATATATTTGTATAGATGACAAATAAGCTTTACGTGGGTATCCATAGAGAGTTCTGTCAAGTGGGAGTGTGCCTGTTGTTGGATTCTTTATTTCACTGAAATCAGCCACCAAGGAATATATATTTACACTGAAGCAACAAATATGAGGTTTGCTTATCCTTGCATACCGATCGTTACTCAGTTGTGCATGTTATTAATTCTTGCTCTCTTTTTTTGGCATTAAAATTCAAAACTCCATACAAAAACCAGAGAATGGTAAACCTAACCTTTTCCGTTTAAGGGCATTTCCTTCAACCCTACACTACACACAACACATACTACACCATTAAATTGCATACTACACTACATACAACACATACTACACCATTACAGTGCATACTACACTACATACTACACTATTACAGTGCATACTACACTTCATACAACACATACTACATCATTATAGTGCATACTACACTACATATTACACTATTACAGTGCATACAACAACTACACTGCATACTACACAATTACAGTGGATACTATGCTACATATAACACATACTACACCATTACAGTGGATGCTACACTGCATACTACTACATTAATACAGTTAATACTACAGTACATACAGTACTACACAGTGCATACTACACTATTACAGTGTATACTACACTACATACAACACTTACTACACCATTACAGTGGATACTACCCTGCATACAGTAATAAACTATTACAGTGGATACCACACTACATACTACACTGTTACAGTGCATACTATATATTTCAAAACACCGAAGAAAAATCATTACAGAAAGGACCCTATTTTTTTTACAAACTTCTCTCAGAGTGTATGTATTTATGTATGTAAGTATACATTTTATTGTAGTCAATCATGTCTTTATCTGAAGCATATTTCTCTTACTCATATTTTGTTTTGTCAGTAGTACACAGGTGTTGTGCATTCTAATATATATATAAAACAATAATCCAAAGAATTTCCTTAGTATGCTTAGATAATCCAATTTCTTTTACAAATTATATAAAATAACAAATTGATTGTTCAAACTAGGCAGATTTCACATTGCAAAATAATAGTTATGTATAAACCAGTTAACGCCAAACAAATGAATTACGCACTTTATGCATAAATGGAAATTAGACTATGTAAAATATTTATAATGCATTTATAATATTGTATATATAAAAAGCCTGTGGGTAAAACCCATCCTCGTTAACATAAAGCTTTATTTTTTCAGAGAAATGTGTTCATTAAATGCAAGTGTACAGATCTAAATGCATAGTTATGCTTATTTTATTAAATTACATGTGATATCATAACTTTGCTGGATAACACTAATGTACTAACAATATAATAAAGGTCATGATATAGATTTTGACAGCTCGGTTGATAAAGGGTTGCAATGATTTTTATTTCTTTGTACTGCTTATATAGGAAAACAAACAAATACTGATATATTTATAGTAACATGGTATGATAACCAGCTTCATATTAACACAAGCAATTGATCTTATTAAACTGCTTTTGAAATTTATTAATAAATGCTTTATCTTCTCAGCACCCAGCCTAGCATTTTTTGTTGTTGTTGTACAGTTTCTTGCGCTTTACATTGTCCAAAAAAATACTTCTTCTTTTTTAAACGGCTCTATTGGATCAACCAAACCAGTCTATATTAAATCTGTATTAGTATATTAAAAGTTTTGGGAATTTAGTATTCACATTAATGAAAGACTGAGAGGAGACATATTCAACACTCAGATATGGGTAAAAATTATTAAAGTGCACACTACTGTACATGCAACATACTACATACAGTGCATACTACACTAAAAACAACACATACTACACTATTACAGTGCATACTACACTGTTACAGTAAATACTACACTAAATACAACACATACTACACTATTACAGTGAATACTACACATCATACAACACATACTACACCATTACAGTGCATACTACACTACATATTCCAATGCATACTGCACTGCATACTACTCTATTACAGTGCATACTACACTAAATACAACACATACTACACTATTGCAGTGCATACTACACTAAATACAACACATACTACACTATTAAAGTAAATACTACACTAAATACAACACATACTACTCTATTACAGTGCATAATACACATCATGCAACACATACTACACCATTAGAGTGCATACTACACTACACATTTCAATGCATACTGCACTGCATACTACACTATTACAGTACATACCACACCACACACTAAACTATTACAGTGCACACTATACTACACATTTCAATGCATACCACACCACATACTACAACCTTACAGTCCATACTATACTACACATTTTAATGCATACCACACCACATACTACACCATTACAGTCCATACTATACTACACATTTCGATGCACTCTGCACTGCATACTACACTATTACAGTGCATACTTCACTAAATACTACCCTATTACAGTGACACCTTTTTAGTGCATACTACACTACATACAACACATACTACAGTTCTACAGTACATACTACAATACACAGCACTATTACAGTGCATACTACACTACATACAACACATACTACACTACTACAGTGCATACTACACTACACATTACATTATTACAGTGGATACTGCACTACATACAACACATACTACCCTATTACAGTGAATACTACACTTCAGCATGAGTAGTATGCACAAGTTAAAAGAGTAAAAATAATCTAGGCTACAACATGTACAGTACATATAACAGAATGCACTGCCTTATGGCGCTTTTCCAGCATGATGAATAAAGTAGAAGTAGGCCTAATATATTATTTTGACGGGAGTGACTAGACTTATTCTGTCTAAAATATGTTGTTTTAACTTAAAGTATACTAGTACTTTATACCAAACAGCGCCCTGGGGTATTATTTTCTGTGTAGACAGGAAATATTCATACTGTTACAGTATGCATGCAATATACATTTCAGAGAATGTAGAACATGGTGTTTAAAACATACCAGGTTCTTTGAGTTAAAATAAATTCCCTATAGCGCCACCTAGGGGATCTGCAGTAAAGAGTAGTGGGTGGGATTTGACTCTGCCAAGTTTGGTGCCTGACGGTCAGAAGAAAAGTAATAAAGAAGAGGACAATCAGACGTGGTTTCATCCGAGACTCTTCATAAAAGACTACAGATGCTGATAAACTGATGAAGATGAGCTGGATCTGCTACGTGGCGGAGGAAACCACGAACACACACTAAACGATCTTAAATGACACGTCTTGCGATTGGAGAAGTATCGGGTACAGGCTTGCTGTGAATTATGGATCAGTCCGTGGCAATTCAAGAGACTTTAGCCAAAGGGGAAAACTGCAAAATAGTATCCTCTCAGCACCGCTATCTCTCTTTCTGTTCAAAATAAAGCCGTGCAATCGACTGCATGTTTTGATGCACAACTTAGTGCGAAACTTTGCACTATTTCAATACCCAGTATAAACCAATCTTTAGTTATAAAGAATATCGCGTAGTCCATAATTATCTTCTTTCTGCTTACAGTGCATGTCCTTTTTTGAGCATGCCCAGTTTTAATCTATAATTTCAGTGTGTAATTCGGGACATGTCCGCCAGATGTCGCCATTTTAATGTAAACTAAAATGACGGTTCTTCTTGTGAACTGAATGTCGGTCATCATCCTAATAGTTTGGTGGTCGAAAATGTAATTTGTACGAGCATGTATGTGTCCTTAGCAGCCTTGCACATGCTGTGGAGTGTGTTTCACTGCGGAATGATGTGAGAGAGAGCAAACTGATCGGACTCGTGCAGCAGAGCAACGAACATGCGTGAGTTCTTCAGCACTAACTATCATACTGGTAATATAATACAGGTGGTATTTAGTACATGTATTTGAGGCTAACATATAATAATGGAAAACATTTTAAAGTTCTATACAAATTTAAAATGTACAGTCGCTTCTGAAAAAAAAGGTAACACTTTACAATATGTCCAGGGACTTTGTTAATGTTAGTTAAAAATAAAGCTATTCATTGTTTGTTAATATTAGTTCACTGTGTTAACTAAGTTAACAAGATTTTAATGAAGTATTAATGCTGTATAAGTGTAATTCATTAACTCATGCTAACTAATGAACCTTATTCTAGTGTTGCTAAAAATATATGGGAATCCTTATTACTGATTTATTATTGAAATAAATCTTAAAGACAACATTTTTTGCAGGTTATTCCTATACTCCCATCGGAGAATGGCCATCACTGGCGATGATGTCACACTGGATGAAATCATACCCATTTCTTATGACTTTTCAGTTGTTGAAGGTATGTTATGTAGTTAATTATGTAGTTAGGGATACTTTATATGCTCCAGTATTACAATGTTTTCTCTGATATCTCCACAGTTTCGTCTCCAGATGAGCTTGCTGTTGTCGGTGAGGGTTTGTTCTCATCTCGACAGCTTGAGACTCAAGTGAAGCCTCTCTGGGATTGGTAACTGCTGGTTATTTTCTCATTGTAAAGGTGCGGACACTCGAGTGCGAGTGACTTTCTTCGACGAGGAGTTGGTGCTGAAGTTACCTTTCGGATCTCAGAGCCGGCTGTTCCTCGGAGAAGTCAATCGGGCGTGGAGCGGTGAGACCTTAAATCAGCCTGACCACAGTGCTGGACAATCCAACAATGAAATACATAAGTCAAGAGAATAAAAGTAGTGTTTTCTGTGGGTTTTCTGTACCCCTTTCACACAGCTAGTTGATCCTGGGAAATTGCCAGAACGCCTTCTGTGTGAACTTCTCTGATTCTGCAGTAATCATGGGTGGCGCTAAAACTGTCAAAAAGGTCTCATTCTTATTAGGGGTTCAAGCACACAGTGCTGAAACCCTATTGTAATTGTAAGGATTTGTTAAACTGACCGTGCAGACAAAACCATAAGTGCCAGAGACTTGAAACCTGGCCATTGGTAGGCCTCAATTTGAGGAGAGCCTATCAGAGTATTACCCTGATTGGCCCATAGGTGGCGCTACAGCAACCAAAAGTACTATATTGCTCATAACTCCTTTACACCACTGTGATCCCTGGCTCACGACGGGCAGATTGTATATCTCCAATTTCGATTTAGGCAGGAAAAATTTTCTGCTATGTCGAATTTTGTCCAAAATCTACTTTTGCAAGCTAGTCCCTGGTTTTTCGCCCAGTCTAGGGCAATTCTCTGGACTCTTTCGATCAATATTTCCGAAAAAAGGTTGAACTTTTGCATTTGCATTTGTCTCAGTAGCCCCTTTCACACGAGATTCCGGAAAATACACGGATAAAGTGACCCGGGTTCGTTTGACTTAGAGAGTGCGTTCACACACATCCCGTAAAGATCCCGTAAAGACACGTGACATGTAATGTCTTTCCCTGATTTCCCTCTCGAGAAACCACGCTTGTGCATTTTTTTCTCTGATTCAATCATATATTAGCGCCTTACGTACCGTTTCACTAGTTAAGTTTAGTTTAGTGTATACCATGGTCTGGGTGAATACTCGATTCTGATTGGCTGCACGGTGTCCTTTAAAAAGTGAAAGAGTGATACTAAAGGAGTTCTGGTGAAACTGACTGTCTACCATTCAAAATGAATAAATAAATGTAACCATAGAAACAGGCAAAGTATCTGTTTACATTTTTTTTTTTTTTAAATAACTACGCCTACCTGTGTGTTTTAATCATTGGTTAAAAAAGCGAAGTGTAATGCCTATTTCTAGACAAGCCGAACTTACATAAGAAAAAAAAAACGTTTTGAGTCCCATCTCTGGGAAATTTGTCTTGGACATACAAAGCAACACACATTAAAAGCAAATAGAAATAACTGAAATGATAAAAACACAATGGCATTCGAATCATACAATACAACATACATTTAAACAATATAGAGAATAAGTGAAGGTAAATACATGTGTTCAGTTCAGTTGAGTAATACTTTATTAATCCCCGAGGGGAAATTCTTTGTCACAATTGCCCACATATATTAGTAAACAACAAAAAAAAATGATAAAAACAACATATAAACATATTATAACATATAAACATATTAATTAAATCTAATATTCCAATGAACAATAAAATAAATTACAACTAGAATATTACAAACTTATTTAAAACAGATCACATTAAACAGAAAATGTTGCACAGCTACCAAAATATAACTAACTAATGTATGTATAATTAAAGCTAATTTACAACACTTGGCCCTAGTGGGGCTTTTAGTTAAAAATAAAAATACAGACTAACATTATTCATAATGAGATGCGGATTGCGGATAAAATTAAATGAAATGCAAAAACAAAGTATACAGAAAGAGCACAATATAAAAATTAAATTTGTGAGCAATATTATTTGTGAATTAGCCACAATTTGGTATTTTTTTGAAGGTGGATAATGTTGGGAAAGATTTTACAACTCCTCGTTTTACTTCATGCATAAATCCTCCGACCACACACTTTTGAAAGACCTACGGACACATTGAATGTTACACGCGTTCACATTCGGCGGTCCATCATCAACTGAACGGGAACTCACCCTGAGGAGAGCTGAAAGATAACCCTGACACATCCATAGCGATCCTGCCGAGCGAGTTGTGTGTGTGTTCTCACGTCTCCCATTCGTGCTGATCTGAGACCTGTTGCAGAGAACGACCGGCGTCAGCTGACCTGTTCTGTCACTCATTCACCAGGTGAACTTTTGGAGTCATTGCGTAATAAACGTCTAGCTTCCCCGCCTCCAAACCCTGGATATTTCTTTATGAAACTAAAGATATCCAGTGCTCTCGACTCTCAGACAATTGTTAGATTCAACACACACACGCTGAGAAAGACCCGACAGAACGGTGTGAGAGGAGGAGTGGAGGATGTGATTGTGGATCCATGATTTCCTGAGTTCATCAAAGTCATTTCGTAAACCTTAAATCCAGGAATAAGGGATGTGTGGCCTTCACGATGGCGAGTTTCAGGGGAAAAGGAAGCAGGAAGAAAATTAGAAATTTGCAAGGTAAGATAATAGAAGAACTGTGGTCATATAGAAACTATGACGCCGGCGTGTGCGAAAGGAAGTTAAACTTTTTTGTGTGTAGATGTTGATGATAGTGTGAACTAGTTCTGAGAGAGAGAGAGATCAGTGGCAAAGGGAAGAACTGAGTTCCTCTTTATCTTTCTCAGAACACACAGATAAGAGTCAGCTATGCATCAGACAAGCATCTCTATGGGGTTCATTGTGAAACTGGTGGAGCTTTAATTCATCTGGGTAATAAACGCACACTTTCTACTCTTTCTAGATGTGTGTGAGCAACATCCGAGGCAAGAGCCGAAGTTTGGCTGGCTTAGCAAGTATCGTAAGGTGTCGAGAGGAGCGCGGCCTCTGAGAAAGCCAGCCGGAGCCTCCGACGGCAAGATGAGTCGGATAACTGGTGAGTGTGTGTGTGTGTGTGTGTTCGTCCAGCTCTGCATGATGTCATGTGTGTGTTCACTCAGCTCTGCATGATCTTGTGTGTGTTCGTTACATCACTCAAAGACTCAAAGGTGTTCAAAGACCTGCGAAATCTTTTGATGCATTTGTGTAGATCTGCATTTGTCTTTCATAACACATCAGTGGGTTCATGTGTGTGTGTGTGTGTGTGTGTGTGTGAGAGAGAGAGGACCATATGTCCCCACAAGGAGAGTAAACCTTGAGATGACCTACTTTGAGGACGGTTTGCTGGTCGTCACAAGGAAAAGTTTTTGAAAGTGTTGTGTGATGGGTAGGTTTAGTGGTTGGGTTAGTCACGACAGATCTGACAGATGTGTGTGTTTGTGTGCTGATTGCTGATATGAAACGGTATATTCGCTGTTTATGTTCACTGTACATCATCCAAACACTGAGGCGCTTGTGAGAGAAACTTGACCATTGCCTTTTTTTAATTTGCATGATTTCTTTTAGTAAACAAACCAGTTGGTCCACATGCGTGTCTGCGTCACCGGCTCAGCTGTATCAGCACAATATCATTTATACACTATTATATTGCATAATACATTTTTGGGTTAAGCTCATTTAAATTTTTGTTAAAGTTTTGTATGTACCTTGTGATATTATACTATACTTTATATACTTATAGCCTATGTACACTATACTTACATCTAGTATTTTATTTCAACTTTATTTAAATTATTTAATTGATTTAGTTATGTTGTTAACACTGACCTCAACCACACTCTCCACAATGTAAAGTGTTTTCAGAGTGTATTTGCATTATGATCTTGTGGGCTGGAATATCAGTGCTGTTGTTGTTCATGAAAAACAGACTCTTTATATTGATTTTTGTTTGCTTAAGCTTGACAGACTAATGTATCATTTTATTTTTGTGTGGAATTTTAACTTTATTTTTCAGTGTCCTTGTTAATTACTATAAATTATGCATAATATACATAACCCCGGCCTAAACCAAACCTTAATCCTATCCAAGTAAGTAGGCTACATTAGTTAATTAATCAGTACTCACTTAAATGTACAATTACAAGGAAAACGTGTTCAAGGAAAACGTGTATCTTTTTTCTTTTTACTTTTTTTAAGCTGAATATCGTAAACAACATAATAATAATGTATATTTTAAAAAAGCTAATTATAACAAAATAAATTACACACTCCGTTTAATTCATATATTTCCGGTAATTTAGAGAGTTTTAACTTAAGGCATTCCCTAAGGCTTGAAATACATTTTTGCATGTAGAAACTTTAACAATTCTGCATTTGTGCGGTTAAAAATTCAATCAACATATTATTAAATAAAAATTCTATATTTTTGTTGCCCAAAAGACACGCTACTGAAGTGCAAAACTGACAACACAATCAGCTCCTTGAGTCTGATTCTCAATCGATTGATTCGTGTTCGGCTGCGCGGGTCTGGAAACTCTGCTCATGCATAACAACAAGTGAGAAACCAATGGCTCAATTTGATTGGCTGCAAAGCTGACGTTGGTAAAAGGGCATGTAAAAGGCGCTTGCGAAGCCTTTTGATTGGTCGCCACAGAAAGGTTAGCAGGGGACGTCACCATGGCGTAATTAATATTCATGAGCCAATCCTTCGGCATAGCAGGACTCCGTGCCGTGTCTAAAGCTCAGTGTGTGTGTTGTGTGTGTACAGTCAGAATGCGAGGACAGGGAGATGTCTAATGCAACTCCACTAAATGGTAAGAAAAGTGCATTCGGTGAGATATCAGTTTAAACGAACTAAATGTAAACATCTTCATGTGTAAGAAACTGTGTGTCTCTTCTGGTCACTCGCTTTGACGCGTAACGTTTCATTTAAATAACTCGGTTCTTCTGGTTTTCATAGTGAAATGTGTGTGTGCGCGCGCGCGCGTGCGTGTTTGCTCGCCCTCTGGCTTTTATACATTTGGCTTTGATGTAGAACTATAATACATGAGTAATCCTTCGAAGTGAGCTTGTGTACTGTATGAATACACCTGATAATCTCAAAGTCAGCTTTATTAATCTTTTATTATATGCGTTTGCTTGTATCTTTATTTTTCTTTTCTCCATACACGTTATGTTTGTTTATCATTTTACTAAGTGTTATTATGTTGTGTTTGACCTTAGTGACCTGCTGTGTGACATTTTCTCTATACAATATCTGTATAATATACATATCTGTTTAATATAATTCACAGGTGAAACTCGAACAATTAGAATATCATGCAAAAGTTAGTTTATTTCAGTAATTCAACTAAAAGTGTGAAACTTGTATATTATATAGACTCATTACATGCAAAGTGAGATATTTCAAGCATTTATTTGTTATAATAAAGAAATAAAGAAAGAAAAAGTTTGTATAGCTATACGCCATAATCATAAATATAACAAATAAAGGCTTAAAATATCTCACTTTGCATGTAATGGTCTATATAATATATTAGTTTCACCTTTTAGTTGAATTACTGAAATAAATTAACTTTTGCACAATATCCTAATTGTTGGAGTTTCACCTGTATAGATAACCTTATATGGAATATTTGCTCTTTTAATATTCATTTGTCAAATCACATGACTTTTTATATTACATCAGAAGAAATTAACATGTATGAAAAGCCAATTACATCATCTAAAATAAATATTTAAAAGTCTGGGACCCACATAGATTTTGATTCAGATTCTGTTTCTATAGGCCATAAAGCTAATTTGTGAATTTTAAACATTTAAAGTCTCTCCTTTTAAACTTTTGTGTTTCTATTTGAAGTTTAAGATGCACTTTGTAAATTGTTCAATTTTAAATTTAAGATAAAGCAACGCCTAATGAAAGAATAATCTAACTACACATACATTTTTCATATATACTGCACATATACTTTTAATGATGATCATTGTCATCATGATACATTTATAACCTAAATATTAAATAAAAAGTCGGTCACTACTGGATATAATTACTTTAACCAAATTGTAATGATTTTTGTCACAAATGATTTTAGAAATAACAAGTATCTCGAGTCCATTCCAAGGTCACAAAAATGGCCTGAATCAGTGTAATCAAACACAACATGAGAATGTGAGCCTTTAGGGTTTAACTAAACTAAAATCCTCTGCTAAGACTAAATGAGTTTTAGCTCAAGCCATTGTTGCCAAACCATTGCTGTGACATTTCCTGAGTGTGTAAAAGCGTAAGGAAACTGGCGTTTGTTTGGGCCCTGCCCACATTCCTCTCGGATGACATCATTGCAGGGTTCGTGATGTCATCGCAGTCGAAGTCTGACCTGATCTCCCCGCTCGTTATCAGAGCAAAACATTTCCCTGTAAGATCGCTGTAAGAAACTTTGGTTACACTTTATTTTAAGGTGTCATTGTTACAGTGTAATGTAGTAATAATAATTGAATACATGTACTTACTATAGGGTTAGGATGGGTGTTTGGTTAAGGGGTAATTGCATGTAATCATGCATAATTTATAGTTATTACTACAGTAACTACATGTAACTTGTGTAACAATGACACTGTCAAATGTCAAGTCACGAATGCGCATCACAGAACAGAGCAAGGCGAGCATTTGAGCTTATAAAACTTAAACTTTGATATTTATTTATTAAATGAGTGATCGTTTCGCTTAATAAGACCCTTATTCATCGTCTGGTGTCGTTTAAAGCCCTTTGAACAGTTTGCACTGAAACTCTCTTTTGGACCTTGAACCGTTTGGTTCCCATTGAAGTCCATTATATGGAGAAAAATCCTGGAATGTTTTGATCAAAAACCTTAATTTCTTTTCAAAGAAAGAAAGAAAGACATGGACATCTTGGATGACATGGGGGTGAATAAATTATCAGCAAAAGTTTTTTTTTTAAAGTGAACTACTCCTTTAACGAAGGACTTGTGTTTGTGTAATGCTGTGGACTAATCTGAGATTATAATCTTCTGTCTCCACGTTTGCAGGAAAAGCCGACGGCGTCGGACAGAAGAAAGAGGACGAGCGCAGTGTGTGTGAGAGGTACGTTTCACATGGTTAGCATTTCTTTCATAAATCTGCCGTTATAACAGCTTAAACATAATATATATATATATATATATATATATAGTTATAGTTATAACATAACTTTTCCTGGCTGTTCTTGATTTAAAGTCGGCTTTATTCAACATCATCAGAGGAAATCTCTGCTAGGCATATTTTCATGTTTCCAAAACATCTATGGTATTTAATGCAGTGTGTTTATGACAGTCATTTGCAGAATAATGTTCAGAAAGGAAGAAAAATAAAAGTTTTAAATGTATTTTAAATGTTCAATCCCCAGTTTTACTAATTTATAATGGCTCTACAAAACCGTTATGGTTTGATTTTTCAAGGTGAGGTTAATAATCTGTTTGCTAGCTGGGAGTGTGAAGTCATGTTTTAACCTTACAACAATACTTTAATACTGTTTATTTACTGTCACAGTCCTGATGTAAGATATAATTTGTTGTTTCATCATATTTACACTATCTTACTCAGATGTTTTTGACCATAGATACATTTATGTGAGCAAAAATACAGTAAAAACAGTCGAAATATTATTCCAATGTAAATCAGCTGTTTTCTAAGTGAAATTTATTTTATTTTTATTTATTTATTTATTTATTTGACAGGGACAATGCAAACAAACATAGTGTCAAGACCAAGCATGTCACTGAAGTGTTGCATATAAAGTTTATAGCTATTGCTAATTTTCAACTCCTGTCCCTGGAAGGGCTTTTATACACAATAAAATGTACATGATTAGCTACTTCAGTAAAAAATAATAATAATAATAATAATACGTACATGCATGCATATCATATACAACTCTAATAATTAAATATAGTTTAAAAAATACAGTAGTGTAGTGTACTGTACAGTGAATACAGTAGTGTAACTCATTCCTGAATTTTCAGCATCATTACTCCAGTCTTCAGTGTCACATGACCCTTCAGAAATCACACAAGAAACATTTATGATTATATCAGCGTTGAAAACAGGCGTGCTGCTTCAGATTTTCATTTTTCAGGATTATTTGATGAACCGAAAGTTCAAAAGAACAGTGTTTATGTGATTTAGAAAGTTGTGTAGCATTATAAATGTCTTTAATCATCAGTTTAAAGCATTCTTATTGAATAAAAGCCAAATATTTCTGTCATAAATACTCAGCCAGGAGAGAGGGAAGGGCGAGCTGAGAGATGAGCTGATCCGAAACTCCCAGCACATCTTGTTAAATAAAGACCAGATGCTCGGGATGCCCCAGTTCGGCCTGCGGGATAACCTCATCAAATGTGAGCTCCTGAAGAACGAGGACGCCTACACATACATCCAGAACTACAGGTGTGTGTCAGTGCCAGTTCTCATGCCTGAGGTGAAAGAGGACCGATTATGCGTTTCACAGTCTCAATGTTATTTTCAGGCTCTACTAGAACAGGTTTTCCAGCTTGAATGTTGATTATTTTCCTCATATTCTCCATTGTTGCGGCTCCTCTCTTCCTAGTCTGTCAGTAACGCTCTGTTTACTTCCTGTCTCTATGAAGCCCCTCCTTCTGAAAGCACACTGTGCTCTGATTGGTCGGCTGGAGCAGTGTGTTGTGATTGGTCGAGCGCTTCGAGGGTGTTTGGGAAATGTCCTGCCCCTTACCATAACCGCAACACACTACTAACGAACTCAACCAGGCCCCGCCCCTTTATTCTGCATATTAATTATTTAAATGAGGAATATTGTGACGTGTTTCTTTCCCGAAAGAAACTCAAGACTATTGTGAAATATTATTAACATTAGCTATAACAGTTATTCCCTGTTAAAAAAAGTGTATTTTAGTGTTTCGTTTCCCTCCCACTAAACAATTAAATAAATAAAAAATAATGAACATTTTTAATAAATAATAAGATTTATTTGCTCTAAATATTTTAAAACCTTTTTGTGAGGAAAGTCATTTATTATCATGTACAATAATAATAACAACACTTGAATGTACAAGACTGAATGAATATTAACGAATATACACTATTTAAGACTGATCTAAGTATTTTCACTGTACATTTGGCAGCCTTTATTTAGAAAACAAACTCAAAGATCATCCCTGAAACATATTCATTATAAATATCGCTTTGAAACAATAACTATAACCAGGATTTTCAATCAAACAGTTTGGTTTGTTACTCGTACCTTTTTCTATTTGGTGTACTTTGTTTTCATCTTAGAAATGCAGCAGTGACTCGACGCTGCCCCCTGTTGAGCGAAACACTGTCCTACAGCTGCAAATACACGAAGAGTATTCATAAAGGCTCGCAAAGCTCTTGTTTGGACAAAAGGCATTAAGCCCAGAGTCAGAGTCGTTCTCTCAGGCTCATCGTGAGGTTTCAGGATGCGTGAGATGTTTCTTAATTTACACCGGCAGCTTCTCTCTTTGGCTCGTGTTGTGGGATCTTGTGAATCACCGGCTCTGTTCTCATTGTGTGCCGACAGCTTCTTCGTGGGAACGTACAATGTGAACGGCCAGAATCCGAAGGAAAGTCTCAGTCCATGGCTGGCGTCCTCCAACACCCCTCCTGACTTCTACCTCGTGGGGTGAGAATCCGCATTTGTGACACAAAAACCAGCCACGAGTCACACGGGTATATCTCTGGCAATAGCCAACACTACACTGTGTCAAAATTATCGATTTTTCTTTTATGCCAAAAATCATTAGGATATTAAGTAAAGATCATGTTCCATGAAGACATTTTCAAAATTTCCTACCGTTAATATATAAAACGTTTATTTTTGTGAGTGAGTGTTTCAAAATCGGGAACATAAATGGACGATTTTAAAGGCGATCTTCTCATTATTTCAATTTTTTTGCACCCTCAAATTCCAGATTTCGGCCAAATATTGTCCTATCCTAACAAACCATACATCAAGAAAGCTTATTCATTCAGCTTTCAGATGATGTATAAATCTTAATTTCAAAAAATTGCTCCCATGTGACTGGTTTTGTGGTCCAGGGTCACATAGACAGTGATGAAGATGTGTGTGTGATTCCCTGCTGTAGTTTCCAGGAGCTGGATCTCAGTAAGGAGGCGTTTCTCTTCAATGATACTCCTAAAGAGCCCGAGTGGATGCTAGCCGTCTACAAGAGCCTCCATCCAGATGCCAAGTATGCTTTAGTAAGGACCTCCTCTGCCCTCGCACCCATGAGCTAATGTTCACACTGGGTTATTAGGATAACAACACCTTAATAGTCAACTAAACAAGAAGAGGCTTAGTTGACCAAACTTTAATTAGACGGTTAGAGTCATAGAGAAAAATAAATAAACCTCAGATGTGGCTTATCATGTGAAACAGTTGTAGAAACCTAACGTTTGCCACTTCACATGGCCTCTCAGTCTTAATGTTGCCCTGGATAAATATATGTGCGAATATGTAACTTAATGAGCGTCGTCAACTTCATTTTTGCAGCTGACGCTGACTCAGAAATCTCTAGTTTATTAAAGTCCCCCTGTAATCAATCATTTTAACCCCATTAAACTCATTTTGTTTAACCTGCCGGGTGCTCTTCGCATGTTGGTCAAAAATGACAACGAAAAAATATATATTTAAATTAAATGAATGTACTGTTTTAGTGAGATAATGGTTTTTATTTATTATTTTGTATTTTTTTAGGGGATTTTATGGTACTAAATTATATTTACGCTGTATTTATAATCCATTTATTAATTTTTTGAGCATAAAACGGAAAAATACATTTCCAACTTAAACTGTTGTAAATCTTGAATGCTTTTAAAACACACTCAGATTATTGCTGAAGTGAAAAAGGTTTTTAATAATTAGAGTGAACGACGTAGTTACAGAATTTTACGTTTGTTTGTTATGAAAAATGCACAAAAATACAATTTTTATACAGCACCTTTTACTCTAAAACTGTAAGAAAATCAAAGCCATAAATCTAAAGTAATTGTGTTCCTAATTTGAGCTTGAAAAATGAGCTTTTAGTGAGATTTTGTTTGGCTGCAGTACCAAACGCCTCCACTAGAGGAAATACGTTTGACCACGATTAGAAGAACAAGTGTGACGATTCTTTTCAGGACCGTTTAACCTTTTCAAATCATGTTCGCATAGCAAGTGCCAAAGCTTTTAATAAGTTTCGTACCATTCCGATGAAGTAAACAATACTAAAAATGAGGAAGAGCAACAGAGACGATTAAATGTTTCACCCCTTTATTGTCCTTGTAAGAGTATTGGTGTGTGTTGTTTAGGTGAAGGTCGTGCGTTTGGTGGGAATCATGCTGTTGTTCTACGTGAAGGCGGAGCATGTGCCGCACATCTCTGAGATGGAGGCCGAGACCGTCGGCACAGGCGTCATGGGGCGCATGGTGAGTGAGTTACGAGGAGCGTATGATGAGTGTGTTACGAGAAGTGTGTGGTGAGTGTGTTACGAGGACCTAGCCTAATCCTACCCTAACCCTACAGTAAGTAGATGTAGTTAATTAATATAACTCAGTACTTATTTGTGTAACGACATTGTAACAACGTCACCTTAAAATAATGTGTGGCCTTGAAGAGCTTCATTTTCTCATGCCTACTTGATGTATTGTGTCCAGGCTTGGGAGGGTTACTTTAAAAATGTATTCCGATACAGTTACAAATTACTTCATAAAAAAAGTATTCAGTAACGTAAACCAAGTACCAGAATATGAAAGTAATGTAACTGATTACTTTTGGATTACTTCAAGGACAGATATTATTAAAAAAAACACACAAAAAAAAAACTGGTAACACTTTACAATAAGGTTCATTAGTTAACATTAGTAAATGCATTAACTAACATGAACTAACGATGAGCACTGCATTAGTTACAGTGTTTGTTAATCTTTGTTAATGTTAGTTAATATAAATACAGCTGTTCATTGTGTGTTCATGGTAGTTCATAGTGCATTAACTAATGCAACCTTTGGTTTTTAATAACGTATTAGTAAATGTTGGAATTAATATTAACTAAGATTAATAAATGCTGAAGAAGTATTGTTCATTCTTAGTACATGTTAACTAACGTAGTTAACTAATGAACCTTATTGTAAAGTATTACCAAAAAACTTTTATTTATTAAGAATTTCACATCCCTGAAATATATTTATTTAAAGGGCTATAGAGACATCTAGTGGCTACAGTATGGTTTTACAGATTATTATGTATTACGTAGGCGAAAGCCCCGTTCAAAGATCCCATTCATTTCAATGGAGCGCTGGCGACACGAGCGACAGTGACCGTTGGCGACAGAATGTGGGCGTGTCAAGAGACAAGCGACAAAAGTTGAGAATTTTCTACTTTATGCAAATGAGAAGCGATTTTCGCGAGCGACAACCAATAGGAAAGAAGACTTTCAGTGGAGCTCAGCTCACGTCACCGTCTCGAGTGCAGTGCAGGCAAGACAGAAAGAAAGAGTTTGAGGACGATTGCACTGTTTTATATGATTTGACTGTAACCACATACATGGTCTTAGTGAGTTTAATTCATACATTTAACGTTATAGTTCGAGTGTTGTAATTATATGATGCACGTTAGCACTGCTGCAGTTCATTTTACAATTTCCCCTGCATTACATTGACTATTAGGGACAAGAAAATTGATTATTAGTAGTGGTGTCACGATTCTCCAAATCCTCGATTCGATTAAGTTATCGATTCTAAGGTCACGATTCAATTCGATTCTCGATTTAAAAAAAAAAATGTAACAAATGTAAAGCGCAGATTGCTATGCAATTTTTAGACTACACATTTATGCATTATGCAATATAAATTTGTTCACAATGTACACTACACCATTGCCAAATTTAAAATATAACAAAAACAAGTAACATAACTTAATAGTATAACATTTAAAGCCCCTGAAATGACTAGAAAAAAAGTTTAGTTAATTTTGATGAACGAGATTGAACAATAGGGTCAGTAAAACGATCTGAACTTTCCATCACGGACGCGACATGGGGCGTGGCAGTATCGACGATACCATTTTTTATTTCGATTTCGATACCATTGAATTAATTTCGATCAATTTCGATTTAATATCGAAATCGTGACACCCCTAATTATTAGTCAAATTCGAATGACGTTTTTATAATTTGTGACAGTATGAGTGAGTTTAATTTGTTCATTGATCGATCGTTGATCTAGTAAATGATTTAATCCACTGAACACAGCTGTGGAGATATAAAAACACTCTCCCAACAGCATATGGTTTCTTTTTAGCCTTAAAAGTCATTTATTCCCAGTCAAATTAAAATTATATATCACTTGTGATGGTCTTTTGTATAGATGTGGCCAGACGTGCAGTCTACCAATAACATAAGAGCGACAGCACTACGAACGCCCACAAGTGACATCACAGTACAGAGCCTAGCGACACACAGCGACAAAATCGCTGGCGGTGTGAACGGGGCTTAAGGAAATAGTAAAAACACAACATTCTACACAATCTACATATTAGTTTATTTTAAAATAGGAACTAAACTGTTGACTAATGCCGTGATCTTTCTTAATTTGCCTGACTGAACTTGGGCCGTTGGAAGTAGGAGTTCCCTAACGTTAGCGGTGAACATCTCCTTAAGTGAGACTGAGAACGAAAAGATAATGAAAGGAAATTTTAGGTACTAAAAAAGCTACTCTCTTAACTTTTACAGATTCCAGCATCGCTAGAAAACTTACAACTGCGATCATACAAACCACAGAATTTTAAAGCAGTAATAAACGCTACATATTAGGCTAAGCTAACAACACGGCACAGGATGCACTGTAAAACAATGTTGTTGGAATTTTCCTCTTTAAAAACAAAATAGCAGCGGCATTTCCAAGAAATGAAAGCATTTTTACCTGTGAGCAGCATCGTTTCTAGCAGCAGTGTTTCAATCGGTGTCTGAGGAGATTGTTGTCGAGAGCTGTTATTTTACGCAGGCACACGTGACTCGTGCCGCGCGAGTCATTAATATACTGTTATTATGCCAAAATACATATGAAGAGTTCAGATGCAAAAGCCTCTAAATGCCATTTGAAATTTTCTTCTAAAATGATCATTTTTATCAAGCTTATATATTCAAGTTCAGTAATTTCACTTAAATGACAATTAATAGGTAATCCTCATTGCAATTTAAGTGAAATCACTGAACTTAAATATACAAGCTTGATAAAAATGATCATTCTAGAAGAAAATTTCAAATGGCACTTAGAGGCTTTTGCATCTGAACTCTTCATATTTACTTAGTTTTAAATGACACCATTGTAATCCTGAAAGTATCCCCCCCTTTTTCAAAAAGTAACTATAATCTGATTACTACGTTTTTTGATGTAACTGTAACGAATTACAGTTACGGGATTTTTGTATCCTGATTACATAACGCCGTTACATGTATTCCGTTTCTCCCCAACCCTGATTGTGTCATATTAACATTGACATAAATGGACTCCAACTGTTCTCCTAAATTAGAAGCATGAAGTTGCCTAAAGAAATGTAAGCATTAGCTTATCACATTCAAACAACCTTCTTTCTCCTTTAGGGAAATAAAGGTGCAGTAGCCATCCGCTTCCAGTTTCACAACTCGGACATCTGTGTGGTGAACTCCCACCTCGCCGCGCACACCGAAGAGTTCGAGCGACGGAACCAGGACTTTAAGGACATTTGCCGCAGGATTCAGTTCCGGCAGGAGGACCCCACACTGCCCCCCCTCACCATCATGAAACACAGGTATGAACTGAACACCAGATCTGGTGTGACGGGGTGGCATAATGGCCCTTTATGTGAAGTTTTAGCTCAAAATACCACACAGATAATTTTATAGCATGTTAAAATTGTTGCTTTTTGGTGGTGAGCAAAAACACTGTTTTTGTGTGTGTCCCTTTAATTGCAAATGAGCTGCTGCTCCCAGCATAGAGGGCGGAGCTTCGACAGCTTGTGTGTGTGTGTGTGAGCAGCTCCTATTACCTCACACATTCGCACTGAAAATTTTCAAAAACTTGTAGCCTTTTTTTGTTCAAACCGGAGTCAACAAAGATGGAGAGACTCAACAAGAAGTGACATCATGTAGAATAGAACAGGATAGGGGTGTCCATGGTTAACCGGTTAACCGATTAACCGTTTAAAATTCCATAACCGAGTGAAACCTTTTTGCTCGGTTAAGTGGCGTCAATACATATTTGCACAAAACTTTTGCGTTTTTTTTTTCTTCTGATTGTCGATAAAAAATATTGCGAAATGACAGCGTTTCTATTAACGGTGTTATGCGACTAAAACATTTTTTTTCCTTTCGCGATAAGCCATTCCAAAAATGATGGCAACGAACGTTGGTATATCACAGCCACCGCACTAGACATTATTATTATTTATGGAAGGAGACGTGGTGTGTCATCCAAGCATTAATGGCAGGGAAAGTCGCAGAGTTTCTGTGTGTTTCTCCCTCATTTCTGCTCCGCGGTCTTGATTGTGGCATTTCTTTGAGGTTTTGTCTAGTAGGCTATATTCCTTGTATCCTTTATGAATTTTAAAAAAGAACTCTGCCTCATATATGTCCAAACGGTCTACTTTTGTGTTCATTCGTTTCCCCTTATTTAATCCGTTGGCCTAATTGCAAAATGAAAAAATGAACGGTTGTTGTATTTTGTAAATAGCAAAGTTGAACACCAAAATGTTCATTTGAACTGTAGGCTTATACACCAAATGCTGCGCAAAAATATATAGGCTATATATAGGCTAAATATCGACGAATTTGCCCCTTAAACATTTAAAATATTTGACAAATTAATATGAAAAAAAAGATTTTACTGGTTTTCTGAGGCCAAATTAGAACCTGGAAATGATATTTTCCCCCGCAATGCTGAATGAGAAGAGCCGTAACCACAGCCTGCAGAAATGGGATTTATAGATGATTTATATAGGCTATAATAAATGTGTCTGATAATAAAATAATATAAAATAACGAGGCATTAATTATTTATTAATAAACTATTGTATTTTCGGCTAAAAACAATTCTCCATCTCCGGATGCACATTTAGAGAGAAATTAATTAGCTACATAATTACATAGTCAGAAGATATTGGCCTTCGATTCGAATTTGTTCGTTTTAAATTGGACATTTAAAGCTTTAGCCTACAAAGGATATAACCCCTGTAGACTAAAGCTTTACATGTCCAATTTAAAACGAACAAATCCGAATGCGGTGGCTGTTTCAGGTCTCGCGCTTCAGTTCGCGGAGATCATGAAGCGCGCCTGAGTGTTAAAGAACAACGTTTTCTTGTTATTGTGAGTTTACGCAAATAAATGTATTTGCGAATAATGTATTATTATTTTCTGTATGACCAGAAATGAAAGAGTATTTTAAGTTGTTTGTTTCCACTGAAAGAACTGCAAGTGTTTACATGGGCGTCTCGCAGCCATCAATGCGCGCTCCACACACATTGGATATGCGTCAAAAATATTGAGTTTATTTGTGCTTTGTTCCTTTTTTGGATAAAGGCGTCTTCTACATAATATGCAGCCTAATAAAATGTTACAATAATGATGATTATTATTATTATTTGCGGACACGGAGTTAATGTGCTTATTTTCAATTGGCAATTTCATTTTGAAGGGTGATGGAAACGCACCTACTTTAACTGCTCTGTACTTACCACTGCGTTTTATTTCTATAAATTAATTTCGTTTCAAATGGGGTCCAACCAGTTATTAAAAAGGTGTTAAAAATTAACTCTGTATCTCGAGGTTGCGGCGCGCGCACATGGTTAACCGAGTATTAACCGATAAGGGCCTCGGTTAACGGTTAATGAAAAACTTGAAAACGTGCAGCCCTGAAACAGGACATTTCTGATTGGTTAGTTGATGAATTTATGTAGCTGATGTGGAGTTAGGGCTGGGCGATAAAACGATAACGATAATTATCGCGATATAATTTTTCTCGATAAAACGATACCAAGAGGTCGATAAATGTTCGATAATGTTTATGCGCCAAAAGCGGAACGAAACTCATTTGAACCGCGCGCCACACGGGGCATTTATCCGCTCGGCTCAAAGTCCAAACGGCAGTGAGCGCAGCGCGAGCTCGCTAGAGCAGACGCGATTGCTTTGATCGTCTCGCTCAAGACATCCAGCGAGAAGCGCTTGAGTTTAGCGAAGAACACAGATGTCAAGTTTAAACCAGTTTAGGGCAGATAAAACACCGCTGACAAAAAAGAGAAACAATGTGTGCAACGATCCAGTCAGAATCTGAATTGATACTGAATCCATTTAGCCTACCATGGATTTACTGTAAGGTTAGCCAAGTAATATTAACTGCACCATGAAATCTGGGATATACATATTTAATTGTATTATTAATCTAGACAATTCATTAAATGTCTTATGGAATATAAGTACAGCATTTAATAATGTATTTAACTGTTAGGCCACTGTTTTCATACAAATACCACAGAAACCATAAAGTTACATTTTGCCATGATAGTGAGGTGCTGAGTTATAGGCTATGCCTGGTTTTATCTGTGGTTATCATCATCTAAATTCATGAGACTGGATGACCAATGGTTAATTTTAATACAACTCAGTCAAAATATTACATTTTACCAAATAAAAATGTGGTCGTTACATAAAAAAAAACAGATGTTACTGTTTTTGTTAATGAACATAAATTTAACATTAGCTTAGTATTAGCTTGAGTTAGGATGCAGATTTACTGTCAACTCACTGTCAAATATGCATTTTGAGATAAAACATGTAATTTTAATATTGCAGCCTGCACTGCAAACTGTGCTGAAGAAATATTTTTCTATTGAGATATTTATTTTAAGGAAAAATGTTTGAATGTTCTACCTCATATTTGTGAAATGTTCACCTGTTTGGCGAGTGTTTGTCATGATATGTTCTGACAATAAAGAGTAGTTTAAAACCACAATTTACGCTCTGGTTAATACAACTTTCACTTAGGAGAAAAAAATCTGCCTTTAAACTTGAAAGAAATAAAGATTTGACATATATCGTGATAATTATCGATATCAACTGATATAAGTATTTATGTGTTATTTTTTATTTTTATTTTATTTTTTTTTCTTTCTCTCTTTTGTGTTACATGATTTATGACATGATTTCTAAATGACTGACCGAAGAAATAAATAAATACAATACAATACAATATAAAAGAAATTATCGTGATAATTTTTTTTGGCCATATCGCCCAGCCCTATGTGGAGTTAACAATCTTCTAGTCATTGATTAGCATGTTCTGTCAGGATAATCTATAAATTGCGTTCCTGTGAGCGGGGTTTATGTAAATTTGAGGGTTGGTGATGTCACTAACCCATGAACAAGCTCATTGTAGTTCCTTCCAGCTGTTTATTGTAGTCCTTAAAAAGCGATTTCTGTAAAAGAAAATGTCTCTCTTTGCTTTGAGCGTCGTAACTTTGCAGATGTTGTTTATGCTCAAACAGCAACATTACACACTATCTAGGGCTGAACGATTATAGAAAATAATCTAATTGCGATTTTTCTCGCATGTCATGTGACCAGTGTAATCGCAGCTTTTGCGGTTACAAAATCGCGTTTCATCATATCGCGATATTATCGCTAATGCTAAAGTTAGTGTTAGGCCTGTCAATGTTCAATGTTCGTCAATGTTCTCTTCTTTTCCAGTGTTGTGATATGGCTGGGAGATCTAAACTATCGCTTAAGTGACCTTGAAGTCGATCATGTGAAGGAGTTAATAGCTAAAAAGGAGTTTGAGACCCTGTGTAATCATGACCAGGTAAGACTCAACACATCATGTGCGTTTCTCTGGATAATGGGGGGTTATTTGGAAATATGAATGTGTGTGTGTGTGTGTGTGTTTCAGCTGAAGCGGCAGATGGATGAGGAGGTTGTGTTTGTGGGATTCACGGAGGGAGAGATTGATTTCCAACCCACATACAAATATGACACCGGCTCAGATCAGTGGGATACAAGGTCAGAGAACACCAACATCACTTCCCCTGTCATACTCTCAATAAAAGAGCTAATCTTCTCCACAACGTACAATAAACAAACACATAGCAATGTGCTAAAATCAAGAAACATTTACTTCATCAAAACAATGTTTTTTTTCTAATGCCTTTTATTATTATTATTATTTCCAGTTGATAGTGAATGACAGCCCTATAAAACATACATGAGAAAGTGCTGGAATTTGGCACACTTATAGAGGTGGCCCTGAATAGTAATCTGACCAACTTTGGGGGTTTCTATGACCAACTCTATAGCGCCACCACCAGTTCAAATATTCACTTTGTCATTAGTTTTGAACCTTTTGTCCTTGAAACAGGCTTAGTACAGCCGATTACTCTTGAAAAACCTCTCAGATGATCACTGGACAAAGCCTCGCAGAAATGACTGAACAGAATTTTGATATTTCTTTTCGTTAAAAAGTTACTTAATATTAATATTGACTCTACTCTGTAATTACATTAGATGCTATATCTCTGCGATAGTTTTATCTATCGAAACTAAACTTGGTACACTTCATCAACACCATGATCCGAGGGTGTGTGCCAAATTTGGAAACAGCGCCACCTACAGGTCATGAGATCTGAAAAATGGCTATGTTTCTCACAACTTTTGAAACGTTTGGTCATGGATCTGATCGGAAGAGTCACACGTCTGCCATTTTTTGAAATTTGGCATACATTGTAATTATTTTTAAGTGTTTTGACGCATCGGCACACAATTTCCTGAACAGCAAATTCTGAAGGTGCCCAAAACGTTTGAAGACAGCATCGCCTAGAGTTCAGATGATCTTGATGTGTTTTAGCCCCATTATTTATTCCTGTGATCAGCATCATTACTCTTCAGTGTCACATGATCCTTCGGAAATCACTCTAATATGATGAATTGCTGCTCAAGAAACATTTATGATTACTATCAGTGTTAAAAACCGTTTATTTGTGTCGATGCAGTGAGAAGTGTCGAGTTCCTGCGTGGTGTGACCGCATCCTGTGGAGGGGGAAGGACATTCAACAGCTTAATTACCAGAGTCACATGACCCTGAAGACCAGTGACCACAAACCCGTCAGCTCTCTGCTGGAGATAGGGGTGAGAACAGCAGCAGACGTGATCGCACACACTCCTCATCCTCAGGAGGGTTGGGTATTGCTTCAATTTTAACGATTCCAATTCGTATTGATTACTAATTTCGATTCCAATAAGGGAAAAAAAAAAACTTCGATATCTTTCATATTTAGTCTTATAGACCCCTTTTGCGCCGACGTCACAGTTACGTCACGGCGCTAGCTGGAGGCAAAACAAAGTGAAAACTGGAGGCGGCCAATACAAACCAGCACAGATTCGGCTACATAATAAAGAGCTTAAATTACTTTTATTATTATTAAATGTCATCTTGTTGTGTTGTTTGGTGCAAGTATCAATGAAAAATGAATATGCGTATCTGAAACTTTTTATTTCTAGAAAATATTCACATCATTAAAATCGCACTGTAATGTCACTCTTTACATTGTCGTGGTCTCGGCGCTGGCTCGGCAGAACTGCGGATCGTACACACAAGTCTTGTACAGGACCATAAAGGCATCTAAAGATTTATATGCCCTCAGTTTCTCTTTACGATCGGTTTCTCTATAAGGTAGGTGTAGAAGTCAGGCCACTCACCCGAGGGAACGTACATTAATCAGTCAGATCGTCCATGCATTGAGTGAGTGCGTGAAGGCTACGGGTCGGCCGATCTGGTTCTGTCCATTAAAATTAACTTTTGAAAATAACAATTGCAGTCCTGGACACTGAGTGACCTTACACATTAAGATAAAATCTGATTTTCTCCAGTCATTGTTAAAAAAAAAGCTAATAAAACTTGCTAACTAGCGTTAGTGAAGCGGCCAGAGGGATCGTTCTGCCTCCACCTAAGCTCCGCCCACATAAAAACTTCACCATTTTTACCAACTGAAAAGGGGTTTATTGCAAAACATTTATTTGTAGCTGAATATCATGAACAAAATTGATCAGGCTAAACAAAGAGCGTTTGCCTGAGGTTTAAAAATACCATAGAAAAACAACTAGCCTGACTAATGTACAAATGTTAAGCATTATAAAAGACAAGTAAACACTCAAAGAACTGATAAGAAATTAGCAATCGCAACAAAAAGATACAGCTGAACAAAGATAACTGAAATTAACAGTGTTTTATGATTTTCAGTGTTCGGGTACAGAATCTGTAATCACATGTAAAATAACACTGCACTTTATAAGTAAAATATACACAAATATAGTTATTCAGTGAAGAACGAGTGAATTTTTGTCTTTTGTTTAGTGTTATTATAGAGACGGCAGGAATGTTAGTGCTGTCACTTTAAGGGATAGTTCACCCCAATGAATCAATTACAATAGAAGCCTATGGAGGAGTGATCCAGCTCTCAGATTTAATCAAAAATATCTTCATTTGTGTTCCCGAAGATGAACGAAAGTCTTACGGGGTTGAACAGGGGTTGAGTTTTATTATGGGGTGAACTATCCCTTTAAGAGCTGCACTGATGCTGCGTTCATGTGCTGTAGAAAATAGGATTTTTTCCACTTGTGAACTGGTATTTACCAGTGTGTTGCGTTCAAGTGCTTTTGTTGTCGTAATGTGGTAAAAAGATGGAGATCCAGACCTGTTATTTAGCTAAAACTATTTTAGATAGCTTAAGTCATCTGCAACAGCAAGAAAATGATTTATCAAAACTCAGAAGGTAAATAATATGCTGTATATTTTCTAGATCATTAATAGAATATGAAGAGTTCAGATGCAAAAGTCTCTAAATGCCATTTGAAATTTTCTTCTTTAATGATGATTTTTATCAAACTTGTATATTTAAGTTCAGTAATTTCACTTAAATAACAATTAATAGGTAATTATCATTGCCATTTAAGTGAAATTACTGAACTTAAATATACAAGCTTGATAAAAATGATCATTCTAGAAGAAAATTTCAAATGGCATTTAGAGGCTTTTGCATCTGAACTCTTCATATATTTTTACCATTCATGCCATTTTGAAAAGGTCAAAGGTCACCTCAACTCGGCAACTCGTCCATCAAAATATTCTACGAGTTGCCCAGTGGAAAATACCACATGAGGGGGTGTCTACGTCGGCTTTTGGTATTTACCATGATTACCATCGCACATGAACGCAGCGAGTCGTCTCACGCTTGAATTGTTTAAAGTCATATTGAAATGGAATCAATAAGAGGAATCAAAATTTAAATTTTAGTAATCGGAAAGAGTTTTCCCAGCCATAATTCTCAGTCGCCTTACTGACATCTGCGCAGATCAAGCTCGTGAACGACGAGTCCTACAAACGGACATTCGAAGAGATCGTGAGGCGCATCGACCGACAGGAGAACGATTGCATTCCTTCAGTGACGCTGTCTGGGACAGAGGTGAGCCGTCTCCGTCCTCCAGCATTTGAAGTGTTGTCATTATTCAGTCTGTGACTCTGTCACACGTTTCACATTTACACTTCAAAAGTTAGGGCTTTGAAAGAAATGAATACTTTTATCCAGAAAGATCACATTAAATTAATCAGAAGTGACAGTCAAGACATTTGTAATGTTACAAAAGATTATATATTTAAAAAAAGCTGTTCTTTTTTATTCATCAAATCAATTCCATTTCCACAAAAATATACTGTTTTCTATGGAAACTTGTTTCCGCCACTGAATAAAAAATAAAACTCGCAATAATGTGTTATAAAGTCAGAATTGCGTGAAATAAAGTTGCCATTTCAAGGGAACAAAGTCAGAATTGTTAGTTTTTTTTAGACTTTATAACATGCAATTGGGACTTGGGACAATTCTGAGATAAAACAAATGTTTTATTCTGTGGCGGAAACAAGCTTCCATAGTTTTCAACATTGATATTAATCAAATGTTTCTTAATCATCAAGTCATATCAGAGTGATTTCTGAAGGATCATGTGACTCTGAAGACTGTATAAATAAATTACACTTTACTAAATATTCACATAGAAAACTGCTTTTTTAAATTGTAATAATACTACACAATCTTTACTGTATTTACTTTTACTGTTGGTTTAGCTGTAACGCAAGTCAGTGTTTACATGTTTAGCCTTTGAAGGGAAACCGAATGCCTCATTTTGATGTTTCTCTGTGTGTGTGTGTGTGTGTGTGTGTGTGTGCAGTTCGACTTCAAGAACGTGAAGTTCATGCAGCATCAGGCTCAGACCGTGAGGGTCCACAACGACGGCCAGGTGCCGTGTCAGTTCGAGTTCATTCAGAAGCTGGACGAGCCGTTCTACTGCAAACCCTGGCTAACAGCGAACCCGTGCAAAGGCTTCCTGGCCCAGGGTGAGACCATACACTGACCGTCAGGGTTTGAAGTCAACTTTTCCACCCACCAGACAATTTGGCTTCTAAATGTTTAAAGCTACACTGTGTAACTCTTTTAGTTTATTCTTATCTAAAAACACTTGGTTCCTTCGAAAATAAATGTACTCATTAATGTATATTTAGTTCGTTCAAGTAATAAAGTGTTCTCGTGAGTGTATAATATGACATTGAAAATACATACTGGTAAGGGATTCGCCATGTTGCCCCTCCATCTTGAAAGTACATTAGCCAAAGAGGCACATACCCGTTAATTCAAGCTGCAATTCAAGCTTTTCTGTAATTGCTAATGCTCTTTTTACACACACACTGACCAACATGAAGCATTGCTTGGTCACCGGGTGAGCTAAACTGGTATTATCTAAATGTGTAGTTAAATTTAACATCTGACAGACATTCAACATAACTCATGTGTGAGAGCAAAACCAGAACAAAACCAGTCAAATATCCACTGAGTTCTGCTCATAATATCACCATTTCCTAAACTATAGCGAATAAACTGAGATAATGTGAGAAATGTTGAAGGTGTCTGAATACAGTTTGGTTTGACTGTATATTCACCCACTGTGAATATAGTATCTCTGTAGCAATTCTACAACATCCAGCGGTTACTGTTTTATTGAGATTGACTAGCATAGTTTCACACCCTCTTGTGTTAGCTAATGCCATCAGTTATTTCACTGAGTTTCCTAACACAAGCAGATGTGACACAAGAAGTTTCAATACCAAGTCCTTTTTCTGTCCTCACTTGCATCAAAATGCCGCTTGAAACAACAGATCACACATGATCCTTCCCTCGCGGGTCAAAACGACCAAAGACCTAAAATTATACTTACCGTAATTTTTTTTTTTTTTGTCCAGAAAGCTTATTTTATTTCATTTTAATAATATTTTTTATTTATTGTATTTTTTTAAAGATTTTTTTGTTATTTTTTTATTTTATTTAACTTTAAATTAATAGAGTTAATCAATTAATAATAAATATTGAGTCATTTAAGCACATTCCTCACAAAGTAACTCACTATTTCATGCATAACCCTTTTAATTCAGCTCTAAATATCTTATTTATCTATCTATATTTCATGACTCTAAATGGCCTTATAGCTCTATATGAGCTGCTCCGCTGTGTCCTAAAGCCAGTTTCTCTTCAGTGTGCATTCAGATACACATGTAGACATTTTTTTGGTAAAGTCTTAGCAATTTTTGTTTTCATTTTGAGCATTTTTTAGGTTTTTCTATGTGTACTGAATAGGGGTGTGAGATATATATATATCATCTGCAATAATTGTTGTTTTAACGCTGTATGATTTGACATTATCGAGTGCAGCCTATCCCTCACACACACACACACACACACACACACATGCATACTCTACTTAATGTAGTCTTGTAGATTAGACTAGTGTGTTTGCACATTTAGAGTACACGCTTTCACTGCGTAATTTAGTCTTTATTTATATCATTTAGTGAAAAATATGTGACCCTGGATCACAAAACCAGTTAAGAGAAGATATTAAGAAGATATTTTATAAAGACAGTCCACGTCATGTGTACAGGCAGGAGCCATCTTTGGAAAACAGTCTCGACCAGTCGAACCATGAACGCCGTGTTAAGTGAGCTGAACTGTATCGACTTATTGAGACTGTTCTCCAAGATGGCTCCTGCCTGTATACGCGAATACACTGCCTGTCTGTACACTTACACAGTGCTTCGGTTTGCATGTAGGGACACGTGGGGCTATTTTGAGCCTTTTTTATTTGTATTTTTCATTACTCTATGCCCTATATACTAGCATTATACACTAAACAGTTTTTAGAGATAAAATTCTTTACATTAGATTATTATTTATTTATTTGTTTATTTCGAGCAATATGTAGTTACACACGACAAGGCAATACGAAGCATTTTGGTTAGTCTGTACAGGGCTTTAAATTCATCCTATTTACATCAACTTTAACAAAACCTAAATCTAATGCTCGAAACGGAGTGGATAGAAGTCAAACTTATTTGAACCCACCCCGGTTACCAATAACAGGAAAAACAAAACAAAACAATAATAGTTGCTTACTTACACATTATCATAACACTCAATAACAATTTTGGATATAAGTACATGTATGAAAACATGGAAAAGGAGAGAAGGGAAACCCCTTCTCCCTCATCAAAAGCAAAACCATACCAAAACAAAACATATCCTACATACACACCATATATGATCATGATCTCAGGTTACAATTATAATAATACCAACAATGGTAATCAATTACCTACAAGGTAAAATAAAACAGATTATAAACACATGGATACATCTATGAAAATACCAACAATGGTAATCAGAATACCTACAGGGTAATATTAACAAAAATACATGAATACAACTCACAAAATTAAACCATTACCGACATGTATTGCGATAAGACCTTCTGTTTATAATGTACTTTAAATTGATGAATATTTTGGCTTTGTTTAAGTTCAAGCCCCAAACTATTCCAAAGTTTAACCCCAAATACAGACACACAAAAACTTCTCCTAGTTGTTCTGACCACTGGTATTACAAAGTTCCCATAACTCCTCAAACTATACGACTGCTCACTCTGTGTAAATAACCCCGGTGTAAATTATAAGCAGTGTGAAACATGAAGATAACCAAGGAGTTTAGGATGACCCAGGGTTAACTAGCCCTATTGTGCACTCAACATTTTCTTTCACCGCCCCCAGTGCAGTGCTAAATGTTGCCTCCTCTGATGTCTCTGTGGTGTGTGTGTGTGTGTGTGTGTAGGTGGCAGTGTGGACATTGACCTGGAGGTGTTTGTGAACCGCTCTACGGCCCCGGAGCTGAACTCAGGCCAGCAGCAGCTGGAGGATATCCTGGTCCTGCACCTGGAGAGGGGGAAAGATTACTTCATCTCCGTCACGGGCTCGTACCTGCCCAGCTGTTTCGGCTCGTCTCTCGCCACACTGTGTCTGCTGAGGGAACCCATCCAGGAGATGCCGCTCGAAACCGTCCGAGAGCTGGTGAGAGAGGCTCTCTGTCTGACTGATCCACAAACCGCTAGAGTTCTGAACCATGCAGTTGCCAATCAACAGTAGGGGGCGTGTCCACTCATGACAGGGAGTAGAGAGAGTGAGCCTATCAGCAGTAGGGGCGTGTCCACTCATGATGGTGGAGGAGAGAGAGTGAGCCAATCAGCAGTAGGGGGCGTGTCTACTCATGATGGTGGAGGAGAGAGAGTGAGCCAATCAGCAGTAGGGGGCGTGTCCACTCATGACGGGGAGTAGAGAGAGTGAAGCTATCAGCAGTAGGGGCGTGTCCACTCATGATGGTGGAGGAGAGAGAGTGAGCCAATCAGCAGTAGGGGGCGTGTCCACTCATGACTGGGAGTAGAGAGAGTGAGCCTATCAACAGTAGGGGGCGTGTCCACTCATGACTGGGAGTAGAGAGAGTGAGCCTATCAGCAGTAGGGGCGTGTCCACTCATGATGGTGGAGGAGAGAGAGTGAGCCAATCAGCAGTAGGGGGCGTGTCCACTCATGACTGGGAGTAGAGAGAGTGAGCCAATCAACAGTAGGGGGCGTGTCCACTCATGACGGGGAGTAGAGAGAGTGAGCCTATCAGCAGTAGGGGGTGTGTCCATTCATGACTGGGAGTAAAGAGAGTGAGCCAATCAACAGTAGGGGGCGTGTCCACTCATGACTGGGAGTAGAGAGAGTGAGCCAATCAACAGTAGGGGGCGTGTCCACTCATGACGGGGAGTAGAGAGAGTGAGCCTATCAGCAGTAGGGGCGTGTCCACTCATGACTGGGAGTAGAGAGAGTGAGCCTATCAGCAGTAGGGGCGTGTCCACTCATGACGGGGAGGAGAGAGAGTGAGCCTATCAGCAGTAGGGGCGTGTCCACTCATGATGGTGGAGGAGAGAGAGTGAGCTAATCAGCAGTAGGGGGCGTGTCCACTCATGACTCGGAGTAGAGAGAGTGAGCCTATCAGCAGTAGGGGGTGTGTCCATTCATGACTGGGAGTAAAGAGAGTGAGCCAATCAACAGTAGGGGGCGTGTCCACTCATGATGGTGGAGGAGAGAGAGTGAGCCGAGAGAGAGTGAGCAAGAGGGAGATTTTTAGAAACACTGTAGAAAGAGAGATGGCTGAGAGACATTACAAAAAAGAGAAGCTCAGAGGAATATAGGTTGAGGAAGAAGGGTTGTGATTAGACCAAAACTTTAGGAACCTCATTAATATTAGTTATTTTTGGGGCGGAGCAATGGAGGGAGGGGTGTGGGGTTTTTTTTGGGTGTCGAGAGTGTTTCTCAGTAATCGCTTCCTGCACCTTTAACATTGGCATGTTGCTTCTTCAATAATCAAATATAATATACGGCTCAAATGTCTGAAAAAAAAAACATTTTTATTGATATTTTTATGATTGAATGTAATATATGATCATTCAAAAGTTTGAGAGATTGGTATGATTTTTTATGTTTTTGAACGTAGTCTCTTCTGCTCACCAAGGCTGCATTTATTTCATAATATTGTGAAATAATATTATTCCAATCTAAATCAGCTGTTTTCTATGTGAATATAGTAAAGTGTAATGTATTCCTGTGATCAAAGCTGAATTTTCAGCATCATTACTCCAGTCTTCAGTGTCACATGATCCTTCAGAAATCACTCTAATATGATGATCTGATGCTCAAGAAACATTTATGACTATTATTATTATAATATCAGTTGAAAACAGTTTCATATTTTTGTGGAAACCATCACACATTTTATTTTTCAGGATTATTTAATGTTTATTTGACATGGAATCTTTTTTAACATAATAATTGTCTTTTCTTTTGATCAGTTCGATGTCTCTAAGTTTAGATTCAAAAATGCCGTTTGCAATCAGGCAATGGAGACATTTCTGGACCATATTTAAATGTTCTATCATAAACTTGACTAAAAGCCATAATCATCTGGGAAATTATTAATTTGCCTCATATTTTTGTGTGTTGTATCAGAGTATGAAGTCAAAAAGCCAGATGCCTGACCCTGAGACGGATAAACCTCAAGAAATCCCCAAGGAATTGTGGATGATGGTGGACCATCTCTTCCGTTATGCAAAAAAACAGGTCAGGACTTGCTTAAACTTGTCGCTTGGCCTGTTTAAAAACATTCAAACTGTGCTTTTGTGATTGTGTGCTGCTGTTTTAACTGTTTGTCTTTGTTATGGTCTCCCATTGAGCTCCTCTCCATAGAAACACCAACACTAAAGCAGGAATCCGTTCAGCGCTCGTTGTTTCAGTAACAGGAATTTAAAATTCCCCAAATCGTCCTTTGTTGTTGAGAGATGTCTGGCTGAATTACTCTTGTGATTGACTGAACTGGCTGTAAATGAAACTTTAAAGTACAATGACTGAAGTTCATCCAAGGACTTGATGAAGTTGTTGTGATGTGTGTGTGTTACAGGAAGACCTGTTTCAGCAGCCCGGCCTGCGCAGTGAGTTCGAGGAGATTCGGGATTGTTTGGACACGGGCAGCTTGGACACTCTCCGTATCCTTTCACACACTCACTGTATAATAAATGTCTGTGGTCTGAACTGACTCGGACTTTCATTTCTGGATAATTCCAGAAATTATTCTTATTATTTTTTTCTTTTTTGCCACTTCATAAATAGATCAGGTGGAAAAAGCACATATTCCAAGTGTAGTCCAATGGAATAAATAATTCATGGGTGACCTTGTTCTTTTTCACATCGCAAAAGCAGAATAAAAACAAAAATATATAACGTTTTGCCTTTAGCTCACATTAAAGTGCCTCGTTATGCTTTTTTAAAGGTTCCTACACATATACATGCATCCAAAGTCAAAAACACTGTAATATTCTCATAATCTCCACTGCAGCGTGTCTGAAACGCTCTGAAAAAGATTCAGTCTCTCTAAACCCCGCCTCTCTGGGAGCGGCTCTGCTCTGATTGGTCAGAAATCAAACGCTCATTATCATATCTGAATCTCAGCTCTTGATCTGACAGTAACGACGGGGTGGGATTTGGTTTGTCAGCAGAAAGTCTTCTAAACATGAACAACACGAACCAAAGTCTCCAGTCTCAGATACATTACAGTGTTTGAGACGCTGTTCAGCCAATCAGGACTATATACTGGCATTATGCAAATGTGTTTCAAACCTACGTGGGTTCAGCAGAAGAGAGACTAGATTTACTGACGACTCGCTCTATTAAACTTTGCAGAGCTTTTACATTCACACACAGCTGCTCTGTTATATCCCAATATCCCAAAAAAAACATTATAGGGGCACTTTAAAAAAAAAATAATGATTAAAAATAAATAAATAAATACTAAAAAGTAAATGCAGGTGTCAACTTCTAAAATCAGATATCAGATAATTTGTGACCAAATTAATAAAAATATACAATTATTTTAAGCAGTTTTAACTTTTGTGTGTTTATAGGCCTGCACATATATTATTGCTGAAACTACATTACACACAGACTTCAGTTATGTCCAGTTTCTGGGCTTCTAGTGAAGGACTGGGCTTCATTTACATGTAATCCTGTAGCTGGTGCTTTTATCTTACAAATGAGCCACTGGTGAAGGTGGTCTGCTGTAGGTAACGATGGCGATGACCCTTGACCTGAGCGCTGTCAGCGGGCAGTAATCACTCCGTGGCCGAAGCCCTGCTCCTGTTCCTCGACGCGCTTCCCGAACCCGTCCTTCCCTTCTCCTTCTACCGGCAGTGCCTGGACATCAGCGGCGACAGCAGCCAGTGCAGACAGGTGTGTGTGTGTGTGTGTGTGTGTGTGTGTGTGACCTTACTCTGTGTTACTCTGTCTTTGACTCTCACACACATCAGCGGCGACAGCAGCCAGTGCAGACAGGTGTGTGTGAGACATTACTCTGTGTTACTCTGACCACTGGTGTAGCCACGGGTGTGCCGGTGCCACCCACAGTGGCAGCTGGCACACCTAATAATGGATGCAGAATTATTTTTTTTATAGTCTTGATAAAAAATGTTTTACTAAACTTGGGTTACTGTTGATTACTTAAAATATATATTTTTTTAAATCATCACTTTCAAGCGTAAATTAAACAAATTTTAACTGACCTTGTTTCCATGGCGACGCGTCATGATTGTCACGTGACACACCGCAGCCACAACTGATAGATGTATTCGCTTTTATGTCATTTACCATGTCTGATAGTCCAATTCTTCGTTGAACCCTCTGGGGTTGTTCGGCCCAAATGGACCCGAAGAATTTAAATAAAAAAATATTAAAAATCACAGCACACAGTGACTTTGTTGGTATTTGGTATTTGAACACCCAAAAATATTGGGGACAGGATGTGAGTAGTCTAAGAGGTTGTAAAAAAAATAGTCACACTTGGGGTGTTTGGGTCCAAATGGACCTGCATGGAAAATGAATGGGAAATTGGCAAAAATGTAAAAATATTGAGCTTTTTTAAAATCTATAAAACATCGAGAGTGCAAAACAGACACATCCAGACACAAACACACACACACACACTTTTATACACAAACACACAAAAAATTCAGATTATACATGTTTTGCATTTTTAAAATGCTTATTGTGTCCACCAAATGGCATCCATCTCATTTCAAAAATTGCTTTTATGAGGCCTAGGCTTGACTCTAAAATGAAATACAGCTTTAAAAAAAATGTAAAAATATATATATTTTTCAATATTTTTTCTATTATGTTCAGTGGGGGGAAATTTTGTCATAATTATTGCATTAATACTAATTATAATTTTTTTTATTTTTGAAATGTTCTCAAAACACCAAAAAAGAAAAGAAAAATAAATAATGAGTAAAAAAAAAAAATCATGATTTTTTTTAAAAATATGAATCCCGCCCTTTGGGTCCATTTGGACCCGAACAACCCCGTGTGTGACTCTGAAACGAACAACCCCAGAGGGTTAAAAACTTTTATAAATGATATTGATCTATATTCTAGCTAGCCTATATTACAAGATGAGCGAGAGTCCTGTCAGCTGGATTCACAGCACCTGAAATGATCAGTTTCTCCCGAAATACATGAAAAAAGTGGCCGTTGAACTGGGAGAAGAATAGAGTAAACTTATAGTTCCGCTATCATGTGTCTGATATATAAATAAAACACATTTACGTTTGAATAGATTGTTATTGCTGCTTCCATACTAGTGTACTTACCATACTTCCATCAGTGTATATTTTACTAACTTCAAATGTATTGCTTTACTAGTGCTCAGGTGTATTTAAATGTCTGAAACCTAAAATAAACATTATGTAGTTGAAAACAATGCTATTAGTTGTGATCAGTGGTGTAGTGCAGGGTATACCCACGACTTTTTCAGTTGGCATTGCGTATACACATCTAAATCCCCTCTGAATGATGAATAAAAAACACCCAGTCTTCGTACCCCTAATATATATAGCCTACTCTAATTTTTTGCTGCAATATTCTCTCATCGCGACGATACTGACCTTCTCATCTGATCCGCTTCAGCACTCAAACACCCGCTCGTCAGTGTCCAAATGTTTGTGAGACCAATCAAAGAATGCAGGATTTTTGTTCACAGAAGCGCGAGCCGAGCGCTAATCCCAACGCGACGCTTCACTTCAGCTGAAGCGACGATCATACAGCTGAAATATACGGCTTTTTTTTTTAAATGGCCGACAGAAATGATCAGTTTGATCAAAGATAGTGGAAAATGTAAGCTCAATTTAACAACACAAGCACCCTGTTAAATATATTGCCATTATTGTTGTATAAATATATTTGTATAACGTTTCCTCGAATGTGTTTGCGCAACTTGCATAATTAAGCCAGAAGGCGGCGACAAGTGAGTGAGCAATTGAACCATTAATTAAATGAACAGATTAGTCCAAAAACATTGATTAATTTAGGAAAGAACAAGTAGTACCTGATCAAATACTTCATGCTTTTAAAGCTACTGTTGTCCATTTTGTTTGGCCACCAAAACACCTTAAAATGAGAGAAAATCAGTATTTTCTAGCAACAAAATGCTATGATATACATATACCTGATCATACGACCCTGATATGCAAAAATACCAGTGATTCTATATGTTCTATTGTATTCATTATATTTTATATTCTAAAGTCTTGCATTTTCAATACTAATGCAAGACTAGTAGTCTTGTATGTCACTGTTTATATAACACAGAGCGTAATGTAATGTATAGTTATATTTTGATAGTTTTACGGTTATGTGGGGCATGGTTATGGTTAATAATTTTGCACAGTAATCTGACAATTAATGTGGCACACCCAGTTTTTCAGATACACACCCAAAGTCTCTTTTCTGGCTACGCTACTGACTCTGACTCTTACACATCAGCGCCGACAGCAGACAGAGCAGACAGGTGTGTGTGTGTGTGTGTGTGTGTGTTAGCCATTTTTTAGCCATTTTGACAAGCCCTACTACACACTAAAGACAGATGAAGACGTGAAACAGCAGAATAAGTTGACGCTCGTTGTGGTAACGAGCATGTACAAATTATATGAACAATTTTTTAACAAATAAATAAATAAAATAAAAACCTGCATAATAATATAAAAAAAAAAACATCACTACTTCAGTGTAGCTTAATAAACCCAGTTGCATCTTCTTATTTATAACAACAACAACAACAACAACAACATTAATATTAACAACAGGCTAAATCAATTTACAAAGTCTGATGTTTTTAAATTGAGAATCTTCTAAACTTGATCGTCAACCAGTGGATCTCTGAGCTGAGTGAGTGTAGGCGGGGCTCATTTGCATATTCATAGAGCCATGCATACTAAATGAGGCAAGGGTGTTGAGTTACTTTCAGGAGATTTTAAGCCATGATGATTTTTTTTTCAAGGAAAAAAACAATTAAATGTCATTTTGGAGATCGAAGATGCCGCGCAATTCTCAAAACGTCCACAAGATGCCGCCATTCATCGGTGAATCCGATTTTACGTTTTGGAAGAAATATCGGTAGAACCGATTATCGGTCGATCTCTATTTGAAAAATTGTGGAATATTTCACCTGAATACATTTTTTAGATTTTCAGTCTTGTCAAATTTAAATGATTAATATAGTATTGTGATGTGAAACATATTGTGCTTTTTCAGATATTATTTGATATTACATGAAATAATATCTGAAAAGTGGCGGTAAAACCGCCTTTAATAAACCAGAAAATGTTCTAGCTTTCGCTTGATCAATATAGTCGTGTAACGTTTCATTTTTCTTTCTGCCCACAGATCATTTCTAGTCTACCTCAGTGCCATAGAAATGTGTTCAACTATGTGACGGCCTTCCTCCAAGAGCTGCTGAAACACTCGACACACAATCGGCTGGACGCCGCTATTTTAGGTCGGTTGCCGCTGCGCTTTCACTACTTGTTCTGTGTATTTTTGTCTGCAGATTTTGAGAGCACAGGCCAGTTTCAATGGAAAGCAGAACTCGAACTGAACTTTGACTTTGCATTTCTGTAATTTCACTATGTCATTAAAACATTATTAATACCTTTTCTAGCGGAAAAAAAGTTTTCCAGGTTTCCTGCAGTCGTCACAAACTGTGAGTTTGATGGATGTGTCTCTGGTTTGCAGGCCCGATCTTCGCTGGTCTGATGCTCCGGTCGCCCACAAAGCAAGATCTCACAGAGAAAAGGAAGGTGAAGGAGTTTTTCCAGCATTTCCTGGTCCAGACGCCCTCTGACAGAGACATTCATGATAAATCACCCGAATAACCGGCTCCTTTCCTTATTTCACATGCCTAGTTTTTTCCAGGTATCAGCAGAATTATGTCCATAAATTTTGTAGTTGCCATTTAATTCAAAGCATTTTAAACCGTTATTGAAACTAATTGGTTTTATTACAAATCAGATGGGAGTTTTTATTTGAAAAAAAAAAGGTTATTTAATGAACTATATTTGTATTTTCAATGTTTGTAAATACAAAACGGCTGTTATTTTATATTAAATCTAAACAATCATAAATATCTCAGCGTTTGACTTTTCTTTGATCGTATTAGGAGTGTGGATGCAAAATCACATAGAGGATTTAATGTAAAAAAATCTATTATTTTACCATATCTTTGTCTGTTATGTTCAGGTTCGTTTTCAAGATTTTTCTCAGCCAATTTCAATAAAGCATTAAAGTAATGACTTGAGTAAAGGTTTATTCCTCAGCTTTTACAAGCAAGTATTTTAAAGTACAGTCACTCAGTCATTATTTCAATATTGAAAAAAGGAAATATATATATATATATATATTGCACTTAATTTAATAGTCTAATATAATACTTATATTATATATATTAATACTAATATATAATACTACAATAATAATAATAATTACTGCCTCAAAAAGGTTTTAAATTAGAGCGGAAAGTCTCAAATTCATAAAGTCATGCTATTAAATGCTATATGCACTGAAAAAAAAACAATTTCTTCCTCAGTATTTTTGTCTTGTTTTCCCAGACCAGTACATCTTAACATTCTTAAATAATCAAGATACATTTACATGAGAAGAAAATGTAGTTTTGTTTTCTGATCAAAATGAACAATAAATATCTGTCAGTGTAATACAAAAGGTTTTCCCTTTGAATTAAGTAGATTTTTCTGGGGTCATTTGGAAGATGCTGTATTTGTTGCTCTTTTAATCATAAATTAAATGCATTTTTCTTCTCAAGTTGGGACATTTTCCCAGTCATCCCAATGGCAAACTTGTCCCAATGGCACTGGAAAACATGACAGAAATCCTGAGAAGGGCTTTATCACTTTATTTCAGTAGCCTATGATCAAATTATTCTAGTGCTTGAGAGAAGATTTCAAGCAAGGGGTTTTTATTTTATTGCATCTATTTTGGATTAAAAAGTAATGTAGATGAATTATGACGTGGTATTTTGAATCGTTAGCAGTGTGATGTGAGTGTGTGTGTGTGTGTGTGTCTGAATCGAGCGATGTGAGCTGATCTGGGGTCAGTATGAGCTGCTGCTCTTCATGATGCTGCCGCTGAGGAATGAAGACAGGAGCCGATACACAACATTACACGGGCCTCGAGCGTCTCTATAACACTGGTAAACCCATCAGAGGATTTTTATCTGCTTGATTTAATGCTGTGAGAGCGTGTCGTTGTCGTTCTGATATTTTAATGGCCTGTCTTGATACCAGTAGAGTTTCTGTTCAATGCTAACGGGCTAAATCTGTTAGCATACACACCATTATCTACATGTCAGTTCTTTCACCATTACATAGTCACCGTTTTCAGAGTGTTTTACACTTTAACGGGTTAAAACGACACGTGAACCGAGCTTTTGTCAAACGACAGTGTATAATATAGTCTATAAACTGGTGTCAACGGCGTGCTAGTGAAGCTAACGCCTGTCACTGGTGAGACTAGCACTTTAGCCTGTTAGCTTCTCTGCAGTCTCCACCGTTTTAATTATTACATTAAATATGTGTGGCTTAATTATTTCAGCCCTTTTGTCTTGGGGATGTTATTCATGTTGATCGGACCGAAGCAGATGAACTAATGACTGGAGCTTCAATACACAGGTGAGCTAACGTTAACGTTAATCAGTTAGCAGGACTGAAATGACAGTTTGTTTTTATGGAAAACATACATTTGAAAATGAATATATCACATTAATGACTGCTTGTCATTAGTGTCCGCGTGGTAATTAGGATCTCTAATGTGTTCGCGGGTTTCTCTAAATGTGTGTTGTAATTGATCGATGTGAACATGATCATGCTTGTCTTGTTACTGTCATCAATGTCAAAGTGTGAACATGGAAACTTCTAGAAAGTGTCCAGAATGACACAGCTTGATAAACTCAAAACTTTGTTAAAATCATGACGGGTTTTGCTGTGTTGTCACAGTTTGTCCATTACTTTGAGACATAATGTCCTCTTTGTAACTGTCAAGTCGTGTGAGAAAAGCATTTTTTGTGTCTCAAATCATATCAGCTGCTTTCCCACACAGTAGTACACTGCTCTCTAGACAACATTATAGCCTAGTATGGATAGCATCATAATCTCTAGACATTTTATTGTAATAGGTGTGTATAATGTGCTGTCTAGACAGTCAGCTAGCGAAGTGTTGCCACAGCCCTTGTCTCTGAATTGTTGTGTGTTTTAGTTTTGTTTTGTTCAGATCATTGTGTGTGTGTTTGTTTTAGTGACATGAAAACACTGGTTTCGGTTTACAAATGCTCTTTTGCCCTGATTGTTTTGTAGTTCGTCTAACACCGGCCAAAAATAGTTTCCCTGCATTGTCCTACTTTCTAGTGACTCTATGAAACAGCAATTTTCCAACACATTATGTTGTTGTTTTATTAAAACCGCATCTATTTCATTGAAACTGATTTAAATGGACCTAGAAATTAGCATTTTTAACACACATTTTGCTTGAAAGTGCACAAACATTTATGATTCTCCTCCTGCGTTTATTATAATGATTCAGTGTTATTTTAGTTATGCACTATTGAGTATAATATTTTGAATTAACTATTATACATCTACATTTTATATCCTATTTTGTTTCATCTTTGCTTAATTTACTGAAAATAATTTTTATTGGTTTTAGTTTGAGCTGTATGATTTTGAATAAAATGAAAATCGAATTTTTTTTTGTCTTAAATATGGATGACGATCCTGAATAGACAAAAAAAATGTAAATTAGACTACTAGAGGTTCATACAAAATGTTAAACAATGTTTAACTAATCAGAATGAATATAAAAAAAAATCTCTCAATCAATGACTCACTCGTAAATGCTTCAATTGTTTCATTACTGGATGAATCAGCGTTTTGAATGAATCTTTTGAATGAATGATTCAATGACTCACTCGTAAATATTCCACTTGTTTCATTACTGGATGAACCAGCGTTTTGAATGAATGATTCAATGACTCACTCGTAAATACTTCACTTGTTTCATTACTTTTTTTATTTTTATTTTTTATTAAACATTAAAGCAATACATACAAACATATATAAAAGAAAAAAAATTACAGCAAAATACACAGACACAAATAAGTTGCCAGGGTAACATAAAAACAAGAATGCGATGCATTCACCTTAAAGTCCCCGTGAACCGGAAGTTGCAAACGATTTTTCTCCAGTGCTGTGACGTATTTCCAAGTGAAACGGAATATTGAACAGAGGGCAGGGTTTTACTCTAGCGCTCCTCCTCTCCATCTCTCGCTCATAGTAAACTAACGGTTTGAGGGGAGTGGTTACGCGTTTCCCCACCCAAGCTGTGAAACCTACGTCATCAGAAAAAGAAACCGTTCCAGACCGGAAGTAACTTTTCAGATTTTGATTAAAGATTACCAAGGTAAAACATTTTTTAAATATATTTTTACTTGCACGGATTAATTGTTCACCACAAGACTAGTAATATGCGCTGACAAAGAAAATAGGTTCAATTTTGATTTCACGGGGACTTTAAGAGGACATAAAGGATACTTGTTTCATTACTGGATGAATCAGCGTTTTGAATGAATCTTTTGAATGAATGATTCAATGCCTAACTCGTAAATATTTCACTTGTTTCATTACTGGATGAATTAGTGTTTCGAATGAATCTTTCTGAATGAATGATTCAATGACTCACTCGTAAATACTTCACTTGTTTCATTACTGGATGAATCAGCGTTTCGAATGAATCTTTTGAATGAATGATTCAATGACTCACTCGTAAATACTTCACTTGTTTCATTACTGGATAAATCAGCGTTCTGAATGAATCTTTTGAATGAATGATTCAATGACACACTCGTAAAGACTTCACTTGTTTTATTACTGGATAAATCAGCGTTCTGAATGAATCTTTTGAATGAATGATTCAATGACACACTCGTAAAGGCTTCACTTGTTTCATTACTAGATGAATCAGTGTTTCGAATGAATCTTTTGAATGAATGATTCAATGACTCACTCGTAAATACTTCACTTGTTTCATTACTGGATGAATCAGCGTTTTGAATGAATGATTCAATGACTCACTCGTAAATACTTCACTTGTTTCATTACTGGATGAATCAGCGTTTCGAGTGAATCTTTTGAATGAATGATTCAATGACCCACTCACAATGTCTCCGGTGTAACGACTTAACGATACAGTCTTTTATTTGAAGCATCATGTTACTTTTAAAAGGTGATTTACTCTATTTGTATCATTACTGTAGACATCAGTGTTCATATCTGATTCTGAACTGTAAACTTTAATCCCCAGTACCTGTGTGATTAATCTAAATTATTGTGAGAATAATGATAGTGTGTTTGAAAGCTGTTTCATGACAACGGCTCTCTCTGGTTCAGAACGCAGATCTGAATGTTTGGTTTAATAGACAGAGTCGAATCACTGTCATTTAGGAACATGATTACATGAGTGTTTAAACCGCCATCTTTTAACGATTAATCGTGCGGCTCCAGCTTTAAGTTAACATTAACAGCACTGATTAGGGAAGTGAGTAACCAGTTGTTCTCAGTTTGACTGACAAATGGTGTTTAAACTCGTTCCAGCCGCAACAAAAGCAAGCGCGTGGACACAAACCCCGGACTGAGCTTTTCCGTCAGGATCATGGGAGAGAATGGTCCTCTCACGCAGACAGCCATGCTCTTTGAGGACGAGGAAGAAGACGTGGACAAACTGTGCCGAGAGGAGGACGACGAGGACAAGACGGCCCGGTTCGAGCAGGACGACGACGAGCTGATCTCGGGCCCGTCGTCGTCCTCGGGCCGCATCTACGACCGCACGACGGTGCTGATCGAGCAGGACCCGATCCGGCTGGACGAGGAGGGCGAGGAGGACGGCATGGCGTTTGGGGAGGGCGAGGGGGACGAGGGCTCGTTGGCCTTCATGTGTGACCCCGATGGCATGTCGCAGGGGTACATACACCACACCATCTCACCGGACCAGATCCAGTTCATCATCAACCCCGGGTCGACCCCAATGCCTCGAAACATCGAGGGCGCCACGCTCACACTACACTCCGAGTGTCCCGAGACCAAGCAGAGAGAGGTGAGGAACTCATGCTGTTTGTTACTAGGGCTATACGATTTTTGAGGCATTTAATCAAAAAGCATGTCTAATTAATTGAAATCATGTATTATTAACTTTTTTTTTTTTAAATATATATGAAAAAAATCTAATTCTGTGTTTTTGCTGGTAATAAAACAAATTTTATCATCAACTTTTTGTCAAATAACACAATGAGCTTCACTGTTAAATTAAAACATGGATTATTCCTTAATTTCAGTTTTGTTTAAAAAAATCATAATTTATTTGGATTAGATTTAATGTATTATTACATTCTGGACATATCTAAATTCTACATTTTTGGGATATTTGTCTTCAATAACATGTCTTCTTTCAGACTTGTGGTGAAAAAAGTCTGAAATACACATTTAGGTCTTTATTTTACTACACTTTGTCTGTTTGCGTCTGTAGATTTTTCATAAATTCCTCAAAAGTTGTCGTTATACATCATCCTGCTGCTCAGCGATCGCGATCTGCACCCTGTCATCACACACACCGTTAGAAAGCTCTCTTTCTCCTGTACAAATATGGCCATTTCCTTTTTATCAGCAACCAATCGTGAAAATAAAAGGGGGGATTTAACTCTAAATGCGCAATCTCATTGGCGGATGCTAAATCTTTAAAGCCAGTTTTCTCAAAATGACTTGTCTCTCATACTCCAAGTCCGAAATGTCCACTTCAGTAGCACCTATATACACACCAAACTTTCCAGTCTTGTACCTAGTTATAATATGAAGACATTTACAGAGGGATTTGTAAATATATTATTCCTAGCCTGATTTATATAACATTTTTTTTTTCCGAAAAACATGCCAAAAATCATTTTTTTAAGGCAATTGGCAGAATATTCTGATTTACAGGATAACAAAAGTAGATATCCATAAATCCCTTTGTAATTTTTTTCTCATCTAAATATGTGAACACAATGAAAAAAGAATTTTGAACCTGGCTTTATCCAACACTCAGATTTCGTTTTTTAAAATAAATGCAAATTAAAAAAAAAATTAAATCAAACATTAAATTACAGAAAACTTGTAATATAATTTTTTTTCTCATCTTAATGTAGGTAATCAACTGGGAAAGTTTCATGGTGATATCTGCAAGTTAAAAAAATTACCCTATTCACCTTTAATGTCTTGCCTTAAAGGGTCAGTTCACTTTGAAATTAATTTTTGGTATGTTTTATCTTACCTCAAGGGCATCCAAGATGTAGGTGTCTTTGTTTTCCGCAGTATTTTTAATTTTGATATTTTTAGGTCAAACCGTTCTTGTCTGTCAGTCATATAATGGAGGTCTATGGTCACCACCTCAAAGAGCATGCACAGAGAAGTCCAAATTAAACATGATTTAATGACTCGTAAATGTAAGTACACATTGATGGCCTAAGACACGAAACGAGCGGTTTGTGTGAGAAAAGCAGAAAACGAACAGTATTTATATCGTTTTTACCTCTTGTAATTACAGCCACGTCCAAGTGATCTGAGGGCGCGGGCGCTTTGTGGCTGTGGTTACACGAGGTAAAAACGATATAAATACTGTTCGTTTTCTCACACAAACCGCTCGTCTCGTGTCATTTACGAGTCATTAAATCATGCTTAATTTGGACTTCTCTGTGCATGCTCTTTGAGGTGGTGACCATAGACCTCCATTATATGACTGACAGACAAGAACGGTTTGACCTAAAAATATCAAAATTGAAACTACTGTGGAAACAAAGACACCTACATCTTGGATGCCCTTGAGGTAAGATAAAACATACCAAAAATTAATTTCAAAGTGAACTATCCCTTTAAGGAAAAATGACACGCATTTGAATGTTCTAACTCAGATTTGGCAAATGTTCACCTGTTTGGCAAGTGTTTGTCATGATATGTTCTCAAGGCTCCAGACTAACTTTTCCAGTGGTTGAACTGGTGCTATTAACTTTCACATTTGATTTGGTCGCACCTTTTTTATTTTTATTTTTTTTCCTTTGCTACATGCTATGGGATTAATCAATGTATGCTGATGAATAGTGGTTTTAATGGACCAAAGCTAGCAAAGGCTTTCTGGGTGGCAGCATAAATACCTGTAATATATTAATAATCATTGCCGATTTTCATGGATTTTAGACAGTAATTTTAATCTGTAATTTTAAGCATTTTACATTTGAATTATATACAATCTATCTATTTACATTTGAATCATAATCTACTGTAACCTATCTATCTGTCTGTCTATCATCTTTTTATCTTTTAAAAATCATTAAACATTCAATTGCATGCATTACATTTTAAAAGATTAGAGTACTATAATTAACTAATACAGATTTTTCGTTATCAAAGTTTATAGTTGTAACAAAAATCAGAAATCTCACACTCCTTACCTTCTGCATTTTATAATAATTTCCTTTTCCGATTACTCTCATCTAACCGCTGAAAAGACGTAGGAAGGGGCACGCTGTTTCGGAAGACATTTTCATTTTTAAATGCCTTAATTAGTGAATTCATAATTGGCGCGTTCCACCATTAGCGTCTACGTTCGTCAATAAATAAACTGCATGTGTCTTGCGGAAGAAGTAGCTGGAGCTACTTCTCTCCATTAATGTCTATGGCGAGTCACGCAGGCACTGGGCAACTCCGCATCCGAGTCGACCCCGGGATAAAATAATCCGAATATAAACACTTATTATAGGCTTACCGTAGTTCAGGATAAGTCAAAATCACGGTTTGGAAAATGGATTTATCATGTAGCTTACTCGTTACGGACTGCAGCGGCTGATACAACGGCGTTCTGTTGCGCAAGCGCCCACTCGCACATATGCGACCACATACAATTTTAACTCGCAAATTCTCCAAAAATGGTTGCATATGGTTGCAGTCTGGAACCCTGGTTCTTCTGACAATAAAGAGTCGTTTGAAAACCACAATTAACACTGGTTTCTACAACTTTCACTCTGCCTTTAAACTTGAAATTATCGTCATATTTTTTTTTTGCCCATATCGCCCTAGAGTGTTAAACTGGCGGCTAGTGTAAGGGGCGGGGCATTTCCTAGTTAACACACTCGACCAATCACGACACACTAATCCAGCCAACCAATCAGAGCACAGTGTGCTTTTCAGAAGGAGGGGCTTCGCAGAGAGAGGAACCAATGAGGGGTTGTGTTTCCCCAAAGCGTCGTTAGCCAACTATATTTGCAAGTTCTGTCGTTATCAGCAGTTCAACGAGTCGGTGTTTCCCGAAACCATTTCGCAAACGGCATCATAGAGTTGTGTGTGTGGAGCGACAGATCTCGAGCTCTTGAGTATCTCAGAGTTTCTAGTATGTATAAGAATGTGGACTAAAATAAATGATTATCTTGAGCTGACATTCAGTACAGTCTTATATCTTTATTTAGAATACGTACACATGTAATTCACATATTTTAGTTGGTCAAGAGACTTAAAGCTCTCACTAGGTCCTCCGACCCTCATATAGCAGGTGTTTTGTCTGCTCGGTCTAGCGGGACCGGTAAGGCCAGTTGTGTGTCCGTCATCACGCATGTTTGAGAGATGTGCTTGCTCAGTGAAAGCTGATCAGATAAGCTGGTCTAGAGGATGTGTTCAGCTCCAGGCCTGTGTTTGTTCATCCCACAGGATCTGTGTTTCCACATGATCTCACACCCGAGAAAACCAGGATCCAGCCGCTGAGCTTCCCCACCTGTCAATCACACGAGGACGGTTAAACACATTAGTCCTCCTGACCACACACTGCACATCCAGTACGCGTTCTTCAGCAATCTCGTGTTCTCGTACGTCGCCAAGTCCTGTTCCAGTACGCGAGAGCGCAAGAGTTTAACGTTTAAATATTGTCATAATCCTGTGTGTCTTGTGGGTCATGACCTCGTGAAGCAGAAATGGAATCATTTGGTTGTATCAAATGGCACCAGGTGCTTTATTTGCACTACACAGACTTGCAAATTACAGTGATTACGGCCTATTTTGCCACACACACCCTCACACACACACACACTCACTTACTCTCTCTCTCTCACACACACTCACGCACATTTAGGTCATTCGTTACGCACTTTTGCTGCGTCCCAATTCGCATACTATCCGTCCTAAATAGTATTGGAAAATAGAATTAGTGCGTCCCAAATCGTAGTTTGTTGAAATGAGTGTTTCAAAGATACCCAGATGGTCTACTTTTTCCCGTCAGAATCCGAAGTGTAGATCGATGCACACTCTAACGGCTGATATTGCCCACAAACCATTGCGCGTTGGACGAGGATTCGGTTAGAACTACAAACACGAGTAAAAAGTGTTAAAAAACTACAGACACGTAGTCGATACGGAGGACGGTTGTGTAGAGAGGTTTAGATAAAGAGCTTTGAGTGATTAATTATCAGTATCTGACCTGACGAAAATGAATTTATTCAATGTTGTCCACATTATATTGCATTTGCAGCAGCATTGTGAACTTTTGTAAAGACACGTTTAGCCATTGCGTTATAAATGCATCATTATATTCAAATTGCAAACACACGAGTAGAGCATGAAAGACCCATGACTGGCAGATTAACGTGCTCTCCGAAAGGGTAGGAAATAAAATTAGATAGAATGGAGGATTTTAACTGTGACAAGATGATTGACAGGGCAGTTTACGGTGACAGGATGAGCGCAGCACGCGACAGAGCCGTCCGTTAAAGATGACGTGATCGTATGTCCCAAAGCTTGCATACTTTTTTGCTACACACTCAAAAGTATGTACTTTTTCCTCACAAAAAGACTACATACTTTTAGGGCGTAGTATAAGTAAGCGAATTGGGACGCAGCATTTGTCTCATAATAATCCTAAAAAAATCAATATATTTGCACTTGTGTGTGTGTACGCCTGATTGTCACACGAGCCCACAGTGTTCACAGAACGCCTGATGTTGATAACGTACGAGCGTTTGCTTTATCCAACTTGATCCCCTTACAGTTTATGCCTGAATTAGATGTTTTTCACTTGACCTTTTAAATGTGACCCATATCTGATAGGTAAACCTCCTTGACTGGTTTACACGCAAAAAAAAAAAACACTGAAATAATTGAATTTTAACATTTTTAAATGAGTTTTGAATTTAATTTATTAATTTATGCTAACTTTCGAAAGCTTGGGTCTGTAAGATTGATTTAATGTTTAAAGAGTCTCTTCTGCTTATCAAAGCTGCATTTATTTGATCAAAAATACAGTACAAATGTTAAAAAAACAATTTATAATAACTGTTTTCTATGTGACTATGTAGTAAAGTGTAATTTATTCCTTTTCAGCATCATTACTCCAGTCTTCAGTGTCACATGATCCTTCAGAAATCACTCTAATATGATGATCTGATGCTCAAGAAACATTTATGATTATTATCCATGTTGAAAACAGTTCATATTTTCGTGGGAATCGTGACATTTATTTTTCAGGATTCTTTGAGGAGTCTTTACTGTCGTTCTACTGTTGGATAGATGATTTCCTCACACTGGAAATGGAAGGTCAAGTCAAACGCATTGCATTGTGGGATACGGTATTCCATGCGATCTTCTATGTTGTATTTGCACCTTTAGTTCATATTCTTCTATGTAGAAACTCTTCCTAGGCCGTTCCTTAGTGCGAGACAGACCTTCAGGAGTAATGTCTGTCCAAACGAGGAGGATTGGCAAACGAGCTCACGTCACATGAGCAGCATGCGAGTCAACAACCACTATAGGCCACATCTCTGACACGTGACTTAACCACACGTGATTACAGAGAAATGGAAAATCATAAATTTGTCATGACTCATGTCATTTCAGGTCACACATATTCTAGATAAAGTATGTTTTGTTCAGCGTAGAGCTCGGCGTCTGTGAGAGAATACTGTTTGTGGTAGTTTGGTGGAAAAAAAGGAAATGTTTTGTTCGTTTGAGTCATGTTCAGTCCGCCTGTTTCTCCTTTGGATACTGTAATACCCGTTTAACACATGATTATGACCTTCTTCAAAGTTGTGATGTTGCTTCAGGCTCTACTAGAGCAGGTTTTCCAGCTTGAATGTTGATTATTTTCCTCATATTCTCCATTGTTGCGGCTCCTCTCTTCCCAGTCTGTCAGTAACACTGTTTACTTCCTGTCCCTATGAAGCCCCTCCTTCTGAAAAGCACACTGTGCTCTGATTGGTCGGCTGGAGCAGTGTGTTGTGATTGGTTGAGCGCTGCTTGTGTGTTTGGGATATGTCCCGCCCCTTACCATAACCACCAGTTTCAACCATAAACTGTATAAAACAATGGGCGTAGTGTGTGTGTCTTCACCCGTAGTGTTTCTGGAGAGCATTTTTGAAGCCAAAAGTGGGCGGAGCCGGCCGTCGCCATCTTGGCTGCGTGTCACTCCCGTATAAATGTAAATGTGCAGTGAGGCGGATTAGCTGAAGTGACGTGACGCTAACACACAGCAGACAAACGGCCAATAGTGACATCAGCGGCAATCCACCTGTCACTCAAATGGCCACGCCCTTAATTATGCAGAACTTTAAGCCTTAGTGTAATTTACACGGATGAGTTAATGCCTGTTTCTGTGTGACTGTTGGCTGTTTTCTGTCACACACACACACACATATACAGTATACACACAATCACACAGAAACCTCACACACACGTCAACGACGAGAATAGTGTTCAGTGTTTCCCAAACACAGTTTATTGACCGTTTGTTATGACATTAGCAGCGTTATGCTGAGACTGTTAAAAATAATTACTTGATGTCATTCTTGATAATTAATTTGGCCGTTTGATTGGAGTTTGGTCTGACTCTCTGATATGTCTTTATTTTAATATTGTATGATTTTCTTTTGCATTTAATTGATTTTATGTTTTGTTTAGGCTGCATGTGTTCAATCATAAATACAGTAAAAATAGTGAAATATTATTACAATGTAAATCAGCTGTTTTCTATGTGAATCTGTAGGAAAGTGTAGTTTATTCCTGTGATCAAAGCTGAAATGCATTTGTGACCCTAGACTACAAAAACAGTCACATGTCATGGGTACATTTTTGGAAATTGAGATTTATACAAAGCTGATATAAGCTTTCCATTAATGTATGTTTTGTTAGGATTAAAAGGATAAAAAAATGCAAAAAATTTGAAACATTGGGAAAATCGCCTTTAAAGTCACTTAAAGAATAAATGTTTTTGGTAACCGGGGTGGGTTCAAATAAGTTTGACTTCTATCCACTCCGTTTCGAGCAATAGATTTAGGTTTTGTTAAAGTCGATGTAAATATTATGAATTTAAAGGCTTGTACAGATTAATCCAAAATGCTGCATATTGCCTTGTCATGTGTAACTACATATTGCTCGAAATAAACAAATAAATAAAATAAAAATAAATAAAAATGTTTTTTATATTTTATTTTATTTTATTTATTTTAGTTATTTGACAGGGACAATGTACATTAATTGACATTACTGTAAATGCACCAGAATTAGCCAAAAGGCTATTTTTCATCTGTTGTCCCTGGACAGATCTTAAAATTGTCTACCTAAAATGAACAACAATAAAAGATTACAATGAACAATACAAATATAAAAAGCCGTAAAACAGATATACATGGTATAAAATTCTCTAAATGTCTTCATGGATCATGATCTTTACTTAATATCCTAATGATTTTAGGCATAAAAGAAAAAAATCTATAATTTTGACCCATACAGTGTAATGTTGGCTAATGCCACAGATATACCCGTGCGACATGTGTGTGTAAGGCCTGTGTGTGTGTAACTGGTGTGTTTTGTGCTGGTCTCAGGTGAAGCGCTACCAGTGCATGTTCGAGGGCTGCACGCGCACCTACAGCACGGCGGGAAACCTGCGCACGCACCAGAAGACACACCGCGGCGAGTACACGTTCGTGTGTAACCAGCAGGGCTGCGGGAAAGCCTTCCTCACGTCCTACAGCCTGAAGATACACGTGCGCGTGCACACCAAGGAGAAGCCCTTCGAGTGTGACGTGCAGGGCTGCGAGAAGGCCTTCAACACACTCTACAGGTGAACGTGTTTTACATTAGCATGCTGGGATAGCCTTGAAACCCTGTGGGCTTTATACTCAGACAGAGACTGTATAGTGTGGATGAAAGCGTGTGAAACTCACAGAAACTCATGTGACTTCTGGCCTGAGCCGCAGATCTGACACCCATTTCACTTCCTGTTTGCTAAAGTATGTGATATATTTGTGACCCTGGACCACAAAACAGGTCACGAGGGTCAGTTTTTGAAATTGAGATTCAAACAGCATCTGAAAGCTGGTTAAATAAGCTTTCCATTGATGTATATTTGGTAAAGATAAAATTATTTGAAGAATATAAGGTGCAAAAAAATGTAAACACTGAAAATATCGCCTGTAAAGTCATCGTTTGCAATTTTGCTGCATCCACTCACAATTTAATTTTTTTTTTACATTTTTACATTTATAAAGCCAATCTTTAAACCTAATTATATGCATGCATCATCTTATGTGTCAATTTCATAAATTTAATCAAATAAGACATAATACGGGTGTTGGCAATCAAAAGAAACCAGTATCAACAAAAATCATCTTTGCAGTATTGAATATTGATATTCAAACTTATTTAAAAGAAGAAAAGATACTTTAAATGTGAAACTGAGTCCGCCAGTAGGAGGCAGGAGTCACTGTTATTAAGCGAATCATTAAGATTCAACAGATTCATTCAAGAAAAGAAGCATTTGACTCTTAATCTGTACTCATCAGCTGATTCACTCAGTAAGGAAACACCGCGTGTGGCTTTGCTTTAAACTACTTTCGTTGGCGAAACAGAGCAAAAACGGGCAATATGGCTCTTAATATTAACTTAATGTTAATTAAACTTGTATAAAATCAATATCACATTTGTTTATTATGCTGATATTTGGAGAAAAACTGCACTCTGGACCACAAAACCAGTCACAAGGGTAAACTTTTACAGAGATTTTGAGATTGAGACATCATCTGGAAGCTGAATGAATAGGCTTCATTGATGTAGGGTCTGTTATAATATTTGGTTGAGATAAAACTATTTGAAAATCTGGAATCTGAGGGTGTAAAAAACCTAAACATTGAGAAAATCAACATTTTGCTGCACTCACTCACAAAAATAAATGTTTTTTACAAAATTTTGAAAATATCTTCATGGATCATGATCTTTACTTAATATCCTAATGATTTTTGCCATAAAAGAACAAATCGATAATTTGGACCCATACAGTGTAGTGTTGGCTAATGCCACAGATATATCCCGTGCGACTCGTGACTGGTTTTGTGGTCCAGGGTCACATACAAATATATGACCGTTTGAAGCTACACTCAGATGTGTGTTTGCACATGTATTGCGACTGGTAAATCTGAAGTAATTTTCGTCCTAACCAGCTGCAATATTGTTGGTTTCTTGGCTTTAATTCACGAACTCTTGATTAGATTCAATATCGGTTCCTTTGGATAAATGTCGGGCACTGTACATGTGAAACGTGCTTAAAGACCCCCTGTGTTGAAAATCAAGCTTTTAATGTTGTTTATACACTCAAACCAAAAAGTATTCAGACACTTTCAACATTTCTCACATTATCTCAGTTTATTCGCTATTGTTTAGGAAATGGTGATATTATGAGCAGAACTCAGTGGATATTTGACTGGTTTTGTCCGTCCTTCTGTTTGACTCTCACACATGAATTATGTTGAATATCTGTCAGATGTTAAATTTAACTACACAATTAGATAATACCAGTTTAGCTCAACCAGTGACCAAGCAATGCTTCATGTTGTTCAGTGTGTGTGTAAAAAGAGCATTAGCAAATACAGAAAACATGATCAGCTCAAAGTGTCCGAGTCTTTCCTGGTTCCGTATTTTTATAAATTATTGTGTATAATACGCCACAGTTTACTCTATTTTGCTCTCCTCACTTACATAAATGAACTATAGTGTCCTAGTATAAAAATATCAAAAAATTATATCTGATGTCTGAATAATTTTTGGTTTGACTGAATGTTTATGCGCTGTTTTTAATACGCTTGAAGTCAAACCATGTATAAGTTCATAGACAGCATTGCTGAGTATTTTCTGGTTAATAAAGAAAACATTTGCGGAGCATCATGTCACAGAACATACTATCTAAACACCAAGGACATCGTGGATGTATTTGCCGAAAGAAAGGCCGGGAGAATCCAACTATAATTAGTGGGGATGGGTAATAAATGTCGATTTCTCGACATTTTTACGAACCGATATCGATTCTTAAATCTCAAGTATCGATTAGTCATCCTGTTTCATTTAAATGAATGGGACATTGTATCGCGGCTGCGCGCATCCCAAAAATCACAATAATCTTTGTCCTTTGTTACTATTGATATGAAACAAAGTCTCAATTTTCAAATTACGTCCATTTTCTTTAGAAATTCAAAAACATTAATAGCGTTTTGGCGCTGTGGCGTGAGATCGCTCTGGAGAAGCAGCAGCGCTGATCTCTCTCTTCCGGCTTAATAATACCAGTTACAGCGCCAAATAAACATGAATGAGCATCTGAAAGTGTGTTAAAAGATCGAGTACAACTTATCGAAATCCGTATCATGTCACATTGATTCGCTCAATCAGCGTTTCAACCGTGGAAAAACGTCAATTAAACAGCTTGTAATCAATGTCATGTATCGTCATATTTACCTCAGAAAACCCACATAAACTCGTTAGTCAGCTAGAAAAAATAACTCTAGAGAGGAGCATTTTGCTAAATATATACACCATATTACATATGCATTATAATCTTAATGTTCTTCAATATTTAATGCATATTTGAATAAATCTGGCAAGTTTTTATAACAGCCACCATTTAAATGTTTATATTTCATATAATCTTCTTATTATAAAAATAAATAAAAGTGTAATTTAAGTGTTTGTATAGTTCATTATTACCTTCATATTAGGCTAATGAAGCCTATTGGCTACAACTAGACTCCCATAGTTTACAGCATTTAAGAGATTTGATTGCCTTGAGAAAAATGGCCATTTATTGTAACTGATATCCAAAATAATTTATATTGAATCGTAATCAAAATCGAATCGAATTGCAAGCTTGTGAATCGAAAACGAATCAAATTGTGAAATTTGTCTCAATACCCAGCCCTAATAATTAGTGAGTGTTTGTGCTTCTGCATTTTGGGCTGCGGTGTCGAGATTGTGTGTACGTGCAGTAGTTTATTATTGACACTGGCTGACTTGGTTGTGTTAGACTTTTTTGCTGTTCGGTTCTGGTTGTGAAAAGTTGTTGGGTTGGCCTTGGGCAGTGTGTTTTTTTTTTTTCAACACTCCTAAACTCATTACAGCAACACTCGTTAGTTACATCTGGGAATGTAAGGTGTATATTTAATGATATAATAATGTTTCTACTGAAATTCTACTGCAAAAATGTAATTTAAACGGTGGCTCTCATATCTTGATTTCATAACAGATTTATTCAAACAATACAGTAAATAAGACATCACTAACAGGTTAAGCAAAATATAGTGAGTATGTAATATAGTGCATGTGTATTTAGCATGACGGCGATCCGTCACCACACATTTAAGAGAAACTGCATTTATTGTTTGAATTTTGTAATGAAATTGATTCTGTTTCATTTGAAAAGCATCATAGCACAAGGGTATGGAAGTAAAATAATGCCAGAACTTTCTAAAACAAAAAAAGCCTGTTAAATTGGATTACAGGTAATACTGTATTATTGGTTGTATTTTTAAACGGTTTGAATATTCTGAAAGTGGAATATGGATTATTGAATTTTTAATAATGAAAATGTGTTTTAAATGAAATATTCACAGCTTAAATATTGAAATATTGATTCAGAAACATTTGGCATTATTTTACTTCCATACAAAGGTTATTGTGATTATTGGATGGCGGTCGCTACGGATCATGTTTAGAGACACACATCAACATATAGTATAAAGGCTTCTGCTGATCAGCGTATGGTTATTGTGTTTGTCTCTCATCAGACTGAAAGCACACCAGCGTCTGCACACGGGGAAGACGTTTAACTGTGAATCCGAGGGATGCACCAAGTACTTCACCACGCTGAGTGACCTGAGGAAACACATCCGCACACACACGGGGGAAAAACCATTCAGGTCACATTGGTTCATTCACACACCACCTTTAGTTCAGGAGTGCTTTACAACATTAACAGCCAATCACATGTACGACATGTTGACTGATCCACTGTATAGTCACTGGCACGGAGAGTCGAGCTGGAACACCTTAAAGGAGTAGTTCACTTTTAAAAAAACTTTTGCTGATAATTTACTCACCCCCATGTCATCCAAGATGCCCATGTCTTTCTTTCTTCAGTCGAAAAGAAATTAAGGTTTTTGATGAAAACATTCTAGAATTTTCTTCCAAAACATGGACTTCAATGGGGTCCAAACGGTTCAAGGTCCAAATGACAGTTTCAGTGCAAACTACAAACTGTTCAAAGGGCTTTAAACAACACCAGATGACGAATAAGGGTCTTATCAAGCGAAATGATCGGTCATTTAAAAAAAAATAATAACAAAGTTTAAGTTTTATAAGCTCAAATCGGGTCGCCTTGCTCTGTTCTGTGTGACTCTCCTGTTCGAACTCATTCATCAAAATGAACGAATCTTTTTTCGATTCATTTGGTTGATTCAACGAACTAAATGATCAAATTGACTTAGAAAAAGATTTTGATCCACAACAGATCCGGAAGACAATACAATGCTGAATAAAGTCAGAGTTTTTGTTATTTTTGAACCAAAATGTTTTTTCGATTTCGATTACTAGTTACTGTACATTACATTGTACAAGAGTAATCTATTCCTATCACAGTTTCTATTATCCTTGGGGTCAATTTGACCCCATTCAATGTTTAATGTCTGTAAAAACATAATTTTTTTTGCTTCAAATTTAATGACTTTTCCTAATTTAATGGGGACAACTCTGTAAACATAAAATTAACCTGCTAATATTTTTTTAAAGTCCTGTACAAATTCTGTAGCATCGGTGTTCCTTGGGGTCAATTTGACCCCAGGCTCTTTTAGTTGTATAATAAAACAGAAGAAATATAAAAATTTCACACACATTTGTTTTGGTTGTTATATTGAGGTCATTATAACATATTATAATATGAATTTATAATGTTCATTGTAATTTTACATATTCAATATCATTTTCAAAAAACGACCCTCTGTTTTAGGGCTCTAACCAAACATAACCATATCTGTAGTATTGCGAGAACTACTAGTAGTTCACATGACATGTGACATAATTCTCAAGAGAACTAATAATCCTTTCCTGTGTATTTGGGAGGGGAAAACATAATTTTTGTGAGATTGACCCCAAACATAACTCGTGTTACTATTCTTGATAAATAGTTTTTCTTTCCAAATGTCATAGATTACATAAATCTATACTTAGAAATATTATAAAAACAAATAAAACACCAGATGTATTTATACTTTTCCAATTTTAGGTCAAATCAGTAAGATTTTATGTTGATTTGTAAATTTGTCCATAGTCGTGCAATGGGTATTCTGGATTTATAAGGGGTTAGGTGGGGTGGGGAGGGTGGTGGTGGGTGGATGTCAACTTAAAATGTTACTTAAGTAGTCAACAAAGACATAAATTAACTGAGACAAACCTTTGTAAAAAAAAAATAAACATATTGTGGAGGTTTAAATTACTGGGGTCAAATTGACAGGAGGGTTATGATAAACCAAACGTTTCTTGTGACGGGTTTGCAGTGTAGATTTTCTTCCGTGATGACATCATGGTTTCTCTCAAATGGAAAATTTTGTCAAAGTGACAATATTAAACTGCAAAAGGACTAAAATCCATCAAGCCGACGTAAACTAGCGTTAGTCCTTGATCACCAGCACTTGATCTGTGAACATGCTTATTGGCTCACTGACGTCGACCCCTCAGGGATCGCAGTTTGGTACAGAACAACAAAACTCGTTTTTTGATACTCGATGGTGTCGTGGCAGTTCGGTCAGTGCCTGAACAGTATTGAGCTCGATACCCAGCCCTGGTGCTAGATCAGGGACGTGTGTTTACATATTAGCAAAGATTGATGCACTATTATAGGCTACTATTGTGTTTGTGTGTGCAGGTGTGACCATGATGGCTGTGGTAAGGCTTTCGCTGCTAGTCATCACCTGAAAACACATGTACGGACACACACTGGTAAGACACTGTCGGCCTGTTGCCTCAAAACTGGCGAAATCAAAGCAATACAGAAAATAAAAAATTTGATACGCACATTTCTAAATCCTCTAAGTGGTGATCTGATGAAATTTTGCTGTGAAATCTTAAATGATTTTTATAAAGTAAACGTAAAAATAACTTTGATATTTGCAATATTTCAATTTATACACCGCTTTTTGTGGCGTATAATTACTTATGTAATTGATTCTGGGTTTTGTGTGCTGAAATAACAATTTTACTTAGATTAGAGAATCTCTATTTCTTCTTGGGGTGCACGATATTTCAGCCACCATATCAGTATCGGCCAATATATGTTTGTTTTAATGTTAGCATTATCAGCCTGATAAGAAAATTTAGCCGATATTTATTAAAACCGATAAATAATGGATTATTCCTTCAGATTAGACGCTCCAGATGCGCAATGTTCAGCATGATGGTTTTGAATTGCTTGAGATATGATCAGAATAACTTCCGATCAGAAAAAGGAAAATACAGTAAAGTGCAGGGTTCGTACAAGGTGCTTAAAGTGTTTAAATTTGAAGTAGTGAAACCCTTTAAAACAGACATTTATTAAAAGGTACTTGAAAAGTGCTTGAATTATTGAATGACAATATATGTGAAATTAGTGTTTAATTTTATCAATAAAACAATATTTTCATGCAAAATTAACACTGGAGCCCGTCTGATATAGATATAGAGGCATTTCGCATGGCTATGAGTGCGATATTGCTTATAAATACCCAAATATATGATTCAGCTTTCATTCTTCAGGTCAATCATATTTCCATCAGGGGAAATCAGTTTGAATAAGAAAGCAATATCTTTATTATAATATCCTTTCAATGGTTAAAGTTTCCACAGTCATTGCATCTGCTATACTTTATTTGTACCATTTTGTTTTATTAGTTTGTTTACCTTTTTTAGAATTTAAAAGATAATAATGATATTGTTTAATAAGTGATATCTCTGATTGTTGTCCTGCAAAACCAAAAAATGTAGTGCTTAAAGAACTTGAAAGTCCTGAAATTTTATTTTACAGCGTCTGTACGAACCCTGTTAGTGCAAAGTGCAGTCTGGTGGCTACAGTCATATCGGCTACATGCAATTATCATAAGAACACCATTATAATTGTGTGTTTGGGACATTGCTTTTAATGATGAGACTTGCTTTAGTAATCAGGCTCTCAAAAATTATATAAAAATTTGGATTTAGATTTATCGGCCAATAAATCGGTTATAGGCTTTCGAATATAAAGAATTTTCGGTTATCGGTATCGGCCAAAATGTTCATATCGTTGCATCCCTAATTTTTTCCTCTTTCCCTGTTCCAGGAGAGAAGCCGTTTTCCGACCAATCGCCAAAATATGGTCATTTTTAATGTTAAAATTTGGCCGATATATAAAAGCCGATGAATAATGGATTATTCCTTCAGCTGAGACTCTTCAGATGCACACAGTTCAACATGGTGGCTTTGATTTTCTTGAATTATGGTCGTAAAAACTTGAAAAAAGGGAAATACAGTAACTCGGCTGCATAAAATTATAATGAGAACATTATAATTGTGTGTTTGGGACATTGAACACAAAAAATTTGGATTTATCGGCCAATATATCGGTTATCGGCTTTCAAATATAACGAATTATCGGTTATCGGTGTATCCCTAATTTCTTCCTCTACTGTCTCTTTCCCTGTTCCAGGAGAGAAGCCATTTTTCTCTCCGACCGATCACCAAAATATGGTCATTTTTAATGTTAAAATTTGGCCGATATATTAAAGTCGATGAATAATAGATTATTCTTTCAGCTGAGACTCTTCAGAAGTGCACTATTCAACATGGTGGCTTTGATTTTCTTGAATTATGATGGAAAAAACTTAAACAAAAAGGGAAATACAGTAACTCAGCTGCATAAAATTATAATGAGAACATTATAATTGTGTGTTTGGGACATTGAACACAAAAAATTTTGATTTATCGGCCAATATATCGGTTATCGGCTTTCAAATATAACGAATTATCGGTTATCGTTATCGGCCAAAATGTTCATATCGGCGCATCCCTAATTTCTTCCTCTACTGTCTCTTTCCCTGTTCCAGGAGAGAAGCCATTTTTCTCTCCGACCGATCACCAAAATATGGTCATTTTTAATGTTAAAATTTGGCCGATATATTAAAGCCGATGAATAATGGATTATTCTTTCAGCTGAGACTCTTCAGAAGTGCACTATTCAACATGGTGGCTTTGATTTTCTTGAATTATGATCGAAAAAACGTTTAAAAAAGGGAAAATACAGTAACTCGGCTGCATAAAATTATAATGAGAACATTATAATTGTGTGTTTGGGACAAAAATGATATATATAACCGATATATCGGTTATCGGCTTTCAAAATATAACAAATTATCGGTTATCGGGCAAAATTTTTATATCATTGCATTGCTAATTACTTCTGGTACTCTCTCTTTCCCTGTTCCAGGAGAGAAGCCGTTCTTCTGTCCGAGCGACGGGTGTGAGAAGACCTTCAGCTCTCAGTACAGCCTGAAGAGCCACATCCGGGGTCACGACAAAGGCCCGGCGTTCACCGTTAGCGCTCATCCGCTGTCCGAGGTGCTCACTCACACACTCACTGCCCTTTATTACACCAACACTGTGTGACCGTGGACTTAATTGGTCCTGTTGTACTTGTTCAACCGCAGGATGCGAATCATTCGCTGTGCCTCAGTGATTTGAGCCTCATTTCCACTGACTCTGAGCTCCAGGAGAACCACAATGTGAGTTTGCGCCCTCATTTTTTACTCAGAGCTTTTTTTTTTTTCAGTCGTCTCCCAGATACATAGAGTGCATCTCAGCACATGTTCATGTCTCAGTCTCAGGGTTTGGATCTGAACAGCGTCACCCCCATACGAATCTTTGAGCTGATGTTCCAGAGTCCTGAGAACAGTGTCAGCCAGGACGACCCCAAAACCACAGGCAAGATCTTTTAGAGCTCACTGTGTTCAAAGGCACTCGAGTCACTTCTGTTATGCAGTACGCTTTGAACTTTTAAAAAATGAATAAGCATGTGCTAAAGAGGACCTTTTTCAAAGTCTTGATGTTGTTTTTGGGCTCTACTAGAACAGGTTTTCATTATTTTCCTCATATTCTCCATTGTTGCGGCTCCTCTCTTCCCAGTCTGTCAGTAACGCACTGTTTACTTCCTGTCTCTATGAAGCTCCTCCTTCTGAAGCACACTGTGCTCTGATTGGAGCAGTGTTTTGTGATTGGTCGAGCGCTTCGAGTGTGTTTGGGAAATATCCCGCTCCTTACCATAACTGCCAGTTTAACACACTATTAACTAACTCAACCAGGCCCCGCCCCTTTATTAATCGTGTGCCTTCGGCGATAATTATTGATTTTTATTGTTTTTGTGTATGCCAGTCAGACCTACAGAGACTTGCTCGGACAAAAGCAGTTCGAATCACATTCGCAATGCGTTAAAACATGCTAGGAACCCATTTACAAAATGATATCAATATGTTGAAAACATGCTATTAAGGTGTTAAAACAAAATAGCAATGTGCTAAAACTTGGTTGTTAACAATAGTTGTGTCCCAAATGACGCTCTATACGCTGTGCACTTGTACTATGTACTCCACCGTGTAGTTATGAATATTAGAGCCCGACCGATAAAGGATTTTGAAGACCGATACAAATATTTTTCGGTTTTAAAATCTGATATTCCGATATATCGGGTGATATTTTTTTTATTAAATATTGTTGGATTTCACACACGTGTCAAAGAAAAGCTAACTTTTCTGCACAAGATACGTTTGATACTTTTTCTCTATGTCTAAATGTTCACTCCTCGCAAGTATAACTTGACTGTAACTAGAGATATGCTAGTTATAAATACGGTAATTATTACTTTATTTAGGCAGAAAAAGTTCATTGTGGTTTCCAAGCTCATTAATGTTAACGTTAGCGGTCTTCCACTGATGATAGTGGCATTAGCTAGCTTTGTGGTTAGCTAGTCTACGATGAGCCTTAATTTAGCAATAGATAACATCATACTGCAAATTGTAAAACATACATTTTCAATATAACAGGCCAAGGAGAGATGATTGAAGCGTGTTTTGTCCGTTTTTATTTTATTTTTTGAATATTCATTTATCGCCATTATAACTGCCGATACCGATAGTTTGGAAAATGCCTAATATCGGCCGGCCGATATATCGGTCTGGCTCTAATGAATATTATAAGTTTTTGTCTTCATTCAGTAATGGAGTCTGCGACAGTAGAGTTAATGAACTGCCCATCGTTCTTCATTTTATCATTTAATTAAGTGAATCATTTAGATATTTGCAGTGCACATAACATTCTAGACGTGTTAAAACATGCTAGGAACGTGATTAAAATGTGTGCTGTCAAAATTAACGCTTTAGTTTGCGATGAACTTCTTTTCATTTTAACGCGTTAGTAGCAATATGATGAAACTTTAATGTTAAACCATGTTAGCAATTGTTATTACTTGTTAGCTAGGTGCTAAAACATGGTAACCACAAAAACATATTAGAAACATTGTATCAACATGTTGAAACATGCTAGCGATATCAATGTGTTAAAACATTAAATACGTTAGCAATGTGCTAAAACTTGTTAGAAACATTTTAAAACATGTTGGCACTGTCAGTTTGTTGAAACATGCTAGAAACATGTTAACACTGTGTTAAAACATGTCAATGTGTTAAAATATGTTAGCAACACGCTAAGAAATGTTAGAAATAGGTTAGAACATAGTAACCAAGTGTTACATGTTATCGATGGCAGAAACATTTGAAACATGGTATCAACATGTTGAAACATGTTAGTAATATCAATGTGTTAAAACATGATATGATCGACATAAAATATGATAAACATGTTCAAAATCATTCTGGCAACAAGCGAAAACATGTTAACAATTTGTTAAAATATGCTACCCATGTGCAAAAACATTAGAAACTTGGTATCAACATTATAGCAATATCAATCTGTTGAAATATATTAAAAATGTTAGCAATAAGCTAAAGAAGGGTAGCGACATGTTAAAACATGATTGTGTTTAATTGAATAGTCTTAAGTGACGTGCTTGGACTTTTTAAAAAGTTGACGTAATGGTGATAATTTGATGACATCTTTTTTATTTTAAGATTTGGAACCAGTATATTAATGAAGGGAACATGTGACGTGCTGCATAGTAGGAATGACCGTTCATCCCATGTGCCGTCCCTCTGTGTCTTCAGATCAGCCCGGCGAGGCGTTCGGCCTGGACCCGTGTCCTCCGTCAGCCTCAGACGGGTTCCCCCCGCCCTCTTCATCCCCCGTTACATCACCTGAGGCTCAGACTCCTCCCACCTCACAGCCGGCTCCGCCTCCTGCCGCCGGCAGCTCGTCACTGACTCCGCCCACCTCATCTGTCTCGCCAGAAGTGCCCATCGCTCCATCGGCTCCACCGGCTCCCTCAGTCGCGCCGCTCTTCGTGGCTCAGCCGGGGTCGACCGCGACTAGCGCCTCCGTGACCGCGGAGGTGACACACACAGTGCCTTTGGCTCCTCCTCTTCCTCCTCCTCCTCCTCCTCCTACGATCACCATCGCCCCCACCCTCGGCCTGCAGCCCAGTATCGTCATGTCCGATCAGAACCTGCAGTGGATCCTCAGCAGTGCCGCCAGTGCGCAGCAGAACCCAGAACAACAGGTCTGGCAGTTTAACTCAACTCTACTTTAGCTTTATGTTTTTTATCTGTGGTTTTGTTGCTTAATCAGTCAACTTTAATGTCATAAGGAAAGCTGCAACAGTTGAAAGTACACAAAGTGTCCAAAACATGTTAGGGACCAAGCGGCAACCTTCCAGTCTCTCTCTTGAATTCAACACTGAAGTGAGATAAACTGCAGTTCCTCCACTGGCCACTAGAGGCCTGCTGCAGAAGAGACTCAATCCCATAAACCCATATGTTAAAATGGCCAGAAAAAAATGTGTTTACACAGCCTGGTGTTAAAAGTGTTTTGGTCTATATAGTTAATTCTGCACTTCATGACGACCGTGAGGGCAGTGAATTATTGTATAACTCATCATCCGTTTAAATTACACTAAGGCTTAAAGTTCTGCATAATTAAGGTCGTGGCCACTTGAGTGACAGGTGGATTGCCGCTGATGTCACTACTAGCCGTTTGTCTTTTGTGTGTTACACCGTGTCCTAACTACACGCGACGCCACGACATGCGATAAAAGGTATCTTTTCCATGTTAATCAGAGTGTTTGTCCTAACCAGACGTGACGGCGACACGCGAAGTTTCTAATTTAGAAACGGTTCCTATTTCTGCGACGTCGCGGCTGACAGAATGAAGAAATTACACTGGTTATGAGTACACATTAGTTATTTTTAGTTAAAAATAGGTCACTGTGCCACAAGCGATCACGGATAATTTACCTCAGATTTTGAAAGCATGTAATATAGTGTTCAAAATGAATTCTATGCAAACATACGACTGTACTTCATAACAAAATTAGTCAATGAGTATATTTTGTTAATGTTTAGATTTTTAATAATGTTATTTCTTGATTTGATTATGTCCTTTTCCCCATTTCCAATGCGAGTGCGGGCCAACAGTGCGCTTTCACAGAGAGACTCCGCCCACACGCTGTCCTGAATGTGTGGCGTCTCACAGTCGCGTCGCGTCTAGTGTGGACAGACACACTTGCTGTCGCTGGAATTTTATTGCGTCGCGTGTAGTTAGGATACGGTGTTAGCGTCACGTCACTTCAGCTAATCCGCCTCGCTGCACATTTACATTTATACGGGAGTGACACGCAGCCAAGATGGCGACGGCCGGCTCCGCCCACTTTGAGCTTCAAAAATGCTCTCCAGAAACACTACGGGTGACGACACACACACTACGCTCATTGTTTTATACAGTCTATGGCTTAAACATGCTAGCAATGTGTTCCCGATAGCAACGTTAAAATATGCTTAAAATTAAGATGGAGTTAAAAGAACCAAATTATTCTATTTTTGTTTTCATTAATGATGCTAATCTTGCCAGAAATGTGTCTGATTATATTTCAGATATTTTTAGCTTTTCTTACATGTTTTTGTGATCTTAGTAATTGTCCAAGTTAGTGTTTGAATTTCTGCCACTAATGTATTCTTCTCATATTTTTTGGTTGACATTATTACTGTTTTTATTTTCAGGGTCCAAAAGTAGAGAAAGTCTTTTTTACAACAGCCATACCAGTCGGCGGACATTCAGGTATGATTGAATATTTTGTTGAATATTTGAATTTTCTGCTTAATCTTCCCAACCTGGCAACCATGCGCACACGCTCTCTCTTTCCATTCATTAACACATTAGGATAACGAGCCAGTCTGGCGGATATTATCTGACTGGCAAGCTGGGTATATCTGAATATCGTCAACATAGCAGTGATAAAAACAATTACGACAAATATTCTAATGGTGAATAATAACGGGCTGAGGACTGAACCCTGGGGAACACCCTGTTTGAGTGATACTGTGAGATGTAGTAATGCCTATCCTTGAGATATGAAGATAACTAGGATAATGCCACACCTGAGATGCCAATCTCTGAAAGGTCAAAAGCTGAGCTGAGGTCAAGTAATAAGAGATTGGAGAGATTTCCCAAATCACCAGAGAAGTAAAAGGTCATTGTCAACCTTTAGGGCAGTTTCAGACGAAACTAGGGCTGTGCCATTAATCATAAATGATTATGATCCAGTGATTATGAAAACAAGATAATCGAGGTAAAACGGTTATTGTTCCTTTCCGTCACAGCGGTGTGTTTTTCTTTCCTCCCTAAAAGCCCCAAACTTAAAGGTGCTGTATGTACGTTTTTTTTTTACAGTACTAAAGCATTAAGACACCACAATATGTTTGCAGATATTTAGGAAACATGCTGAGTTGACATTCGTTTCTCTAAAAATACTTCTACAGCCAGTTATTTTACTTTGAAACGTGCGTTCCATGTTGCAATGTCAGTTTTTGGTTCTGTCGTTGTATTATTACACATTGCCAATTTACCCAGTAGTGTTTCACTACCAGAAAACACAGCACATGGAAGCCAGTGAACAAACTGTGTCAGAGATCGCAGATTCTAGACGACCTGAAAAGCCTCGGTATCCACCTAAAAATCTCTATAAACGAAAGCATATTAAAACATGAAATCAACAAAATCATAAATCAGTGTGTAAGTCTCCTCGCATTCCATTGTCAATTGCGCTCGTTCCTTTTGCGTGTCCTCAATCTGGCAACCCGTGTGCACGTTGAGTCTCATATTTTTAATTTGGACTGCAGTACCCATTTCAACCACTAATTGTGAGTCTTGCATACTGCAACTTTAAGATGCAAATCACCCTAATAAAGTGAGTGTTGTAAAATGCAGTTTGCCGATGCTAAACTGCGGCACACTTTCTGAAGGCTTTTCTGAGCCTGATATGCAGATACGCTGCTAAATGCGTACACACAAAAAATAGTAGAGGATTCATGTAAACACAGGGGGTTTTGTCTTAAGTAAACATACACAGTTGAGAAAGAAAACGCGTGTAACGGTATATTATTAGTGACAGCAGCCTAATATATGCTGCAGTCTATCATTAATGATAAACAATAATCAACAAATGACAAAATAAATCTTTAATAATGATGAATCTATATTTAATGTGTACAGGAAGACTATGTGGCGTCATATGCAGTTATTGTGCATTTAATTGATTATTCCATTTTTTTTATTATTTATCTGAATATCTCTGTGCTCCTCATGAAAAACTTTAAACACTGTTTAATGTGTATTTTCGTTCTGTTGTATTTATTTGTCCATTTCACATTTTTACACACCCTTTTGATTGACAGGATATAATCAGCCCTGGTCATCTGCTGTTAATCTTCCGATGGCCAATTGTGAAAAAAATAATAGCTTTAATCAGCCAATAACGATTATTGTCCAATACAGCGATTAACACTAGATTGCACTTAGTTTATTATTTCAGATGCCTTTTTAAAAGACTACAATTGAAAACATGTATATTATATAAGATTCAACCCGCCAAAGTGGCTAGTAGGAGTGACTGCGTTACACACTGCTGAAATACACCCGCATTGGTTGGGCCCTATGAAATCCATTTTATTTTTTCCCAAATTCAGTTTTTTCCATTTTAATTTTTGGGAATTAGGTTTTTTTTTTTCCCTTGACTGTTATTTTAGTTGTAAAAATAGCATGCTTTTAAAGTTAATGATTAAAATGTATTAAAAAATACAAATAAATTAGGAATGACCTTAAATTTATTAAAGTAATACAGACATTTACTCAGGAGCCTTTTCAGGACAAATACTGCATGATGCAACGTAACACTGCACTCCTCAAGTAACAACAAAATATGGTTATGAGCTTTAAGCTGTAATATAAATTATATTCGTTTATATAAGTTTAAATAAAGTCACACTCTGCCATGCTTTCATTGATTTGATTTCCTCATTGGAGCTGAAATGACGGGTTGAGGGGTTTGTGTCGCCCAGATCTGCATGCGTTCATCTCCCACACAAAAGCAGAATTTCAAACCAAATATGTAAAAATCCACTAAATTAATTGGCCAATTCCGCGCTTCCGTCCGTGATTTCGTTATCGCGGAAATCATAGGGCCCTACATTGGGTGTTAATGTCAAGCCCTGCTTCCATGGTAATGTGTATTATCACAGCTAGTTGTGTGTGTGTTTCAGGGAACGCAGTGCAGCAGATCGGCCTGAGCCTGCCGGTGATCATCATAAAGCAGGAGGAGTCCTGCCAGTGTCAGTGTGCCTGCAGAGACTCGGGTAAAGACAAAAGCACCGCCTCCTCAGTGGAGAAGACCAAGACCACATCACCTCCTCCTGCTCCTCCATCTCTCCCTGAGGATCCTCCATCAGAGCCGGCCCCCGATCCCGTGACCCCCGACCCCCCCGCCGACGGGCTGGACCTGCTCAGCCCGGAGACCACGGCCAACATCGAGGCCCTGCTGGACCAGTTCCCCAGCGGCGCCCCCTAGAGGTTCATCTGTACCGTGTACAGATGCGCATCTCACACACACCATCCAAACCAGTGGTTTGTGGTGCACTTTGAAGGCAGGCAGAGCAGCTTCTCATAATGCTCAGGGCTGCGCGATTAATCGACATTTACACGTAATCGCACTTAAATCGAGTTGGCTTGTCGGGATTTTGAAATGGCAAAGACTGTGATTATTAGTTATCTGCAACTGCGAGTTTCAGTCGCTTATAACGTGCAGCTTTATTCGCATTTATGAACAAAAGACAACATTAATAACATGCTTTTACTCCAAACTCCCTTCATAAACACAGCTGAGCTCGTCCTTCTGTGAGATGAATAAGGCAGTCATGTGTTTATTAGTCGTGTTTATCAATCGAAGCGTTTCAATCGTCTGTTTATTCAGGTACAGAGACACTATGGAGCCCATAGGGGTTTCCTGGAGTGATGTGCGTTATCGTACTTCTGCGGGGGATATTTTCAGTGTGTGTGACGCCCTCTGGAGTTTAGCATTTACTACCGATCAGCCGCTAGACAAACTGCAATAATCGCAGCCTTTGCCAGATCGCGTGCGGTTTTACTGTGATTAATCGTGCAGCCCTGATTAGCTTTGAGTCTCATTAGCTTTTAACCCCGCTCAATTATTAATATTTGACATTTGCTTATAGAGATTCAACGTACAAAACGAGGCATACATGCTGTACTTAACTTTAAACTTGAAATCCACTAGATCGATCATGGGATATATATATATGTGAGACTTCAACAGTAAGGCCTCCATCATGGCTTGAATCATCTACTCTGAAGTCCTGCACATTGAAGTATTTTATGTGTAATTTATTGGAAAGGCTGCAGTGGTTAATGTGATTTATGAGATGCTTTATTTTACGGTTTGTCCGTCTGGATGAACTGCGATGAACATTTCCCTGCCTTTTAAATGTAATTTCGAGGTTTGTTTTGGCTGCCTATAACTTAGTATTTAATTTTATATATGTTAATTTATTAAAATACTCAATTGTTGGATTAATGTAGCTCTTTTACCCACATTTTCAATCAATTTTCGCTCCCCTAACTGGGCGGAGCAAGATACTTTAAGTGGATCTCACGAAACCTGTCTAGAAATTCTTCGGGTCATATTTCCCATAATCAAAAGGAGAAATGAACGTTTTTTTTTAGTTTTTTGCATAAAGAAATTAACCCAATTGTAGAACCGTTTAGAATATTATGGCTATTAACATCCGCGATGTTCATGTAAAAAAAAAAAAAATTTAATTAAACTGAATTTAATTTAGACTGGTTTAAATTTACATTTTTATTTATGCAAAAAAATGTCCTCTTGATTTTTGGATGAAATATGAGCTCTTGAACCTCTGTGATGGGATCAGACACTGTAATCTTGCCTTTGTGACGGGCGTGTGCTTGGGTTTTCTTTCTTCTCTCTCATTGGTTGTTACAGATCACTGCGTCTCGTCACGTCCCCCTGCACTTTCCTATCCTGAAAATCCCATGAGTCTCTTTTGTGGCCCACTCAGGGATTCAGAAGAACAAGCAGCAAAGTGTGTGTGTTAGAGTGAGTGTTAGAGTGAGTGAGTGAGTGTCTGAGTCAGTGAGTGAGTCAGTCAGTGAGTGAGTGAGTCAGTCAGTGAGTGAGTAAGTCAGTCAGTCAGTGAGTGTCTGAATCAGTGAGTGAGTCAGTGAGTGAGTGAGTGAGTGTCTGAGTCAGTCAGTGAGTGAGTCAGTCAGTGAGTGAGTGAGTGAGTGAGTCAGTGAGTGTCTAAATCAGTGAGTGAGTGAGTCAGTGAGCCAGTGAGTGAGTGAGTTAGTGAGTGAGTGAGTCAGTCAGTGAGTGTCTGAGTCAATGAGTGAGTCAGTGAGCCAGTGAGTGTCTGAGTGAGTGAGTGAGTGTCTGAGTCAGTCAGTGAGCCAGTGAGTGTCTGAGTGAGTGAGTGTCTGAGTCAGTCAGTGAGCCAGTGAGTGTCTGAGTCAGTGAGTGAGTGTCTGAGTCAGTGAGTGAGTGTCTGAGTCAGTGAGTGAGTGAGTCAGTCAGTGAGTGAGTGAGTCAGTGAGTGTCTAAATCAGTGAGTGAGTGAGTCAGTGAGCCAGTGAGTGAGTGAGTTAGTGAGTGAGTGAGTCAGTCAGTGAGTCAGTGAGTGTCTGAGTCAATGAGTGAGTCAGTGAGCCAGTGAGTGTCTGAGTGAGTGAGTGTCTGAGTCAGTCAGTGAGCCAGTGAGTGTCTGAGTCAGTGAGTGAGTGTCTGAGTCAGTGAGTGAGTGTCTGAGTCAGTGAGTCAGTCAGTCAGTGAGTGAGTGTCTGAGTCAGTGAGTGAGTGAGTGTCTGAGTTAGTGAGTCAGTGAGTTTGAGTCAGTGAGTGTGTGAGTCAGTGAGTGAGTGTCTGAGTCAGTGAGTGAGTGTATGAGTCAGTGAGTGTCTGAGTCAGTCAGTCAGTCAGTGAGTGAGTGTCTGAGTCAGTCAGTCAGTGAGTGTCTGAGTCAGTGAGTGAGTGAGTGTCTGAGTCAGTGAGTGAGTCAGTGAGCGAGTGAGTGAGTGAGTGTCTGAGTCAGTGAGTCAGTCAGTGAGTGAGTGTCTGAGTCAGTGAGTGAGTGAGTGTCTGAGTCAGTGAGTCAGTCAGTGAGTGTCTGAGTCAGTGAGTGAGTCGGTGAGTGAGTCAGTGAGTGAGTGAGTGTCTGAGTCAGTGAGTCAGTCAGTGAGTGAGTGTCTCAGTCAGTGAGTGAGTGAGTGAGTGTCTGAGTCAGTGAGTGAGTGAGTGTCTGAGTCAGTGAGTCAGTGAGTGAGTGTGTGTGTGTGTACTGCACTACCCCGCCACAGTTCAGCCTGCGCTCGTTCGCCCCTCTCTTCTAAACCACTGCTGTAAAGACTCTAGCTGACCGTAATGTAAATATATAGTAGATTTTAAATGATAAATGTTTCAGCCATTAGATTGTATTTGTATTTTTGTACAGGAGTGTGTGTGAGACGAGAGCTGAGCCTCTGCACTGCCTGCGCTGTCAGCTGTGTGTAGTGTGTAGTTCTCCAGACCCTGTTATTCGAGAACTGCCTTACAACTCCAGCTCGCTCATTCATTCCTCCCCGTCTCAGATCCCGGCGGAGAAACACTGAGCCTTTCCTGTCCAGTGCCAAATAACAGCGCGAGCCGCCGCTGCGCTAGAACCTGTGCGTCGCTCCCTCAGTGTCCATCCGGTGCTTTATTTATCCACTACAGTTTCTTTTTAATCTATAAACTGTGCAAACTTATTATAGTTTGAACAACAGTTCTTTCCCTAATGACCGGCACTTATCCAGCCGATAAACATGATAATAATAATAATAATGTACATGTTTTCTGACCTTATTGTTTGTTGACATTTCATATAGGACTAGTTACTTTACAGGATGAAAGATTAATGTTGACTGAAGCCAATTTTTATTCATCAACTAACAACAACTATGCAATGTGTCACAGACCATCAAACCACTCCATCTGTACATGTTCACATGCAAAATATCACGTGTCAGCGTTCATATTTAGCATATGCAAGTCACTATAGAGTGAAACTGTCCTGTTGCGTTGAATATTTCACATTTAACAGCCTTTTTTTTCTTAACCCATCAAAATGTTGTTGTGTACAGTTATGTTTGATGTGACTTAATCTGTTGTTTTGTTTTGTATCTGGGCATTGCAATGTTTATATATACATACATATATACATATATATATATATATATATTCCTGTTGAGAACTTTTGCTGCTTTATGTAATTTTTTTGACACTCACATGACATAAAAATCATGCATTTGTTTTAATGTTGGAAAAATAGTTGTGAAAAACTACTTGCTTGACCTTCAAGATGTTGAATCATTCCACCTTCGTCAGGTGCCATCATCATCATTACGCTTTCATTCACACGAGGGTCTTCTGAATGCATTAACTGATGATTTGGTCCTTCTGTGCAACAAAAATATTAATATTGCTTCTTAAACAGTTGCTTTCCATAGAAGATATTTATTCAGAAATTCTGGTCTCCTGGTCCGGCATGTTAGTCGAGTCACAAATGCTTCCATAATGATTGCTTTTGATACCCAGAGTGTGAGGAAACTGTAAAGATCTGTATTTTTAAAGAATGTATAATGTGAAAATTTTCTCATATGCTTGTTTTGTATAAAGTATTATGGCAAAGTAATAACTTTTTGAATCAAAAAGCAATACAATACCAGTAAAACCCTGTGTAATTGGTTACATTATTTCTTGTTTCAGTAAGAAATTGTTCCATCCCAACACTTTCACATCATAGATTTTATTTATAAACACACACACACACATTACAAATCATAATCTGCTCAGTTGTCTGGTCCTGGATATGACGTGTTCTCAAGGCCTTTTTCCTACCAAAATAAAAACTTGAATAAATAGAGTTGAAAAGCCTTTTAAAAGCAACTCTATAAAACCGTATTGAACCCACAGCGATGATGTTCTGGATTTCCAACAGGTCGTTCATGATCGCGTCGCAGAGACAGATCTGCTCCTTTCTCTCAGAGATTTGGGCATCAAGAGCCTCCAGGTTTCTCTCAGAAGGACACTGTTTTAAATAAATGAATTAAAAAAGGAGTGTGGTTTTCAAACATAAATGCAAAAACATACAATTTACCTGATTTGTGTGTAGATTTTCTTCCTGGGCATTAGTGTCTTCAGGTTTTCCTGAAGCGGGAGATTTATAAATAATTAAATTAACCTATATAATGTTTCTTCAAATGTATGAAAATATCTTACCTGCAGTTGACGCCATTTTTAGTGTTGGTTATACAGATGCAGTCGGTCTTAATTATATCAATTATTCATTAGTCATAATTAATTACATCAGCAAGTTAATTATATTTATTGGTCTTAACAGGATGCACCTGGGTATTTGCACTTAATTGGTCGTTCTTGCGAGACTAAATCACCACAGTCATTTAAAGCCCCACCCTGAGGTGAAAAATAAGTATTTGTTTATGTGTCTATGTGGTGTTTTTAATATGCTTTAAGTCAAACCATGTCTAAGTTCATTAGTCGACAGTATTGCTGAGTATTTTCTCCTTAAAAGTGCAGTGAACCAAAGACAGTCTCAAGAACGCCCCTGTTTGCTGCATCACAAACATGCGACCAATCCCGTCACGTGTGGGCGGGGCTTGATAGTTAAACGGAAGCTGTCTGATGTGGACGGGAACATATCTCAGATGAAACTCCTGTAAACACACAGGTATCTGATGTACATGTACAGTTAGGAGAGGTATCTCATGAAGCCCCTGTAAACACACACGGGTATGCACATGTACAGTTAGGACAGTATCTCACATGAAACCCCTGTAAACACACAGGGATCTGATGCACATTAGGAGAGGTATCTCATGAAACCCCTGTAAACACACACAGGTAGCCTATGCACAAGTACAGTTAGGAGAGGTAACAGTTATCTCATGAAAGAAACCCCTGTAAACACACATCTGATGCGCATGTATGTGGAACTTTATTCTTGTACAAACAGACTTACATTCAAGCTATTTTAAGGAATTACTTTCCTTTCCATAGGAAAAAACGTTTAAATGTGTAATTTTGGTGATGAAAGATGCGTTTTAATGGTTACTTATTGACTGCAGGGGGACTTTAAGTTTGTTTTGTAACACAACCGCAGCATTGCCTCAGCAGGACTTATATTTTGAAGTGCTGTCAGCCGCGGCTTCCTGTTGTGTGAAAGCATGCTCGTCATTGAGCGCAGCTGTTTATGGTCTTCTTCAGGTTTATTCGTACTACCTGCACACGTTTAAATACTTCATCTTATACACGAAACAAGCCCTTTAAGAGTGTCATCATGTGTAAAGAGCTAAAGACGAGAGTCCTGCGGATTCCACCTCTTGACGCAGAGGATCTGACGTCACAGCAGCGCGGTAAGACTCCCTCAACTAAGTTAGAAATCTCGCTTATGATATCCGTCGATAAACAAGCACTTCTGGGGTGTTTTTTTTTACTGTCTTTGGTTTCTGCTAATGTTTCATAACCAAGAGTTTCCTTTATATTTTACAAGAGTAACTTTAAACGCGCTCCTAATTTGAAAGATAATTTTCATACAGTAACTTGTTTGTTCTGTGTGTGAATTGCCCTTTGAAATGTCCAACGGTGACTTAAATATTTTTACTTAAGTGTCATTTCTATTTCATATTTTGGACACAAAAACTCATATTTTGTCTGCTTTTGTCATGATGTCATAGCTGGCAATTTCTGTGTTAAATGACCTATAATTAAATTTTACCTTTTGTTTTTGCATAATTTGCTTGTTTAAAGGTGATCACTTATTAACAATATTATTTTGCACGTTTAACAGTTTTAATATCAAGCATGTTCTTTACGTGAAGTATGAAACGCTTATACTTTTTACTTTATTTTGGGCGAAATGGTTGGTGATGTCAACACTGTGGGACAGTTCATATTTAAAATGTTTGTTCATTCATCCATAACAATTATTGCAGTCTTTGTTCAGATTATCGTATTTTTAATAATGTAATATTCATAACAATCTATAGCAGGGGTATTCAAACTGAGGCCCGTTAGATAAAAAGCAGTTTAAAAAAAAATTGAAATAAATAAAAATAAGATTCATCTAACACCCCCCAAATGTTTTTTTCTAATAATAAAACGTTAATTAAAATAAATAAATAAAATTAAGTAAACTGATAATAAAATAGATGATAAATAAAATAAATAAAAACATTATTAAAATAAGAAAGAAAAAAATAATACTTGTTATTAAATAAATAATACTTGTTTTAAACAAATAATCAATTAAAAAAAGTAAAAATAGTGATTTGTATATATTTGATTTAAATCAATAAAAGTTAATACATTTGATTAAATTAATAATAAATACATAATTTAAATTTCATCTAAACAAAACAATGATTATAAATACAACTTTGATTAAAATAACTAATAAAAATAACTGAAAAATAAAATCAATGGTAAAATAAATAAAAATCATAAAGTTAGGAAATTAATAAATAGATTAAAATTAAAAACTGCATAATATAAATGAAGTATGATTTAAATAGATAATATATATGCATAAATAAATGCATGAACAAAATACATATCTTACATCTGCAAACTTACAGTGAGAAAATAGAAAAACAAAATACTTTACACATTTATAATATGATTTTTTTTTAACAGCATTAATTGGGTCGTTATACATAAACAAATACAGATTGCTATCTTTTCAATGTTAGGATGAGGGTCACTCAGGTGCGAATGATCATATTTTGGGATTAAAAGGATTGGGAAGCCCTGACCTATAGTAGGATTGATGGATTTGAACATGATACGAGGTGTTTGCAGAAATTAAAATAGACAAACCAAATTTTTCCAAGTCTTTCTATGTGAGTCTTAAATACCAATAATAATAAAACAAATGTGAATGTTGGAGCCCGTGGATGCTTTAAGACGCATTTGTTCCTTCTAGTTGTGTGTGTCAGTGTGTTCTGGTCTGTGTTCCTCCCGGTTGTGTGTGTGTCAGAGTGTGTTCTGGAGGCGCTGAGGTCCACGTCAGAGGCTCTGGGGAACGGGCAGGTCGTGGCTCTGCCCACCGATACCATCTACGGCCTGGCCTGTGTGGCCCAGAACTCCTCCGCCGTGCGACGGGTTTACGACATCAAGGGCCGGAACGGGGACAAGCCTCTCGCCATCTGTGTCGGGGAAGTGCAGGACATATACAGGTGCAGTTCTCCAGCAGCGCCTTCAACTCTCGCGTGCTCTTCGGGAAAATTGAGCTGCTTTTTTTTTAGTGAAGGGAATTGTACTTAGTGAAGGGAAGCTTGTTTCTGCCACATCACGAAAAATAAAAAAGGTAATTGTGACTTTTTATCTCACAATTGCGAGATATAAAGTCAGAATTTTAGTTGAAATAAAGTCGCAATTGCATGTTATAAATTCAGAATTACGAGTTGCAATTTTGACTTTATACCTCACAGTTTTGAGAAATAGTCCGAACTGCGAGATGTAAACTCGCAATTGTGAGAGTCACAATTATCTTTTAAAAACGTTTTATTCTGTGGCGGAAACAAGCTTCCATAAGTTTCGGCATTCGGCATCAAAAAACATTGGACATGATTCAAAAAGGTTAAACGGTCCTGAAAAAAAATAGTCACACTTGTTCTGTTTCGTGGTCAAATTAATTTCATGAAAGTCCTCTAGTGGAAGCGTTTGGTACTGCAGACAAAAAAAAATCTCACTCAAAGCTCTTTTTTTAATGTTACGAATCTATTCTATTTAAAATAATTTATCACAGTTTCCACAAATAAATTGCTAATAATCATAAATGTTTCTTGATCATCAGATCATCATATAAGAGTGATTTCTGAAGGATCATGTGACACTGAAGACTGGAGTAATGATGCTGAAAATTCAGCTTTGATCACAGGAATAAATTACACTTTATAATATGTTCAAATAGCAAACTTTAAAATTATATTTCACAATATTTATTGTATTTTTGATCAAATGCAGCCTTGGTGAGCAGAAGAGTAGGGATGCACCGAAATGAAAATTCTTGGCCGAAACCGAAAACGAGGAAACCAAGGCCGAAAACCGAATCACCGAAAGAAATTATGCCAATTATTAGTATCATTGCATTTATGGCTATGACTGTGTACAAACTTTACTAAAATCAAGGCATTGCAATTGCACAAATTAATATAACATTTTCAAAAAATAAATCAATTACAAATTATGCAAATATTTACTTAGCACAATGCACAGTGTAAAATAAAATTCAAGCTAAAATGTTTAACTTGACCCCACTCATGTGTACATTAAATAATAATCTACTGGCCTGCGGAAAGGTTTTAAAATTAAATGTTCTCTCATAAAAACAAAGCCGAGCACAAACTTCCCATCACACCAGCACTCAGTTTGCACGTCTAAATTAGTTGCTTACATTTAAAAAATTTAGCATACAATAGCATAAAAAGCCTTTTTAATGATTCCCATGTTTAATACTAGGGATGCACCGATATGAAAATGTTGGCCGATGCCGATAATTCGTTATATTTGAAAGCCGATAACCAATATTTCGGCCGATAAACTTAAATCCAAATTTGTATCTAATTTTGAGAGCCTGATTACAAAAACAAAAGTCTCACAAATAAATCCATGTCCCAAGCGCACAATTATAATGACGTTCTCATAGTGTTGTATAGCCGATACGTCATATCGGCTACATGAAATTATAATAAGAACATTATAATTGTGTGATTGGGAAATGGATTTTAATGGTTTTTGCAATCAGGATCTCAAAAATGATATAAAAATTGGATTTAGATTTATCGGCCGATATATCGGTTATCGGCTTTCAAATATAAAGAATTATCGGTTATCGGTATCGGCCAAAATGTTCATATCGGTGCATTCCTAGTGTTGATGTAATGCAGTGATATTGATGTTGCTGAAGGTGCGGCTGGTTCTGGTGTGTGCAGGTTCTGCCGTGTGTCTGTGACGGAGGATCTGCTGTCGGATCTGCTGCCGGGACCCGTCACACTCGTTCTGGAGAGATCACACACACTTAACGCCGATCTCAATCCCTTCACTAAGGTTAGGATCTGTGTGCGGAAACACACCCCTCGACCTATAATGTACTTTAATGGTGCATTGTGTAATATTTAGGAGGATCTGTTGACAGAAATGCAACATCATATACATATGTTTATTAGTGGCGTTTAAAGACCTTACATAATAAACTGTTGATGATCTCTGCAAATCCGCGGGTCCGCTTACATCGGCATGTTACTACGGTAACATGATTTGTCTCTAAGTAAATATAATTTGTAAAGAAACCTCATTACTTAACTGCCTCCTCTCTGCTGTCTCAGACGATGACATCACTTCCTGTAACTTCTGTTTGGTGCAATTCACAACCTCAACACTAGATGCTGCTAAAACTTACACACTGCACCTTTAATAGAATATACTTAAGTCTGAATGTAATGTTTCCATATACTTAACTGTACGTTGCTTGCAATTAAATCAAACCTAGTTTAAATCTATATTAAATTAGTTGAATTTTGTTGTGCTTTTTGATCCACTTAAAAACATCTTAATATGTAATTCCATAATTATTTATGTAAATGTATTTAAAATATGGTCACTTCGTTTTGGCTGAATGTATTTATAATAAACCAAAATATTTCTATTGAATCTTGTATGTCATGTATTTAAATTGATCTGTAATTACACATTTTAATGCAATTTTGTACATTTTAACTTTAAATGTTATACCGTAAACTCATAACGTACTACCGTAAAATTTATAATCAAATGCTTTACATGTGCTTTAACAAATCAGAATCAGTGTACTGTAACGCATGACACAAGATTATTAAAACAAAGATTTAAAATGTACTTTAAGGTAAAAGGTTGTATGTGCACGTACTGTGGGGTAGGATTCGGGTTTGTTTGAGGGTTAGTTACTAGTTAATGTAATTATGCATCATTTATAGTTATTACAACAGTAAATTAGTGTTACCAAAGAGTCCTGAAAGTGTCGGTCTTTAAGTACACTTAAGTGTCCTTTAAAATATATTTAAAGTCCCCCTGTAGTCAGTAATTGTATCTCTTGTAACATGCAACTCATCTTTGATCACCAAAATGACAACAAAAAAAAAATCTTTAATGTAACTCGACACCCTCGCCTCATTTAGTATGTGTGTTTCTATGAATATGCAAATGAGCCCCGCCTCCACTCACTCACTCCACTGGTTGACGATCACACGTTGATCTGATTGGTTTGTGACGTCAGAAACACCAGCGATTTCACCAGTGAGTGTTTTCCCTGTTGTGTGTCATTAATGTTGTGTTTGCTGCAGCTCATAGGGGTCCGTATCCCAGATCACCCGTTCTTGAGACGCCTCTGTCAGATGTGTGGCGAACCGCTCGCGCTCACCAGCGCTAACGTCAGCGCTCAGACCAGTACGGTCGCTGCTAGCGTAAGCACAGGACTCCACGACTCCCAATGCTTTCTCAGTGGGCTTTGGTCTGGGTTTGACGTGTGTGTGTGTGTGTTCTGCAGGAGTTTAAGGATCTGTGGCCCAGGCTGGCGGTGGTGGTGGACGGAGGCCCGATTGGACATCAGAACCGCTTGGGTTCGACAGTCGTGGATCTGTCCGTGTGTGGCAGATACCGGATCATCAGACCGGGATGGTGAGTGACTCGCATTAACTCGATTTGCGTCCGCAGTCGAACTCTTCTCTACTATATAAGAGGCAAGAACAGAGTAAGATGAAAAACTCTCTGGTGTAGTTGTGAACCACATCCCATGAGGCCACAGAAGTGGATGTAGTTCACCTAAATGCCATTCATACTATATACAGGGTTCCCACTGGTCCTTGAAATCCTTGAAAATGTGTGAATCTGAAAACAAAAATTCAAGGCCCTGGAAAGTTTTTTGAAAATAAACATCCATATATACTCGTCCTTGAAAGTGCTTGAATTTATTTTGTGCAAGAAGTTTCTGAAAAAATTCTATATTATTCCCTCCGGTCCGCTAACCTGTTATTTCGCCAACACTTCGTGGCCTATGCATACTCGCTTGCTTGGTTTACATTAGTCACGTGCATTTGCGCATTTCGTTTCGTTAAGTGTTTCCCATGTGAGGTACTTTGTGTTGTATTTTGGCATGACATTCACATGTGCACAAAACTATTACGTTGATACCTCAACATTTCACAGACACACTGTGAAACATTGCAAAAATAGTCTAAAACTGCTGAAACTATGTAACCTTGGTCTCACTTGAAATGTGTCCCGTCATTAAGTCCTTGAATTTAACGGTATTGTACCTTGAAAGGTCCTTGAATTGGAAGCTAACCAGGGTGCGGGAATCCTGTATATAAAACACACTTTTTAATAGTTGTGAAGCATTTCAAACCAAATGTAGTACCAACTAGACAGTATGCGGTTTCGGATGCATGTTTAGTATTAGGGCTGCACGGTATATCAACATTATTGAAATGAGTGATTATATCTCTGTCTCGTTGTTTAAGAAGGATTATTAGGCTGCTGTCACTTTAAGAGCTGCACGGATCCGGTATTTAATACCTTTATTTAACCAGAAAAAAAAAATAAAATCTCTTTTCCAAGAGTGTCCTGGCCAAGACAGGCAGCAGCAAAAATAACAAAGTTGCAGACATGACAAAAAAAACAAAAAACATGGAACATATAGCATAAACATAAAACATAGAAGCAAGAATCATCCAACTAATTATTCATAGCATTTACAAACAGTATGTATAGCCTCTATATCATTTAAAAGTCTTTTAAAAGCAATCAGTGAAACTATGTATACTGATACTAGGGACGTATTAGCCGGGACGTCCTGCATATTGGGCCCAATTTACTTGTCCTGTTTATTGAGTGCTATGAATAACAGACTCCACATTGAGAATTAATGATTCTTTTGGGACAAATCAGTGTGAATCCTCTGCTGTCTGATTCAATCCGGACTCGCGCTAGTGGCTAATCGCTTTCACTGTACGGGTTTTGATTTCGGCAAATCAGTTTTAATGAATTCAAACAAAACTTTTTTATTGTTCATGAGTCCAACGTCCGGCCACGTGAGAAAACATGAACTCTTCCTGGGGAATCATATGCTGATGTGATTTGCTTCTCAAGAAATATTTCCAATCAGGCCTATTATTAATGTTAAAAAAACTGTTTGTTCACCTAATCCCTGGCTCACACTACAGGAGTTTTAAAGGGGTCATGAACTGGCTTTTTAAATTGTATTATATTGTTGTCTGAGGTCAACTTATGACGTTCGCTTGGTTTTTGCATTCAAAAACATCAAAATGAATAAGTAAGGCTATTTTCTACCCTAGTTTTGAGGCTAGCTCAGAAACGCTCTGTTTTTATGGGCGTCTCGCACTGAAGACTTGGAAGTAAACGCCCACTGCTGTGAGTGGATAACAGTTTTGCATATTATAATGAGTTTCGACTCACTCGTCGGTCCACGTGGGGGAAATTGTTTTGAAAATGTCCAATGTTGTAAAATGGCGACCGGAATGATTCGCGCATACATGTTCGACCCAGAGTCCGTGTGTTGCACCATTCCTGTCAGATCCAATATAGACGGCACAGCACCGTTCTTTACTCTTAATCGCTCTGCAAATCCAGTCTTGTTTACAAAACAATCCTCAGTGAAATGAAGTGAACAGACGGATGATGTTTTACCTCATCAGCTGGAACGTCATTAAAAATAAAGTTTATCTATGAAGTCCTATTGGAGTCCAGAGGAAGCTTATGCAGCGACTGTCTTCTTCCACAATATTGCTATAGTATCCAGCTGCAGACCCGCAGCAAAAGAGTTTCAGAACACCCGCCAACACAAGCGCCAGGGCCGTAGGTGAGGGGCGGAGCTTAGGTTCGAAATCTAATAACGCCACCTAACGTGATTTGGAGGGTATTTTACACATGAAACGGCTTTTATTGAACATGAACTATACGCATGTTATGATGCTACATTACAGTACAATAAGCATTTTAAAAACATTGATTTTGTGTAATATAATTGTAGATAGTTTCAGTTATCCGTTTCATTGTATTATGAGTTACTTCCTGATCAAGAAAAAATAATACTTGAAACTTATGGGCATTTTAATGTATAACAGTTTAATAATTTTAGCTAAGCAGTTTATACATAGGCTACGTGTAGATTTACGAAGGTAAGACCTTTTGTTTTTTGTTTTTTTTTTATGAAGGAGTTAACTAATAAAAACAAGACAAGCATTGGAGGTTTTCAAAATTATACACAATTCGATAACTCTTTAGACCTCTGTGATATTTTATGTTCTATTTATTTATTTATTGTGTTTACAAAAATCTTTAATTGTTTTGAAATTGAAGCTATGTATTTGTAAGATGATTTTGATTGTTTAATAAAAAAAACAAAAACGCATGGGTATTTTGTATAAAATAGACTTTATTCCACAAGAACATGTGCAGCATGCATTTTTTTTTTTTTTTGGTGTAAAATAATAATGTCAAAATCTAAAAAAGAGAGAGAAATTTCGGCATTGTTTTAAAAGAAACAATAAAAATATACAAATTGTCCAATTCAACCGTAGGCCTGTTTTATCACAACAAGTAGGCATCCATGTTATTTAGCTATGCGTGTAATGCGCGAATCGGTGGGCGGGGCTAAAGGTGTTGAAGTAGGCGTCGATCTTCTTCTGCGGGGGTGGGGTTTTATCCTCTTTGACGTCATAGTTCCCCACTTTGAAAAACGAGTCGTTTTCAGAGGCTGGTGTCAATAAAAGCTTTTTCTGGACTAACAAGGACGATTTCAGTTCTGAAACTTACAGGATATTCTTAAAATATGATGACCTCTTAGATGTCAAAAGCTCAAGGACAATTTGATTTCTCAGTTCATCACCCCTTTTTAAATGTTTTATTTATTATTAAGCACTTTCCATGCCACAAAAGTGCTATACAATACAAATACAACAATACAAAAGAACACGACACACTATAAACACTCTATCTGGTTGAAAGCTATTGATAAAGGATTTTTTTTAAGCAGATACTTTAGCATTTTATTCCAAAGACAGCGACGGCTCGCTCTAGCGATCGAAGGCACGCCAGGATTACAGGATCTCCAGGACCTGTTTGCTTTATGGATCTGACTGCATCTGAAAGATTAGACA